GCATGCCGAAACCCCAGCAAACCTACCAGCTCTGATGACGACTGTGGGGACAGTGAGATGTGGAGACGTCGAGCTACAAGCAACGATCATGCTGGATTCTGGGTCCACCTGCAGCTTCATCACCACCGACATGGCTGAGAAGCTGAATGTCCCACCCGGTGAGACCACGTCCGTGCGCACGACTGTTCTCGGTGGCAGCTGTCTGCAGCACGAGTCCAGGATCGCTCCCATAGAGATCTGTCACAAAGACTCTACTGCAACAACCCCAGTGCAGGCGGTCGTTCTCCCTCAGATAACCGCCGACATGCAACGTGTGGACTGGGATGCGCAGAAGGCAAGCTGGCCACACCTGCGCGGGATGAATCCGGATACCCCAGCTAACCCAACTGTGGACATCCTACTGGGCCTTGACGTTCCACAGTTGCACACCTCGCTAGCCGAACGCCGTGGGCCTGGCCATGGTCCAATCGCAAGAAAGACACCACTCGGATGGATTTGTTTCGGTCTCCTGGAGGGGAGCGGAACATCGGCGGAACCAACCGTCCACCACGCCACACATGCCGCGACCGCAGAGCCCACCGAGCCAACCCTGGAGCTGAATGCCATGGTGCGTAGCATGTTCAATTTAGACACCATCCGCTCTACAGCCACGGGAGAGACCATGTCTCGAGCTGAGCGTGAAGCCGAGAAGGTGACTGACGACACCATGAGCCTCAACAACAACCGTGTCACCATTGGCATCCCGTGGGTCGCTGAAGACAGAAAGCCTCACGTGACCTCGAACAGACCGATGGCCCAACAACGACTGGCGAGTCTCCAACGGTCCCTGTACAAACGACCTGAGCTCGCAGCAGCGTACGCCGGTGTCATCCAACAGTACCTGACGAAGGGGTATATCCGCGAGGTGCCCGAGACGGAAGTGCACAACGATGCGGATGACCAGTGGTTCCTGCCCCACTTTCCCGTGATCAAGGAGGACCGCACCACCACCAAGGTGCGGATAGTGTTTGACGCGGCGGCCAAGAAGAACGACGTCTCGATCAACGAGGAGATGCACGCCGGCCCAGCACTACAGAACAACATCGTGAGTTGCCTACTCAAGTTCTGTAAGGAACCTGTGGCTCTGATGGCAGACATCAGCGAGATGTTCCTGCAAGTGGAGCTGGCTGAGAGAGACCGCAGGTATCACCGATTCCTGTGGGAGGTCGACGGAAGAGCCAAGGTGTTCGAATTCCAGCGAGTGTGCTTCGGGTGTAAGGCGTCGCCATACCTCGCCGGAAAGGCCGTCCAGGCTGTCGCGGCCACCTATGCCGCCGAAGGGTCACCCACACACACCATCATCATGGACAACCTCTATGTGGACGACCTACTCGCGTCTGCGCCAACGCCAGAGGCGGCGGTGGGCCTACGTACTGACGTCCAGGAGACACTGGCCAAGGGAGGCTTCCATCTACGGAAGTGGATGTCGAACAGTGCAGAGGTCATGAAGTCTGTGCCAGAAGCCGACCGGGCGCCGAACACGCTGATCTCGGTAGCTGACCACCAACACCCCACGCTACCCTGCGTGAAGATGCTAGGAGTCGCCTGGGATGCTGAGAGCGACCATTTCACGTTCAAGTACCAGGTGCCCGTCATCACGCAGTACACCAAGCGCACTATCCTGAGCAAGATGGCCTCTCTGTTTGACCCACGAGGGCAAGTGTCACCCTACACCATCCGAGCAAAGGTCATGTTCCAGGACGCCTGCCTCCGCGGGCTGGAATGGGATGAGGAGTTCGCAGAGCCTGAGGCTAAGGGTTGGAGGAAGTTCTTCGAGGAACTGCCCAAGCTAGAAGCCGTGAGAGCCACCAGGTCATTCAAGGACCCAGACCGGGATCCGGCCGATGCAGAGCTCAGCCTCCATGTGTTCGTTGACGCATCCGACGCAGCAGTCGCAACAGCAGTCTACGTACGGGCGAGTTATCCAGACGGCATGGCTCGGTCCACGCTGGCCATGGCCAAGGCTAAACCAGCCCCGCTACACCGACAGTCGATCCCCATGCTTGAGCTACGAGCAGCTGTACTCGGCGCCGAGGTAGCCGAACAAGTCGCCCAAGCCCTCGGCATCAGCTCGTCCGACATCACGTACTGGAGTGATAGCCTCAATGTCCTGTACTGGCTTCGCTCACACAGCCGCCGTTTCAAAGTCGAGGTGGGCAACAGGGTCAGCAAGATCCAAGCACTGTCGGACCCCCGTCAGTGGAGGCACGTTCCGACATCAATCAACCCTGCGGACAAGGGCACCCGGGGCCTATCTGCAGCCCAGCTCGCATCCGATGACGACTGGTGGCATGGCCCGAAGTTCCTACGCGGACCCGAGAGTGCATTCCCGGCGCGGCCGATCGAGGTTCCCAGTAGTCTGCCGGCAGAGCTGAAGAAGCGATCCGCTATGTCGTTCAGCGCGGTTCCAGGGAAGTACCAGCTTGACCCCTCCAACTTCTCGTCTTGGACGCGGCTCATCCGTGTCACCGCTTGGTGTCAGCGCTTTGTACGTAACGTCCGTATACCGAGGGAGGCTGGCGCCAACAGACCAACACCCGCTCCACGACGCAAGTTTGGATCTGCCAAGTCAGTGAACGGTATGACAGTACCCGCTCTCTCCCCTGCAGAGGTCCAGGCGGCCGACATGTTCTGGGTACGGAAGGCCCAGGAGGAGGTGTATGGCAAGGTCATCAAGCGACTGGAGTCCGGCAAGGAACCCGATCCCAACGAGCCATTGCTGAAGCTGCGACCCCAGCTGGAGGAGGTACATGGCACAACCGTACTGACGGTCGGTGGGAGACTCACCACTGCACACCATCTGCCGCTGACGACAAGACACCCCATCATCCTGCCACCGAAACATCGGGTCACAGCCCTGATCGTGGATGACGAAGACGAGAGATGTCAGCACTCCATGGGTCCCAACCACCTGCTGGCCAACCTCAGCAACCGGTACTGGCTGATAAACGGGAAGTCCGTTGTGCGACAGCATCGCCACAGGTGCGTCAAGTGCCGACGAGGCTACGCGAAGGCTTTGACTCCAATCATGGGAGGGTTGCCGGATTACCGGACCTCGTCACCACTTATCGCCTTCAGCAAGGTGACCATCGGCTTTGCCGGTCCATTTCTGACGCGCCAGGGACGAGGCAAGGTGCAGCAGAAGCGGTATATCTGCGTATTCTCGTGCCTGCTGACCAGAGCGGTACATCTGGAGCCCGTCAACTCGCTCGACACAGATGGGTTCTTGATGGCGATGACCCGATTCTGCAAGAGGCGTGGAACCCCGGAGTTCATAGTGACAGACAACGGGTCGAACTTCACCGCCGCAGAGCGACAGCTGCGCGAAGCCACCTGCACGATAGATCAAGACCGCCTAACCACCCACTCCGAGCTGCGAGATGTACAGTGGCATTTCAACCCACCGAGAACGCCCCACTTCGGTGGTGTAGTAGAAACGATGGTCAAGGCAGTCAAACGCGCACTCTGGCATGTGCTGCACCAGGCTGGCCTCACGGATGAGGAGTTCTCAACAGCGCTGGTACATGCCGAGGCAATGCTGAATTCCCGTTCCCTTACCACCGTATCATCTGACAGCGACGATCCAGAAGCGTTGACGCCAAACCACTTCCTGATGGGACGCGCGGCTGCAGTCACACACCTCGAGGCGGAGACAGAGGATCTGGAGAAGGTCCACCCCAGACGGCGCTGGCTGTTTCTACAAGTGCTGACAAGGCAAGTTTGGAAGAGGTGGCTGCGCGAGATGGTCCCGGCGCTAAACGTCCGGTCCAAGTGGTACAGGAAGGCAAAAGACGTCGAGGAGGGTGAGGTCTTCCTTGTCATGGATGAGAGTACTCCGCGCGCGACATGGCCTCTGGGACGCGTCACAGCCACATACCCAGGGCAAGATGGTGTCGTCCGTGCAGTCAACGTGAAGATCAAAGGCAAGGAGTATCGACGATCAGTTCATCGCCTCATCCCACTGGAGGTAACAGAGGGTGAGGTGGAGCTCGACTCCGAGAACTGCCCAGCCACAGCCAACGTCAATGTGGACAATGTCACCAGCTGAGCGAATAGTGGATGGTGGTACGGCAGTGGCGATGAGGTAGTAAGGCTGTGACTGTAGTGTTAGCAAGCAATCCACAATCAGAGTGAACAATACATCCAACCGGCTAGATAAGACGTATCCTCGTTCCCGGATATGTCTAGTGACATTACGGCATGCATTTGACACAATGATGTTAGGTGTGACATCCAATAGCAGTTCCCCAGGAGTTAGAACATCACTCGGAATATTAGTTTGTCTCACTCGCATACATTGATTAGGCTATGATTCGTTCGCGAGGGAGGTATGTCGGAGTCGTGGTGACGCCTGGTACCGTTCAGGTTTCAACAGGTCACATTACAGGACTGCACTTTGCGTGCATTCATCGAGCACTACACCTGTAGCCATGCATGACTGCCTCAAGCTCCATACATGTGCATGACTCATACCATAATACGATAAGGTCAAGTGTCTGACCGCCAACACGTACTCATTAGACTACGTCACGCATTCACCATTGACAGTGTTGCTTGTACTCCCTATACACATCGACGCTTGCTTATACATGTAGCTGTGTATTCTTTGTTCTACAGTCAGTTCTAGCTAGGTTCTTGATAGGTTTTGCTAGGGCATTGTTAGAGTACATCCAAGATAATCCAAGATGGAGTTGGTGTTTTTTGAGAGTGAGAACTCGAACCAGTAAAGTTTGTCTCCATTGTTGAACGTGGGTTCGGAAAGTATCCGCAGTCGGTATTACAGTTACGGTACTGATGCAACCTGGTTCCGGGGAATACGGAACACAAAGTACCCCGGACAGTACAGTAAGTACACACTCCTTTTTCCGTTCCCGGATGGGATACACTATACCAGGGTTTCACCGTAGAACCACACACCCACCCAACCACGCACACGCGTGCACACACACAGAATTACTAACCTGAAGTTGTAACTGCTCCAGCATGGATTCCACGAGATCAATTCGCGTGGGTAGTAAATCAGGTGACACTTTCTCGTTATGCCATGTCTGTACCCCACATAAGACACCAATTAATGCATGAAGAACACATTATAGACAGTGAACTCATGTTTGCAGACATACATGTCAGCTACACACTATACTACTGACTGACGATCATTCGTGTGTACGAATAGTGAAGTAATAACGACGTACAAGTGGACCACATCTTCCCCTGTACGCGTGTCAGCCAAACACTATTATCGCATGCGCCTGCTGTAACTCTATACAGTCATAAACAGTCTCCGGAACAGTCAAACCATGGAGCTGAACTGAGCTGCATTACCTCTTCCAGCAACACCAGCAACTCTCCACCTGTCACAACTTCTTCGTGTTCTTTCAGCAAATCATCGTCCTCTCCTCCCGAAAAGCTGGCCATATTGGGCTGAAGTTGACTCAAGGATTATAACCATGCAGAAGTAACAAGGTCTGTGTGAAGAAGTAAAGATATCTACAAAACCTTGTAGATGAAGAGTAATCTTGATTAATTTGTATTTTGAATGGTGAGACTGAAAAATGCAAAAAGACCGGGAAAGACCGGGAAACGAAAAATATTTTTCGTTGGAAAATCGGAAAATATTATGACCGTGATCATCCACGTGACAAGTGACGCACTGTGCATGATCGATGCGCCAGGACGGCAGGAGGACTTCGCCCTTTTCCAGTCTCTTTCAGGTCAAACCAGAGACGTCGCAGATTCTGGCAAGCGACTGTTGCTGAATCAGGACAATTTCACATATCGAAATCCTGTTTCTTGCTGAATTGTCTTCCTCTGTTTCCTTGTTCCATGATGGTTTCTTGAAGTGGATAGGAGTGTCGCACTTAGTCTTATAGAATGGAGTTCTTGGCTGAGGACAATACGTGTGGCCAGACGCTTTTGCGTCTGGTCAGTCGAGGCAATGCCATCATCGCTGAGCTGCTTCGCCTCTCCGATTTCATACCACCAGTTTTCAGAATGGAAACGAGAGAGGAACAAGAGAAATATCAGTATATTCTTCCTGACTTTGCCTACTTTCGTGGTGCTGAATTCTACGACCACAAGATTGACACTAGCCCTGTAAGTACAAAACTGAACACGTTATATCATATTTCAGGTACAAAATAATATACAACAATCTGAATTGTTGAGCAGTAGGTCCAAGATATTGACAGCATCAAGTAGACCCATCACGTTCCACTGTACAGATCTGAAACAGCTACCGGTACTGAGTCCATTGAGATCAAGAATGTTGCGAGCATGACTTGTGACAACAGGTTTGCGATCATCCGCGCTCGTGTGTGTGTCTGTGTGTGTGTGTGTCTGTCTTGCTTGCATGCATGTACATGCATGAATAAGTGGGTGTGCAGGGGATGGGAGCCCTTTGTGATCTGGAGTCTCACTAACACAGGGGCGTCGGAAGGTATTTTAGTGTGGTACGGTCAACCTTCTGAAGTACAATTTACTCGTGGGGGAGGGGTGGCTGAGCCAAGAAATTTGGAAATTTAGAGCCCAGATCAGTGTATTTCATTGATTCACAGGGTACCTGGGGCAAAGAGTCTTACGGTCAATACCGTAGTGGCCGTACCGTATCCGACGCCCCTCTAACAAGAGTTTGTAACCTCGAACACAGCCACATACACGAACACACACACACGCACACAGAAACACACACACACACACACACACACACCAACACACACACACAAACACACACACACACAAACACACAGAAACACACATACATACATGCGCACACAAACGCTTGCTCGCACAAGCACACACATGCACACACGCACGCTTACACCCACACTTGTGCACACACACACACACACACACACACATCTTGACCTTGACACACAGCTGCCGTTAAACGGCTATGCTGGCCTCACGAGGAGGGGCTCAAGGGGTGAAGTACAATTGTAGCATCACGACTTCACAGCAGAACATCCTGTCTCATGTCCTTGCAGATCCTGTTGCATCCAAAATCTTGTGCCACATGCACAGCAGATGTTGAAGTGAAGCTGTTCTTTCGTTGTTGGTTGCTTGCTGCGGTTACACTTACCGGTATGCCATTGGAATCCACAGCCAGGCCGAAAGCAGCGGTCACATGCGCGTTCACGCACACCCGCACACACACACACACACACACTACTACTACTACTACTATAGCATGACTGCCCCATAGGGCCACGTCACTCCCTTGTGACAGGGAGCCAGAGTCAGGGTAAGAGAGTCAATGCTGGCGAGCCACATGCCGGTTGAGATCTCGTGGAAGCCGAAAACGTTTATTGCAGAGCCGGCACTCATATTCGAAGGTACACCCACACACACACACACACACACACACACACACACACACACACACACACACACACACACACACACACACACACACACACACACACACACACACACACACACACATACACACACACACACCTATTCTGTTCACATTTACAGTTTACATTATATGTCAACAGTTGTTTTGTTTGTGTGTTGCATGTGTGTGTGTTTATGCTAGATGCTGCAAGATCTTGATGAGGAATTCCGAGAAAATCACATGGAGATCCTGACTCGCTTCTATTTGGCTTTTGAGAGTATTTACAAATATGTCTCTGACCTCAACAGGTAATTACTTGTCGGATGGCATTGTGAGAGTGTGTAATCTAAGCCAGGCGCTTGGTTTGTTCTCTTTCAAGGTTTGCAGATTGTGGACTGCAAGTCCATTGTACATGTCCCTATTGGGACGCCACTGTGTAGAGGCCCACAGCAGACTGCTTACCTGTCTGGATACTAGTATTTGACACATACACTGTACATTGGGGCACCTCAACTCGAACTTTCCCAATACGGTCTCTTCTCTGCACCCTGAAGATGGGGCATGCCCGAAAATTTGGTGAATTCTATTATTTACTGTAAAGTGACGTGTGCAGCAAAGAGACCGTATATGGAAAGTTCGAGTTGAGGTACCTAATGTATGAGTGGCTGCAGTGGAGTTTGCGAGTGCTTAGAAAAGCGTATACACTGTACACTGTACTGCACACATTGTGCAAGCATGCTAAAATCTGTCTTGGGACTACATGTAAGCAGCTGACCACCTGTTTCAGAGGAGCGCTAGAAAGAAAAGAAATTCACGGCTCGCGTCAGACTCGGCTAGATGCCGAGTATTCCGCATCCGTAGAAACGCTGCCACCCTTCAAGGAGATCAAGGCGCAGATGCAGCTCCTAAAGCGGTGGGAGGTGAGGAGATCAGGCCAGCAAAGTGGTCAAAGACAGAAAATCCCATTCACTGCATCCATGTATCCATGCTTCCCTCGTGCCACTAGAACTGGAACCGCTACTTGTAGAACTGGACCAACGGGTGTATCATTCCTGGTCAAGGGGCTCTGGACATTGGGACTATGAGGACCACAGTTTGGAGCTCCGTAGGTGCCTTAGACACAGTATGGTTCAAGTCCAGTATGAAGTTCATATTGTAAACACACGCTGACTTGTTTGCACTTGGTGTTGTGTAGATTTTTGGAGGATCTAGAAGAAGGTGTGTACATTCAGCACACCCTGGAAATGGTGCTCTTCAATGGCGATGGCAAGCAGCTGATGGTGAGCTCTTTCTCCTTCCCTCCATCACAGACACACATGCATGATCACGCTTGCATTGACATGCACATATGCACACATGCATGATCACGCTTGCATTGACATGCGCATATGCACACATGTACACAGACACAGACACACACACACACGCACACACGCACACACACACACACACACACACACACACACACACACACATACACACACACACACACACACACACACACACACACACACATACACACACACACACACACACACACACACACACACACATGTATACATATATGTGTGTGTGTGTAATGCCTTGGCGCTGTCTGATTTGTGCAGGTCACTATTGTTGTCTTGGCATGCTTTGGATACAATACAACATACGTATGTCGTATGTATGTTAATTGAATGGTTTGATTCTGTGTGTATCCATGCCTGTATAACTCTCTCCCCATTGTCTGACTCTTGCACCATGCTATAGTCTGAGAGCCTGTATCTTTACGGAGTCATGCTGCTTATCCTGGACATGAAGATCGAAGGACCAATTCGTGAGCGAATGCTTGTTGCTTACAACCGATACAAGTGAGTCTATCTTGGACCCACGTGTGCCATAAGGTATCCATAGTAGTGCAGAGTATAGATGTGTTGTATGAACAGCAGTCCTGCAGTAGAGGGCCGTGTGTGTGTGCATGTGTACGTGTGTGTGTGTGTGCACGCGCGCGCGCGCGTGATGTTGCCCCGTCTTGTACTGATGTGCACTTACATATGCCATATCTCTTAGACTGTAGGGTGCACTGATGTGCTTTTGCAGGCTCTGTGTAGGCTCCTGATCTCAGGCGCACACTATGCTCTGGCCCAACATGAGCATGTGTGTTCAATTGTGCAAAGGTTGGTCGCCGGGGGGGGGGGGGGGGGGGGGGGGGGCATTATCCCATGGTGCCGAAATGCACAACTAGTGCACCACTGTACACATTTGCTGGACATTTAGTACAGAGGAAATCATTCATGGTGTTTTTGTTTGTCGGACCATTTAGCACCTGTTCCCCTTGTAAACATACATACATGAACATGTACTGTTGATCCAGGATTGTTTTCCTTTGAGGGCTCAACAAGACAAGTAGCAGTACAGTGGTCCCTCTATAATCCGGCACCGTTTGTGCCACGGAAATCTGCTGGATTAGGGAGGGTGCTGGATTAACAAATCGAATTTACTGCTGCAATGTGCGTGAAGAGGACATTTTGGCTAATGCAAATTGTGCTGGTTTACAAATTGTGCTGGATTAGAGAGGGTGCTGGATTAGAGAGGGTGCTGGATTAGAGAGGGACGATTGTAGTACCACTACTTGGGGTGTGACTTGTACACACACACTGGTTCTGGTCCTGATTGTAGCAGTTGTAGCTCCTCACTGTTTATCACAACACTTGACCTAGCAGGACAATGAAATTCACATTGCCTGAGAATATTAGGCAGTGCCCTGCTGTTGGCATGGTCTACGTTCAGAACTGACTATGGGCTACGCCTACCTGAACCCTTACCCTCGCCTATCCTGCCGTTTCCTTGCTTTGTTGTTGTTCAGTGCGGCCCAAACTGTGGACTCCAGTATGGACGATGTGTGCAAGTTGCTGAGAAGTACAGGCTTTGTAAACGGAGCGCCACCCAAGAAGCCGCCCAAGTATCCAGAGGACTATTTCTCGTGAGTTTGTTTGTGTTTGCACAGCCTTTTAGTGCAGTGACATGAGTGTGGCGTTTCTTTTAATGCAACCTGAATGCGGTGTGGCATTTCTTTCAATGCAACGCGAATGACAATATTGTGTGGCATTTCTTTCAATGCAACCCCAATATGCTTTCAATTTTTACTCTCATTCTGTCCAGTGACCAATATTCAGCAAGGTGTTTTGTGCTGTTTGATGTGGTGTTGTGTGTGGTGTTGCTCAGTCGTATTCCCATCAACCAGGAGTTCATTGAGATGGTGATAGGACGGTTGCGATCGGATGATATCTACAACCAGGTGAGTGTGACAGGAATCCTGTCCTTAAAGTACCTGTAGTATTGCTTTCACTGTCCTCTGAGCTACGTACCATGTACCACTGCTGCTTCTCATGTTTATGACTCATTGTCTCTGCCTCTTTTTGCCTTTCTACTCCTCCCTCTCTACCGAAGTCTCACTCCTCTCTATTGCTGTGGTTTGTTTACTTCGTTGATATTCATGGACTTCTGCTACAAGGAATACCAAGAGTACATAATGTACTCTTGGTATTCCTGCACTGTACCATTGTTTCGATGCTGTTTGTTTTGATGGCAGATTACCAACTACCCATCACCAGAACATCGCAGCACGGCACTGTCCACACAGGCATCCATGCTTTACATCATTCTCTACTTTTCACCACACATGCTGAACACGCAGCAAGCCAAGATGAGAGAAATTGTAGACAAGCATTTCCCCGACAACTGGGTAAGTGTCTTTCGTTCAGTGATGGCTCGGTAACTTTCAATGTTACTGGCAGTCAACTTATTGGTGTTAGTGCCAAGGTGACCTTCTTGGCTGACCATGTGTCATTGAGGGCTTCCTTTGCTTGCTTGTATGTATGTACTTGAAGTATGTATGTATTCATGTGACACTGCTGCCGAGCCGAAACCAACAGCAAAGGAAACAGTAACAAATTCCTTAGCCGGTTGTATACTGGATTTGAGCATATGTTCGAACAGACATGTCAATGAGATACGGCTATGCACAATGATGCACATTGTTCTTTTGGCAAACTGTATTGTTATGTGCACATTGTGAGTACTCTGCACTGCTGGTAGCTCCTGTGTCATTGTGTGTGTGCATGCGTGCATGAGTGGGAATGACTATTGATAGTAACAGTGTGTTATGTTGTGTTGTGTTGTCAACAGGTGATCAGTGTCTACATGGGTATCACGGTGAATCTCATCGATGCCTGGGCACCGTACCGTGCTGCTTCCACTGGCCTGAACAACACTCTGGAACAGGGAAACATTGTTGAACAGGTACTAGTACTAGTAGTACACATGTACTGACGTAGTCATGTACTCTAACAGTGCATCAGTGCATGATGCTCATGCCCTAAGAAGGGGATTATACTTGCGAGCGTTGCCAAAGGTGTGTGATGCCACACGGTGGCGTAAAGTGGCGAAACCAGAGTTTAAAGCGTGTTTGTGGGCAGGTTGACGGGTGGGGGAATATGTTCGTATGGACTTGGCAACCATAATGATGATGGATGAGTGACTGGGTTATTCGTGGAAGCGTGTGTTCCGCGTAGGAGCAACCAACTTCTTTTCTGGTTTGGTGTTGCTATTTCGCCTGTATCCCAGTTGCATGTCTGCTCTCTTTTGTTTACTCCGCTCCTCTAATCTACTGTAGCTTAGTGCTCAATGTGCTGTTGTTGCTCTTTGGTGTGTTGCTGCTAGGCATCTCGTCACATTATTCGAGTAGGACAATTGAACAAGGCGGTGAGTATCTTCTTGTGTGTGGGTGTGGGTGCGTGAGAGAGAGAGAGAGAGAGAGAGAGAGAGAGAGAGAGAGAGAGAGAGAGAGAGAGAGAGAGAGAGAGAGAGAGAGAGAGAGAGAGAGAGAGAGAGAGAGAGAGAGAGAGAGAGAGAGAGAGAGAGAGAGAGAGAGAGAGAGAGAGAGAGAGAGAGAGAGAGAAGGGCACGTAGACAGACATACGGACAGACGGACATACCAGTATTTACCAAGAGCTTGATTGTTTACGCTATGGCGGCACATCCTTCACTTCATTTTAAAAATGAGAGAGACTCTTGTTGATGCTCTTTTGACTTGTTATGTGTTGATACGGTACATCGTACTGTGTATGTGCCAATGTTTGTGTGTCTTGCTCAGGTTGACAAGTATCTACAAGAAGGTGTTCTCATTGAAGACTTTGTTCTGGATCACATTCCCAAGCTGATGAACTGCTTACGGGAATGCAATGTTGTCATTCGATGGCTGATGATGCACACTAGTGAAGGTGTGTAGGACTCGGCTGTATCATCATATTGGAACCTAGAAGTCATTGAAGTTTCCTTGGAGACAAAAAATAATACTTACATATTATAACACTATATTAGTACGAAGCGAACACACTTCAGGCTCTTCACCACTTACCTTTTGGAAGTTTCCACTAGTATACATGTACTTTCATGCCTTCTTATCAGGTTGTCTTTCAAAGTGTTGCTGGTGAAGAACCTAAAGTTGTGTACTTCCTAGGAATCATTTGCCTTGTCTGTCTGTGTGTGTGCCTGTGTGTTCGTGCATGTGTTATGCGTGTGTGTGTGTGTGTACATGAGCATGTGCGTGGGCATGATTGTGTACATGCACTTACAACTATGTTTTTTTTGTCTTTCTGTAATATACTATGCTGGCATTAATCATTTGAGAAAGAAGTCTATCTCTCCTCTCATGTCCTCTCAACTCCTCTCAACTCCTCTCAACTGCTCTTCTCTTTGCTACACTGTTTACAGCTTCGCTTGTGGAGGGCACCAAGCGTGCCAAGATGATCTATGACATAGTAGTTGGACAGCAGTATCATGTGAATGCTCTGTTCAACCTGCTGCTCAACACTGCTCAGCTTGAGTTCCGCTTGAAGGAGGTTAGTGACTCTCTGGCGCCGGTGATTTGTCCAATAACATAATATTAACTGGTTTGAGGGAAAGAGACAAACGGGAAAAGTCTGAAGAAAAAATTGACTGTCACCACCAGGACTCGAACCAGGGACCCTCGCTTGTAGCCAGCGATGCTCTAACCACTGAGCTATGGTGTAGTCGTCATCCCAGCAGAGGCCGTTCAACATTTTCTTCAGACTTCGTAACTCACACTTCCTGTGAACATAATATTATGATTGTATTAGCACATGCATTCATGTATCTCCAGGCTGGAGTGATGTCATCGACCATTGTCTCTAAGTTATTACCTTGCCATTGCCTATCCTAGAGTCAGCGCAGTGCTACATTGCACATGCATTCTTTCAGTGCACGCTCACGTGTGCATCGGTGGCTGTTTGCTTTGTTTGCATTCGTAGATGTTCAAGATGATGTTGGGCAGCAAGAAGGACAAGTGGGAAGGCTACAAGAAGGAGGGTTCGGAGCGAATGGCTGAACTGGCCGAAGTCTTTTCTGGTAGCAAGCCTCTAACACGTGTTGAGAAGAATGGTAAGATCATGCACAGTGTTTGTTATGGGGTTGATGGGCTGTACATGTACATATAGGTGTGATTTAGGTTTGCTGTAGTGTAGGTAATAGGTATTGTGCAGGGGCAATGCTAGTAGCTAGTGCTTTATTTCATGTAGGCATGCTTCTCGCATTGTGTGGTCACATTCACGAGCATACTAGTGCTTGTAACGTAACCAACCGTTGTTTCTGTGTACACTCTCAATCAATGCTGTTCTGTACTCACAGACAACCTGCAAGCCTGGTTCAATGAGATGGCATCTCAGATCACATCATTGAGCTATGATGATTCAACCACTGCTGGTCGAAAGATTGTGCAGTTGACGCAGGCATTGGAAGAGGTAATCTATGGTGCTGTGCTATTTCTTCACATATCGCCTCTCTCTCTCTCTCTCTCCTCTCTTTCTCTCTCCTCTCTCTCTCTCTCTCTCTCTCTCTCTCTCTCTCTCTCTCTCTCCTCTCTCTCTCTCTAACTCTGCATTTCTTCATAATTCACTTCTTTGCTTGTGCCTATGCCTGTCTATAGGTGCAAGAGTTTCATCAGCTTGAAACCAACATGCAGGTGCGGCAGTTTCTGCTGGAGACACGCAAGTTTCTGCATCAGATGATTCGCACGATCAACATCAAAGAGGAGGTAAGCTTGGCAGATACTAGTACATGACATTATACAATCTTGGATAGACCGTGACTGAATGCTAAGAATAGTACTACTAGGGTTGGACGGCACAAGCAACTACTAGTAAGTCGACTGTCCAGTTGGTAGAGTTGAGTCTTTTAAAGGGAAAACCCCTATCAGCTGGCACGTCTCCAGTCGCATCACTCCTAACGATATTCCCATACTGTAGAACGGGTAATTTTAGCGACGTAAAAACCCTAGCGAATTTAGCGATCTACTCATTTTCGCTAAAGTTTCAAGTCGCTAATCCGTTGAGAAGTAAGTAGTGCACTGGTGATCCGTGAGTAAAATGGCTGCAAATTGCTAAAATAAAACGTCGCTAACCGGTTGACAATGGGAAAACGCTAAAATTAATAGTCACTAAAATTACCCGTTCTACAGTATGCCTGCTTTTTCTCCTTTTCACTCACACCGGTTAATCTAGACTGTCATATGGCCATGGGTATTTTTTGTAGCTTGTTCCATCCGCATCATGCTGTGCGTGTGGTGTGTGTTTGTGTGTGTGTGTGTGTGTGTGTGTGTGTGTGTGTGTGTGTGTGTGTGTGTGTGTGTGTGTGTGTGTGTGTGTGCGCGCGTGCATGTGCGTGCTCAGGTTCTCATCCAGATGCAGATCATTGGTGATCTGTCATACGCCTGGCAGATCATTGACAAGTAAGTCACTCCCAGTCTTACTGCATTGCTTTGATCGGGATACATGCATAGTCATAGTCATAGTCATAGTAGATATGATTGTCGGTGGTCATGGAGGGGTGCATGTGTTGCTGATGTATATGTCTGTACTAGTGCGATGTACTGCTCACTCAGTATGGCTGTGGATGTGGGTGGGCATGTGCTGTGGGTGGCTAGATCGGCTGCTCTTTGAGTGCTCCGTGTCTCAATATTCTATTGTACTGACTGTGTGATGTCTCCATGGTGTTGCTCTCCCCTGTCTCCCATAGCTACACAGTGTTCATGCAAGAGGCAATCAAGCAAGATCCCAGTGTGGTCACAAAGCTCCGTGCCACCTTCCTCAAGGTTTGTACTCTACTCTACTGTGATGGACGTTCAGAACTGTGTGTGTAATAGAGATATGCTCTGTGCATGAGATTATTTAATCAAAAAAGTAGAAATACACTGTACATGTATGAGTATTGAAGAAGGGTAAGTATGAGTATCATAAGTACTCGTTTTCAAGCAGGGTAAGCAGCAGCATTTGGCCTTGTACAGTTTTTTTGTGTTGTGGCAACATGTCGAGGTCGGCCGGAGAGTGTAGTTGTGGTGTGGTTGTGGTGTGGTTGTTGATGTAAAAATACATGTACATGATGGTATATTGAGAGGAATTTTCAATCAGAGAATGCTTCTCTTTTCAATAACCTTTTTCGTTTACCTCTCCTCTATCTACCTCTTTCTGTTCTTGTCTCATTATTCAGCTGTCTTCCGCACTGGATGCCCCACTTGTGCGTATTAGCGAGTGTGGTAGTAAAGACTTGGTCTCCGTCTCCCAGTACTACTCTGGTGAACTGGTCGCCTACGTGCGGCGGGTAAGTTATCGTATTACTCTAGTTACACTATTATATAATTATGCTTCTGCAGAGACGATGTGGAGTCGATGTACCGTAAAGTCTTGTATAAAAGCCGCGGCTTCTATGACTTTCTTGGTGAAATTCTGCAGGCTTCTATAAAAGACAGGTATTTCTATGTATGTCAACACTAAAACCAGGCTTTTGTGTAATTTGATGGGCCCAAAATTGCGGCTTCTATTCAAGTACGGCTTTTATACAAGACTTTACGGTACCTACCGGTATGTATTGCTACTGATGTATGAGTTTTAGTCTCCGGCATATGCTCTGGGTTTCTCAGTGTTTGTGAATGTTGTAATAACTTTTGCGAGGAATCATTGTAACCGGTATTCGTGATGGCAGTGCTTTGTCGGCAGCTGCATCTTTGTGTCACACTGTGACTGCCTCTGACTTGTGTTTGTTTCCTCATTTGCTACGGCATGTGTTTGTGTGTGTGTGTGTGCGTGTGTGTGTGTGCGTGTGTGTGTGCGTGCGTGTGTGCAGGTGCTGCAAATCATTCCGCAGTCTATGTTTGGTGTTCTGGAGAAGATCATCACTATGCAGACACGTAGTATTCAGGAGGTATGTTGGCAGTGCCATGGGCCTCAGAGAGGCCTTTTTTAGCAAGTTACCTCCGTCTATTGTTATTTGTGCCTTTCCTCATATTCGTGTTGTGCGGTAGATAACTTTGTGCAGGCCTGCACTCCCTGGCAACAGTACTTAGCACATGTATCAGCTGTCATCCTGCTCTAAAGTATGTTGTGTGCTTCACTGTGTGTCTTTCTTACAAGGTGCCAACTCGGCTGGAAAAAGACAAACTGAAGGAGTATGCTCAGCTTGATGAGCGTTACCAGGTAAGCTTGTGTTGACATGTGCCTAATTTGACATGGGGCATCCTCTGCCCATTTGTGGGTTTCTTCAGCCAGTACAATACAGCTACCATGTTATGTTGTCATGCAGTGTTGTGTGTGTTCCATGCTGAGTGTCCTGTTTGTTCTGTTCTGATTTGCCTGTCTCATCTACTGTTGCACATAGGTTGCCCAACTGACGCACAGCATATCCGTGTTCACAGAAGGTATTCTCATGATGAAGACAACACTTGTTGGCATCATCAAGGTCAGATTGCGTAATGCTCTTGGCTGCTCTGACATGATTGTGCACTGTCTATTTTTCTAGCTACGTGTAGACATCCTGATGATGGCTCCTGGTCGAAATTTGGTTAGGATTATTGAATTTGCAGCAAAGAGACCACTTGCTTTTGGTGATGATGCAGTGTTTTCTGTGTCATGTGTAGCCATGTCAGTGTGTTTCTACTACATGGAACAGCTTGCTGTAGTTGTTGTCTATAGTCTGTACTGCTTCACACACACCATCTATTGGTCATTCAAAATGGTAACATTCATTCACTTCATTGTCCCTGTGATGTGTGTGTGTGTGTGTGTGTGTGTGTGTGTGTGTGTGTGTGTGTGTTGGCAGGTTGATCCTCACCAACTGCTGGAAGACGGCATTCGTAAGGAGTTGGTCAACAAAGTAGCAGCCGGTCTGCATCAGTTCCTGGTCTTCAACCCCAAAGCTAAGGTATGGCATACAGGTGAACTGTAGGTCCTTGATACTAGCATCACATCCACTTGTCTATTTGGAATTAACCTTGCAGCTGGCTTACAGGTGTGAACGTTATTGAAAAAGTCGTGTTGATGACAATGTCCAGTGCCTTTACCTTTCTTTGCAAGGATACACAACATGTTCTTCTTTCATGTGGTGCATTCTATTTTGAAACTTGTCTAAAATTACCCTCCAATTGTTTCTGTTTCTGTTAAGTTTACCTTCTTGGTGCTGTTACTGTATGCCTTTTATTGCTCTCAGGCACCGGAGTTGCTCCCCCGCTTGGACGGTCTGAGTGCCCACATGGAGGGCTTCCGCAAGTCCTTTGAGTACATCCAGGACTACGTCAACATCTATGGGCTCAAGATCTGGCAAGAGGAGGTGAGTGTGTGAGATCAATTGCAGTAACCTGCAATATTCATGAGCCGTATGCCCTCAAAAGAAGTCTTCAGGCTTCCTGCAGCTTCATAATAGAAAAGAAATTTGGGTGGCCACACCCATTCCAGTCTCACTGCAAATCTGAACCAATTCCATTATTAAACAATGTTCGGCACATGGCCATCGTCAGGTAACTGAACGATGCCCTCCACAAGATTAGTTTGGCTTTTGTGTGTGTGTGGGGGGGGGGGGGGTACTGTCATGGCCTGGATAAATGACAATGGGCTATCATTGCAAAGTCAAAGCCACGATCAAGGTGTATGTGTGTGTCTGTGTCTGTGTGTGTCTGTGTGTTGCTGTTTACTTGGCTTGGCTAGGTCTCTCGCATCATCAACTACAATGTGGAGCAGGAATGCAACAGTTTCCTGCGTACAAAGGTCAGCAATGCCTGCTGCACTGTTTACTCAGTGTTTAGCAAATACAGAAGTACCTAGCACTGTGTGACCCGCATGCATATATCTATGCTGTGCTGAATCCTGTTTCTAGGGACTGCATGTTGTCAACTCGAATCTAGATTTTTTAGTTTTCCATATCAACAGTATACTATGCACATACGTGTATAATGGACTAGAACAGACTGTCGGAACATTTCCCTTTTCCAACGCCTCCAGAAAATGCTCAGAATGGTTTGGATAATCAATACTCTATTGTATGTCCGTTGGTGGTGTGCCAGTGTGGCATGTGAGAACAGTGAAAACACATATGGATAGTGATAAGTTCTGAACATGCTTGTTCTTATTCAACTTCCTAATAAGCTTGCCTGTCCCATATCATGAGACCTGAGTGTGTCCATCTGTCATGGAACTCTGGCTTGAACTTACATGTGCCTATTCTGTAGTCTGTACGCATGATGGAATACTGGTACGTTTCCTTGTGCGTATCCCGAGTTACAGACCAATGATACAGCACATCCTGATATTGTGTGTGTTGTTCCTGTGTTTGTGCTGTGTGTTGCTTATACTGTATGCATAGGTCTATGACTTTCAGTCTGTGTACCAAAGCAAGACGATCCCCATTCCTCGTTTCCGACCAGTTGATGCCTCCGTCAACTTCATGGGACGCTTGGCGAGAGAGATGCTGCGAATGACAGATCCCAAGTATGTCTAGAAGTGTGGTTCAAGCCCTGTGCCTAAACTGGTGAACATTGCAATTACTGAACATACCCTTATCAGGGTAGTACTGTGGTTATCCTGACCTTATACGGCAGTTGTGATGGTGTACATGTAGTGTTCCCTTCTAGAGCTGTCTCCAACAGCATTTTAAGCATACTTTACTACATGATTGTAAATCATTTGTCTTCGTGTGTGTGTGTGTGTGTGTGTGTGTGTGTGTGTGTGTGTGTGTGTGTGTGTGTGTGTGTGTGTGTGCATGCGTGCATGCGTGCATGTGTGTGGGTGTGTCCGTGCGTGTGTGTGGGTGTGTTGTTGTTGTTATTGTTGTAGGGTGACATATTTTGTCAACCAGATGAACACATGGTACAACAACCGCTCATACGATGAGGTGATTGATTCCAAAGTGTTCGCCAAGCTCCAGGTATGTTTATATTTACAGTCAACCTCATCAATAATGAACTTGACTGTAGCGACCAATCGTGAATATTAACATGTTATCTTCTCCCAGAACAAGCACCCAATTGGCTACCTACATTCAACCTTGGGTGTAGCGGTGGTCTGGCATAGTTGATGACTGTGTGGATAACAACACAGTTGTATGTGTCCAGAGATCAAGATTGCCACTTGAATACGCGACGTTTTCATCACATGAGTGCCTTCTAGTCCGACAGTCACAACATTGCCTTGATGTCACCTCCAGTTTTGATGTTGTATCTCTGTGCCGTTGATAGTTCAGTGACCCGTTTGAGCTAGAACATTTTACATGTTTGGGGGCATGTTTGTTTGTGAGTCCCTGGCCATACCGACCTGACCAGTGCATGCTAGGAAAAACCTGGCAGGATGTCCATGCCAAGTCCTGGCAGGATGTCCTGGCCAAGTCGAGTTTGTACACCCTCGCCTCTAGGCCTGCGGTAGAAACGATTTTTAATGCAAGCAAGACTGACCCAAACACAGTCCGATTGCTTAGTAGAGAAGAGCTGCTTTACTGAGCTCCTGTTCTGCTTTGTGTATTGCCTGTACATACAGAATGCTGTAGGAACGTTTGGCTTGTCAGGTCTGGATCGTCTCTTCTGTTTCATGATGGTCAAGGAACTGCAGGTACTGTCTTGGTATATGTAGAAGCCTTGCTTGATAGGTTTAACGTGTTTTCGACTTCGACAGCATGTTGCAAGGCGAGGACGCACAAGTGCTTCTGACTACAACCATAACCCGGTTGGCACAGTCCCGGTCTTGCGACCATTTGAACCGTATGCAACCGGATTATGGTTGTAGTCAGGAGCGCTTGTGCGTCCTCGCCTTGTAACATGCTGTCGAAGTCGAAAACAGGTGCTGTCTTGTATAAATGATATCTTGCCCATAGGATGTCAGTACTCCTTGTCAGTTTGTGCTAGATTGTGCACGTCTGACTGTTCAAAATCAGGTCCAGTTGGTGGGCTCTAACGCATACCTTGCCCCACCGTTTTCCATGTTTCAATTTAATAGCATGTACTCGAGTAACAGTTACATTCCTTTAGACAAGCTTTGGGATACTGATGCCAGAACATAGTATGTGTTCAATGATGTCCTGGTGTATGTACGTCCCTTAGCACAATACTGCTCCAGGCCAGAGTCTCTATGTGTTCTTGTGTGTTCCTTAGCACAACACTGTTGCAGAGTCTCACTGTTCCAGAGTCTCACTGTTGCAGAGTCTCACTGTGTTCTTGCGTTTCCGCCTGACTGCTTTGCTTCCTGCTTAGTCGTTTGTGCGCATGCTGAAAAGCATGACGGCGGATGTTCCGACCAAGAACATGTTCAATGCCGTGCTCAAGAACCTCTTCCCACTCAAGGCTGAACCTGGTAAGAGTTGTGACTTGTGAGCATACACTGAACCTGCAAAGTGTGACACTCCTTGCCAAAGTTGCCAACTTTAGTCAAAGAGCCCTACTAGTAAGTAAGGAATTACTACAATTTAGTAGGCTCCTGACACTGTGTCTTTCTGCTTGTCTGTGCTTAGTCAACCCTGGAAAGCTCTACCAACAAGCCATTCAGAAATCCGCACGCCTGTGGCCGCCTGTCCTGGAAGTTGTGTTGAATGTAAGTACTGACTAGACTAGTGGTATCTTACTCGTATTGTTGTGTAGCCTGCTGTGCCTGTGTACTGCCTGTGTACTGCCTGGTTCTGACGTGTCTCCGGTCTGCTATGCTCCCTTGTACTTGTAAGCATGCACTTCAGTAGCAAGAATTCGTTATGTCAGAAAAGTTCTTGTCCTGGAAAGCAATCGCTAGCGGTTTTATAATAGTTTAGAAGAACTGAGAAGTTGCGACTTCGGCGCTATTGGCGATGAAGTTGGTTGTTCCTACTTGGAACACACGCTTCCTGCCGAACTTGACACTTAACTGACTCACGACTGCCATCCGTAGAAGAACTGGTATTTTGTATTGACCTCTCATCATGCCATGGCAGTCAGTGATGTACAATGAACATGTCTCTCTCAAATAGTGCACTTGACTTGCATTGGAAGTGTACATTGAGCATTCCTACCTCCTGCCGTTACACATTGCCGTTGTGCAGCCCGTCATACACTGCCAGTGGCTCGGGTAGATCACCAAAGTGGCCTTGTACATGTACTTGCAGACCAGCTCTGTGTAGCAATGTACTACAGCTGTATTTTGATAGCCTAGATCCTTTGCATCTTGGAAATACTTTGATCAGCACAATTGGTCATAGCAAATCACAGCACGCACAGCGCACACAATTGCTCTTGTATGTATTCTGACTTGTTAGATTGGACAGCGACAGCTGCTGCGACGACAGATTGCCAATGAGCTACGGTCATCATGCCGCTTCGACTCCAAGTTCTTAGCATCGTGTCTGGCCACCTTCAACCAGTAAGTATCACAGCAGTGTGGACCACAGTCTCTTCCAAGTGGAGATTCATACTAATACACTATGTACAGTGGGTACTTACGGGTGGCTGCTAGTAGACGTTTTCAGTTAGATGAAGATACTCGTACATCCTACTGGACTAGTGTAGTACAGTCAGACCTCGCTTATCCGGTCCTCTTTTATCCGGATCCCTCACCATCCGGAAGAAAATAGCTCGTTACAGATTTGCAGCATACTTGATGCATCCAACATAACCGTTGTTCGGTTATCCGGTTCCCTCGCCTATCCGGATATTTTGTGGAAAACTGATGTATGCGGTTAAGCGAGGTCTCACTTCTAGAATTCTCTCGCTCAAATGCTGCATGGCGTGCTGTGTATAGGTTCCGTAAAGCAGAGGGAGGGAGACAGGCATAGACGGAGATGGACTCTAGCAGCCAGTAACAGTACAAGTTTAGTTCTTCTTTTCAAGTGCAGTAGAACCTCTCTCCCCCGGGTGCCTTGGGACTGAAGGGTGCCGCCCGCATCTTTTCATAATCTTCCATATTACTCAGAAATACACTACAACCATGTCGAGTATGGCACGCTATTCTCTTCAGTTGGGCTTACTGGCCTCGGATTGAAACCACTAACAAATACACACAGGTATCTGCTGAGGAGTATGGTCTTTTATGCGGAGAGGTAGTTTAGCTGTCCGCAAGAAAAGTAAGACATTTTGAAGGACTGACTGCACATACCTGCCTGCAGGGTGCCAGGTTACGGGAGGAAATGCCTGGGTATGGGACATCTGGATAGGAGTGGGTCCACTCTTGTTGGTATTTATGGCATCTGACTCAATTGAATCATTGCCTTCATCATCTTTGTTCCTCTCTCTTGTGTGTTCAGGTCAATCTTGACTGATATCCAGGCTCATTACGCTGACCCGTCTTTGCCCTACCCGGGTGAAGACAATCCTCTTCTGTCAGAGCTCACATCTTACTTGGAGACGTCCGGTATTCACAATCCTCTCACCAAGGTTTGTGCTGGGGTTTCCCCATGTGTGCTTGCTTACAAGGACACTTAGTACTTACTGAAGTATGTACTAACTTGTTTGGCCTGTTGGTATCAGCGCATACCGTAGTATTGCGCCGCTATAAGAACAGTGCCTTGCAATCGAAAGCCTGGTGTTTTCGGCACTTCATCACAATCTGACACTGTTTACTGCGCGTCGAGTGTGAGGCTATGATACATATTGTGGTAACTTTTCAAGAGTTTAGAACACAAGCTAGGTTTGCTGTGCAAGTATATCCAGAGGAGGAGGATGCCGGAGAGGCAACGTGTTACACTGTTTGCTTGTCTGTTTATTCTTTCATCTAGATCTACATCACACCGAGCAAGTCAGAAGGCCTGTCTCTAATACTGTTCATCTTCACGCTGTCTCTGCTGCCTAAGCTGCAGTATCTTCGCAGCCTCGGTGAGTTGTGAAAATCAAGAGGACAATCCAATAACACCGTCTGTCTCAGGTTTTGACAAAAGGATTATTTCAGAATGGCCGGTCGGCTCCCTTTATGTGCATGGGAGCTTATGCTTGCCCTGGGACTTGACTTGACACTTGAACTCTCAACGACCAAACAGAACCTTTACTCGAAGAAACAATGTGAATGGTGATGGTTAGGATTTGATGAACCTTTGAAGAAATACAGTCAACATCGCTTATAACGACACTCTGCGGGGCATCAGAAAAGTGTCCTTATTCGCGAAGTGTCGTTATACCCGAAGTCTCATTATATGTGTCACAGTTGGATGGGACTTTGCTCTGGGCATGAAAATGATGTCGTTATTCGCGAATTGTCGTTATATCCGCAGTCGTTATTAGCGAAGTTGACTGTAGTACACTGTCACTCTACACGCATGGTGGACGAGGCCGGCCAAAGGATCAGAGAATTACAAGTGGTTTGAAATATGTACCAGCGCTGCCTGTGTGTGCAAGTGTTTGTGCTGGTTTTGTGCCTAGCACACGATAGATGTACACTGTTTGATAACTATGCCAAGGCTGCACGTCATTAACTTGTATTCTGTGTACCTCCGTGTATAACTGTTCCCCGGTCCATACAGGTGGCTTTGTTGCCAAGAAGGGTGTCGAGCCGTTTGATGGTATTGCTTTCGTGGTGGGACTGGTGACGATCCTGCACCAATTCCACACGGATGCTACAGAAGTCTATCTGGCCTTCTGTGCCCAGTACATCCGCAGTATGGTTGATGCCGCTGCCTCGTCAAAGTATGTACTTGCATTTCCCAGGCATGCAGCATGGGTTGTGGGCAGGTGTGACTGGATTGTATTGTTCGAAAGATAAATTCACAATCATGATGGCATTATAGTAGTGTCAGAGATCGCATTAGCATGGAGCTCAGCATGACAACTTGTCTTCACTCTGTCTATATTGTGTGATCATGACAGTTGATTTCGTTGGCATTGTGATGTGAATGATTATTTTATGTCTTTGCAGTTACCTGTGCAATGGACTGCTAATCGCCTCGTTCTCACGATGTCGTTGATGCTTACTGCTTGTAGTGACTCTCCATTGCACTCTTGTTTGTCCTTCTGTGCACACACTTTACATGCCATGGGTCCGCTGCACTGCTATTGCACTGGCTCGTTTAAAATAATATCATGCTTGATGTGATGTGTGTGTGTGTGTGTGTGCTGTGTGTGTGTACTGTGTGTATTGTGTGTTGAAGGGACAAGTCACCTGACCTGCCTGCAGATTGCATTGCTCTTCTGGTGTTTTTGGAGGAGTTTGTGTGCTACGGCGAGCACTCACAACAGGTAATGTTACAGTCACTGTCAAGGCTGTCAGTCAGGATTATGATCATGATCGTGAACGCGTGTAATGTTTTCTTCAGTACTTGAACTCATGACAATGTAGTGATTGCACATGTACAGTCAAGCTAGGATAAAACGATGCCTAACAGATGATTAACGATCGCCAGCAGGGAGTACTCCTTAGTTGTCAGCAGGGAGTACTCCTTAGTTGTCAGGTTTGACAGGACACAGGTCTCTTCCGTAGCACTTCTTTCGTTAACATTATATTTTTTACTTTTTCCAGCACATGTACTTCAGTACTGAGGAAGGAAGTGATATCCTCCCAAACATGAAAACTAGAATATGAAGCTGCAGGGAGCATTGGAAGTGTTTCTTAGATCATCAAGAATGCCAGAAAATGATGCCTGCGGAAGATCTCCTCGGATATACGTCCGATTGGTGTCTTAGTTCTGGGATAGCTATGTGTAGATCTACGACATGCATGACGATAAGTTGTGAACTTCTAACGTTACAAACAAGACTAAGAAGTCTTATTTCCACCTGGTTGGATGTGGATAAAGGTACCACCTGTGTGTGTGTGGGGGGGGGGGGGGCACAATTTAGAGGTCCCTTGCGCAAGTGGCTTATGTAGCAAGAAGGACCCATGAGTGTGTGTGATCCCCGGTAGCCTAATCGGTAGGGCACTGTCCCGGAAAGACAGGGGTGCTGGGTTCGAATCCCGCTCGTGGATCCTTCTTTTGCAACATTGGCGCCTGGCAATGGCTCGAACCCACGACCCATCGTACCCCCCGCGAGCTAGGTACGGCGTGAGGACACAGCCTGTTGGGGCGGGGGAGCAGTGTAGCAAGAAGGACCCATGAGTGTGTGTGATCCCCGGTAGCCTAATCGGTAGGGCACTGTCCCGGAAAGACAGGGGTGCTGGGTTCGAATCCCGCTCGTGGATCCTTCTTTTGCAACACTTAGACAGGTTTCACGGTAGTGACTGGCTGTAACCGAGTACATTGTGCCTTCTTGCATCCCATGGTGGTGATGGGTGCCTATAGCCTTGCTGTGTGTGCTCTCTATTATTCCATTGCTGTGCCAGATCTTGGAAGGAAAGGTACCACCGTACATTCTGGATGAGTTCCGCCACAACGTACCCAGAGGTACCTTACCTGCGGCTAAGTAAGAAGCGCTATCAGTGAACATACCCAGAGGCACAGCACATTGCTTGCATCCAAGTAAGCAGTGCTTCCAGCAGCTATCAGTGGCCTCATTTGCTGTGCACTTCACTTGCTAATTTTCTTGATCATCATTTTCAAATTTCCAAATTCATTATCAATATTATTGGCTGCACTCTTTGTATCATATAGTTTTGGAGGTATATTGAGAGAAGAAAGTCACAAAATTGCTTGCCTCGGCAGCATCCATCAGTCTCATTTTCAGATACGAAAAATTATGCCCCATCACAACACATTCGTCATGTTAATTATTTAGCTGCTCTCTGCTGGCGCAGGCACCGGTCCTTGCTTTTGACAATCGCTTTTTTCTTTTTGTTTGTGAATGTGAATCTTGCAATATTCTTGTGTTACTGAATCTGTATTGACAGCGGAATGGTGCGAAGGCTTTGATGTGGTATTTTGTTAGCTTTGTGAAGTTTAAAATCTTGTAGGACGCTTTGTGAAGTTTGTATATATTATATACTTCAGTATTCCATGGTTTCCGCGCAATACTCCCGCTGCATACAAACACACTATAATCCATTGTACTTTTCACGTTAAAAGTGGATGGATCCTTTTTACTTATACGAATATTCTCCATGGTAGCCATCTGTCAAAGCCATTAGGTTATTTGTTATTTTAGACCTCCCTGACACTGACTGACAAACAACTACGGTGTTGGCTACATCTTCGCCAAATTTATCACCATGGGTCGCTTTGCAACATGTGGAACAGTGGGATTTTTCGTTCCACAAGAAAAGAGGTGCTGATCAGCTATGTGTGTGCTGCTCTTGCGCTGATAGCGCTGATATGTGCTCGACCAGCGTACTTGTTAAACACCCACACACCTACCCCCCCCCCCCCCCCCCCACACACACACACATGTGTACACATGCGCGCACACACATCACACACACACATGCACACACAAAGCAAAAACACAGAGTAAAAGGCCACTATAGATAATTAATTGCAAAAAACTCAACCAGACTCCTATTGATATAATACACTATGTACATGATAAGACCAACGTTTTCTCAAACGCTAGTCACTGTGTTCCTTTTCAAGAGCAGTCTCTCCTCCTCTTCAGCCTTCATCATTGCTTCCAGACTCTGGCGGGCCTCATTGCGCAGGGGCTCGCGCTTTGCAAGCTTTTCTTCTAGCTTGGCAGCCCTCGAGTGTTTGTCGGGGCGGTGGCGATACACCTAAACATGCCAAACAAGAAAACGAACCAACACGCGAGTAGATAGGCAGTGGGTGTGATGCGCACAACACATCACATCGCATGTAGATCCACACTAGATCACCCACATTTACACTACATGTACAGACACTCCCTCCACGCACACAATATTAGCGCATACACGTTCGGGATTGCAATACCATGCACCGTCCGGATAGATAGTTCAGGTGACAACGTGGATACCCCACACTCTGAAGGATAGCGACACATTTACATCCCTTCCCCTCTGTGTGTCATGCATGCACGCACCCCCCCCCCCCCCCCCCCCCACACACACACTGTCCACAGTAAGTGACTAGACAATTCTGGTACATGTATGCAAAAGAACTTCCAGATTCTCCATCTCCTCATCAGCATCATGCTGAATGTACATAGTGCATAGACCAACCACAAAACTCTGATAGTTCAAATTTAGGATATTGGTACATCAGTCCACATTGATATGGATACTGATGCATGTGCCTGTACATGTACAGTTGACTCCACATACCGTATTTTCCGGAGTATAGTGCGCACTTTAGATGTGCTATTTTAGGCCCTAAATCGCAGGTGCGCACTATGCTCCGAATATGAAATGCATGTACTTCAATGAAGATTGAGGTGCGCACCCCCAATGAAGTTTGGGGGTGCGCGTTATACAAAGGTGCGCACTATACTCCGAAAAATACGGTATAACGAACTCGCATGTACTGTAAGTAACAAGTTTTTGGGACAAAGCAAACTACAGTAGAATCTGTCAAGGCGACCACCTGCCTCAGAGGACCACTGCAAATAGGACCATGAAGGAGTATTGTTTCCAGTTAAAAGACCCTGAATAAGGAGACCACCTGTACACAGCGACAACTTTTGAAGGTCCATTGAGCGGTCGGCGTAGACAGGCTTCACTGTATTGTCCATGTCCCGGTTTGAACCCACACTGAATTGACCCTTTGCAGAGAAACGTTTTCAGTTGATAACAAAATCATATCTTCCAGTGGAGCATGTAAACCAAGTGCAGTCATGCAGTCACGGGCCGTGTACTACGCCAGGCTTGGCGTGTTGTTTGTATGGCGTGAGTGCATTGCTAGGAAAAAGAACTTTGGCTATAAAGAACTAATTCCCTGCACATTGGTGTTCGTTTATACAGTGGTCCCTCTATAATCCGGCACCATTTGTGCCACGGAAAATCTGCTGGATTAGGGAGGGTGCTGGATTAACAAATCTGATTTTCTGCTAGAACGTGCATGAAGAGGACATTTTGGCTAATGAACATTGTGCTGGTTCATCGAGGGTGCTGGATTATAAAGTGCCGGATTAGAGAGGGACGACTGTATCAGGAGTCAACTGTACATGTATATGCGTGTCCGCAAGCCCACTGCATATATGAATTAGAACAATGTGTCACGTACCTCCTCTGGTACCTCTATGGTTGGGTCCATCTCCAGTTTCTTCAGCATAGCTTCCTTGACTGTGGCTCCAAATAGAGAGTTCATTTTAGACACCGGTGTGTGGATGATATAGTTGTCAAAGCCACCACAGTGGTCAATGTACCTGGCACAGCGCTGTGTCACACTCAGACTGAAGAAAGTCTTGTTCAAAATCTTGCTGTGATAACTACGTGGCAAGGCGTTGGGCTTCCAATGTCTCTTGTACCTGAAATAGCAGAATGCACACAAACCCACATTAGAAATCGTGTATGCGTACATACACATGTACAATACAGTTGAATACACATATACAGACACACACACACACACACACACACACACACACACACACACACACACACACACACACACACACACACACCTACACGAGTCTGTCAAACCATGCAATGTACAAAGAAGGCATACAGAAGTTCACAATGGCGGGAAACTTGTTTTATTGTAAGTCCGAGATTTATGGCCGTTGGGACAATCATCAGACAACACAGTGGATACTGTATTAAAGTCAACAAATATTCGGCGCATATTTATTACCGGCCTGGTCATGTCTGGCTGAAATTTGTGTGTGAAAATTTGTTGCGGCCGAAGTTTTGTTTTGCAAGGTTCAGTGCGACAGTGTATACAGGGCCAGGCGGCATCAGTACAGGCCGAAAATTTGATGCGGCCGAGATGGGTTTTTACTTTTTAGCCCCGGGAGGCCGAAATTGGAATGTGCCGAACATTTGTAGACTTACAGTACTATGTAGTGATAGTAGAGAGGTTCCGCATAACGTAATTACGTTAGTAAAAAACGTAGTCGATCTACGGAAAGTCTTACGTAAACTGCATGCGCATCTGGGTTCCGCCATACGGAGTTTTCAAATCACGTAGCTGCCCTTGGCAACTCCGAATGCAGCAGTGTCCGACCAGATCGACCTGGGGAGAGAGTCATAAATTTGTACCCAATCCACTTACGGACCAGCTACGTTATCAGAGCCCTATCTACGTACTCTCCGTAGACAACTTTCCGTAAGTGGAGTGCAAACTCGCGAATTCACGGGTTTTTCCCGCCCACTAACGTAAAGTTGCTCAACTTTACGTAGTGCGGAACCTCTCTAGTATCAGAGGAAATTGCTCTTTGATCAACACAGTATTAAGGGAAGTTTGCAAGTTTGCGCTACTACCTGCTATACAACGTATATCAACTCAGTAGCGGATGACCGTTACCATGACTACAGTGCAGCTCAATGAAGTCGGATTGGGTGAGTCACGTTTGCATCCTGCACCAGTGCACAGCCCAGTGGTCATGGGTCTGGGGCTGCACAGCGTGACATTGACTCGCATGACCGGATGTCATTGAGCAGCACTGTACATGACAATTGCATGTGCTGTCAGCACAGCACGGTCATGTAACGCTATTGTTCTGCTTGGATTTTCTCTGTTTCACCCTACAATAGTCATGCGCCCAAGAACGTCATTCCAAAGAGGTCAATCTGGGACAGTCTTATCCTTGAGTAACTTTAGTGCGTTCTTATAGCACGTTCCTAGACACAATTTGTACTGGACCGTGTGCACATACACTGTACTACAATACATAATGTATCAAAAAAGCTGCCAGAACACCGACACAGTCGTTCTTAGCTCTAGGCTGTGGAGTTCTTAGTATTTCAGGCGGGGCGTTCTTAGTATTTCAGGCTCAGGTTCTTGGGCTCCATACTCTTCAGCGCGCAACTCTACTGTATAATCATGGGTACATATCTCATGGGTACATATCTCATGGGTACATATCTCATATCACCACAATTTTCTGATGGTTGGCTTGGTGACATGAACTTCAGAAAACAAGCAAAACATTCTTATCGCCATTGTCAATGTGTATTGAATGTTCTACCTTGCGCCGGTATTGAGCACTGTTACAAGACAAGGCAACCCTAGCTGTGTTCTCATATCCCACAGATTCATTACAGGTATGCCAATGAAAGCTAGCTGAGTGGAAGCACCACACGTACTTTACGTTGCACGGTGTAGCATCCCATCCAGTTTGAACGCCTTGATTGTGCCACAATCCAGTCATGGCTCTTTCAGGGTAGTGCGTCGCACGGAATCCAGTAAACTTGGAGTAGACCATTTTGGCACCAAACCCCGGCCTCGCCGGTTAGAAGCACAACTATCCGTGGAAACTGAGTTATAACTTGAATGTAGAAAGGAGTGTAGTGCTCAGGTGAAATTACTGACTCGAACTCCAACTCAAAGAAATCAAACAAATGAAAAGAACAAACCAAAAAATTATGGTACGAAAAAATTAATAATGTTCAGAGCTAGAGCGGGTGATGACGTGACGTGTCGCTTGAGTGCATCTCGATGACATCATTCTAACAGCGGCGCGCGGAAGTACCACGCGGCACGAATGACACCTTTTCAAAAAGTTTGAATTACAAATACAATAATTATTTTATGTCAGTATGTTCTTCACTTGCACTTGGGACTTCTGTCAGTTCTGACTATTCTCCAAGTGTTGGGTTTTTAGTTCAGTCCATGCCCAAGTTTGATACAGTGCTTTGGATGTGCGGAACATTGTGCCACACTGCCAGGTTTCTTTGTCGACTTGTATGTCTGCAACTAGTTAACTATTCATGGCGTACTGTGAGGAGGGGTTATGATCCGTGTAGTTGCTGGTGTCACACTGTCATCTCCGTGCTGAATACCTTCAATGCTTCATTGCGGAGCTCTTACTTCTAGGAAAACTTGCGGAGTCTTCTGACTGAGAGGACTGGAAATGGAGGTTGCTGAACTAATTATTTACATTGGTTATCGTATGCATGCTTGAGATGCATGGTCAACGAGCTGAGTCGGACAGCAGGCACCCTCTTTCAGGTCCATACAGCACAGGCTCTACCTGCTCAGGAATTGATTCTATAAAGCCATGACGTGGTCTTTGGTTGCAGCGAGCTGCATTGTAGCTATCGTTGCACTACAATGTGACGGAGGACGTAACACTGATGACAGCAGTGTTGAAGTACCAGACAAATTCAATCTTGCCACAGGAGTGCCATGTAGACACCTGCAGCAGATGCTCCGTTCCAAGCGATCACTAGCCAAGCGACTGCAGTTTGCTGCTAATGATACACTCACCAAACCTAACTCCATGACAACTGCAGAGAAGCAGGTTCAGGCACAAGTAAGAATCTAAGATGTCAACACGGTTGCACTTGGACTGTATTCGTACATGGACATGTATATACTATACAGTACACCTATCTCACAATAAGTCTTCGATGTAAGCTCATTTACAAGCAGGGTATTTTTCAGATAATATTAATTTTACAAAGAGGCATGTGCACAGTACTCTTAAAAAAATTGTGCCAAGAAGCAGGGAGGTAGCGTAAACCTAGCAATGGATGAAAATTAGTGAAACATGTTAGAACGTTGAATCCAAGCACATGTCCTGTAGTACATGTAGTGTACATTCTACGACTAAGTAGTGTATTTTTAAAATTGCATGCCTTTGCCATTGGAGATCACCTGGGAAATACTCTGGCTAAACAGAAGAAATGAATGCTATCCCCGGCCACTTTCTTTTTACCAATGAGTTTGTGAGTGCGGCCCTGGCTATGTGGAGCTCATTGAAACGAGAGGTGTCCTGCACCCCCCTGCCCCTGCAGTGAGAATCGACTTTGGATCACCAGTACCTTCTACTTTCTGATGGAAATTCTACGATGAACATGCGTAGACGGGAGTCACAACATGTTCAGCGGAACTTCGGAAATCTGACCAACCACCATCGGGACCAGTCAAATCATTGTTTGATTCATGAGGCGGTCACGCCGGTCAGAGGCCGAGGTTCAACATGTATGTGGTGCTTATAATATCGGGTCATTAAGGATGGAGCGAAAGCAGTCTGTTTGATTAGGTGGTCGGAAAACGAGGTTCCACCGTATTCAGTACTGGTCTTTGACTGCTGCTGTTGTATGTATGTATGTGTGTGTGTGTGTGTGTGTGTGCTTTGCATTACAGATCATAGAGTTGTTTGGAGAGGAACTGGATGAGTTTGAGGCTGGCATTTATAAATCACTGAATGGCCTGGACCGTGCCCTGAAGGCCAACTTCTGGTCACTGCCGTCAGTGAAAGCCAATTTCAAACGTCGCCTTGAAGGACTGAAGAGTGCCTCAATGCATGAAGAGCAAAGTTTTAATGCTATTGTCGAGGTAGGTAACCCCAAAAGAGATTACTATTGTTTACCAGTATTGTGAATCACATCTTAAACAACATGGTAAATGCGAAACATCAAGCACATAGACATTGAATTAGGCTGTTTAGTAGGTCGTCCACAACTCGATAGTTTTGCACATTGGTTATCATCTATTGTTGTTGCAATGCATTTCACGCTTGTTCGGTTTCTTCATACTTGCACCCTCTTGTCATTCCTTCTATGTGTCTGAGGTTACACATGTTACCACTTGTTGTTTCTGGCTACTCTTCTTTGCACTGTTTCTATCACTTCTTTGATGTATAAAATTCATTGTGCTTGTTCAGTTTTTCCTTTACTTGTTTTCACCTGATGAGAATGTATTGGTGGAAATTACACACGTATCCTGGGAGATGATTGACGGTGATGGGGTATCCAGCACTCTGTTTCCTATCCTGACAGTTTGCCTAATTTATCAACAACATTGATGCCGGTGTGCTTGCTCCAAACTGTCATGATGACTGTCTTTTCCTTACTCATTGACTGCAGCTGGAGAAAAAGCAAGAGCTAGCCGAACAGGAGCACGAGAAAGATGTCCAGCGGAACATCACTGCTCACCAGCACGGTGCACATCGCAGTGTAGCTGAGAAGCTCATCCAGGAACTGGTGAACGGCGTGGTAGACGATGTTGTGGCTGCCGCTGACAAGCTGGAGAATGGCATGAAACAAGACCAGGTAGGTGTGTGTGTGCGTGTGTGCACGTATGTATGTGTGTGCGTGCGTGTGTGTGTGTGTGTGTGTGTGTGTGTGTTGGTAGGTACACGTATGCCTGATTGTGTTGGGTCTGTTGCCAACAGGCTCGGCTGCTTGAAGGTGTAATGTTGTACCTGCCACCTTTGTTGGTTCCAGGGTTCATATACTTTCTATTTGAAGTATACATACCTGTTAACCATGGACTGCTTCTGGCTAGATTAACTCTTGTGTAATCAATGGTGCTAGTGAAGCTTTTATCAGATCCACTCTGATTTAGCCACTCACACTAGTAGCAAATATTACCTTCACTGGGGGCCGGGGTAACTGCAGTTGGATCCCAGGACGGATACCCTGATGCCGTCAATCCTTTTTCTGCACCTTGTCCTCACCCACTTACTGAGGTGTGGTGAGCCCATAAGTGGGATCATTTTCAAGTCCACCCAGAGTTTTGGGGATTTCAGGGGGTGTCGGCCGTTGGGCGGTTCAATAACCAGTTGAGTCATCTTTCCAAGATTCCTTTTGAGTCTCTCTCCCCTCTCCCGGGGGGACTCACGTGACCAGTTTTGGCAGTGAGCAACAAGTACAGTACAGTACAGTACAGTGTGTGTGTGTGTGTGTGTGTGTCCCCCTCTGGGGGTGACATTGCCCAATGGGCAGTCATGCTATAGTAGTAGTAGTAGTGTGTACGTGTGCGAGCGCACACGCGTGTTTGTGTTTGGGTGTGGGTGCGGATGCAGGTGTGAGTGTGCCTATGTGAGCGTGTGCCTATGTGACAAGTCAATGTCAAGTCAATGGGTTATATTGATGGAAATTGGAACCTTGTGTCATGGGTGAATGTTGAAGGTTCTCTCGAATGCACCATGCACCATGCCTGCTTTTGTTTTTAAAGTACACCTCCACTCTTAGAGCCTGTCCCGCACTGCCCCCACCCTCATGAATAGTGCCTGTCCCGCACTGCCCCCACCCTCATGAATAGTGCCTGTCCCGCACTGCCCCCACCCTCATGAATAGTGCCTGTCCCGCACTGCCCCCACCCTCATGAATAGTGCCTGTCCCGCACTGCCCCCACCCTCATGAATAGTGCCTGTCCCGCACTGCCCCCACCCTCATGAATAGTGCCTGTCCCGCACTGCCCCCACCCTCATGAATAGTGCCTGTCCCGCACTGCCCCCACCCTCATGAATAGTGCCTGTCCCGCACTGCCCCCACCCTCATGAATAGTGCCTGTCCCGCACTGCCCCCACCCTCATGAATAGTGCCTGGAACGAGTCATTCCTGAGAAAGAGTAAACAGGCAAAACATCCCTGTACTATTATTGCAGTGCCTGAGAAGAATGAACCTCAATTTGGTGGAGGTTTGTTCGACGTACCGGTGTTTTTCGTACTTTGTATGGTGAGATTGGTGTGTGTGTGTGTCTCTCTCTCTCTCCCTCCCTCTGATATCATCTCCTTGTAGGCCTTTGAGAACATCAAACAGAAAGAAGGTGCCAAATTGGAAACTGTGATAAAGCTAGAGGAGGATGAGGAAGGTGTTCATCGTGATGTAGCCAAGGATACTGGCAGCAAGAAGAGTAACCATAGCAGCAAAGTGTCCAAGGATGGGCTGCGCCGTGGTGGAGATGACGGCGATGAAAAAAGCAAGAAGGCTGGTGGCATGAGCATGCTAATTGACTCGCACGGCAACAAGTATATTCTGGCTGAATCAGCTACAAAGATGATCACGCATCACGACTGGCATTTACTAACGAGCCTGGCTTTGGCTGTGGTGTCTGCGTTTCTCCTGGGTGTGATCTGTCAGTACCTGCGAGTACCGGTGTTGTTTGGGTACGTGTTGAGTGGTGTTCTCATTGGACCGCCTGGATATAATCTTGTACAGGTAAGGTTGACCATGCTCTATCTAGCTCTGAAGTGTACAGTACTGTCAGACGACAAATTTTCGGCCCATTCAAATTTCGGCCTCCCAGGGCTAAAACCCATTTCGGCCGCATCAAATTTTCAGCCTGTACTGCTGCCGCCTGTATACACTGTCACACTGAACCTTACAAACAAAATTTCGGCCGCAACAAATTTTCGGCCAAACATGACCAGGCTGAAAATAGCCGAAAATAAATATGCGCCGAATATTTGTTGACTTTAATACAGTACTAGTATATTGTACCAAGACTTGGCAAGAGTACATAACCCCCCAGAGTGTGCAACACCTGATCCAGCTCTGCATAGGGTCTTGGTTGAGCGGAATCGGATCTTTGCGTCATAATACCGTACACATCTGAGGGGAACCCGGGGAGTCGCGGGTACTCTCGGATCAAAAACAATGGTGCCCTGACTCGAGACCGGGCTTGCGCTGGTGTGGAGTGTACGCATGACATCAGAAGATCCGATTCCGCTCGACCAAGACCCTATGCAGAGCTGGATCGGCGTTGCACACTCTGGGGGGTTATGTACTCTTGATTGTCCTGACAGTGCCAGTGACCTGGTGACAATGTTCTCAATGTTGTCACAGTAGAGTGCTGGCATATGAAACCATCTCCAGTATGCCAGCACCACGCTGCTGATGTTTTGCATTTTGCCAGCAAAATTGCTGTGATGGCCTTGTAACCGCCATTTGGATTTGATTCAATGTCTCTTCTTTTGGCAGTGCACAGCCTTGCATCTCTCCAAGGCTCCAATTTCCATTCTCTGTGTGGTGTGTGTGTGTGTGTGTCTCTCTCTCTCTCTCTCTCTCTCTCTCTCTCTCTCTCTCTCTCTCTCTCTCTCTCTCTCTCTCTCCAGAGATCCTGTTTGGGTCCTATTGGGTGTTAGATCATAATATTCTTGTCATGATGGTTACCCTGCCCCTATGTCTTGCTTCTCATGCTCACGTTTGTGCACATGTGTGTTTGTTTGTATGGTGTGTCTGTGTACACATGTGTTTTTCTGTGGTTAGTCTCAGGTACAAGTGGAGACACTCGGTGAGGTCGGTGTCTACCTCTTGCTGTTTAGCGTCGGCTTGGATTTTTCCGCTCGTAGTTTCAGAGAGGTATGAGCTAAACTTGTGGTCAATAATATAAACAGCCATGCATGTATATGCATAGGCCTCTGGAGCCATTTTTTGGCCAGAATGGCTAAGCCATCTGAGTGCCAGTGGAGTCCCAGGAGAACCTCTTTGGACATCCTACATGTCAAACACTTCCATGTACCAGTACATGTAGTGGTGATAGGCCAGGGAATTGTTATGGCTCTACTTCATTGAAAGCACAATGAAGTAAACAGCACTCCCAATCCCCGTGTCTGCGGACAGCAGCTGTGTCGCCAATTACCGGTGCAGATGGTGCTCATTGAGACAGCTCAGAGAACCCAAGCTCATCTCGTTGCATTGGCTCACATGTCCGTGGGTCAAAGCAATTTTTAAGAACTGTGATATTATCCCAGGGTGCATTCTTTATCTTCTATGTCAAGCTTTGAATCGCGTTCTTTCCGAAGCTGGTGAACTGCCAATCCATGTCGTGGATTTTGTTGTTTCTTTCCTGGATTTCTTCAACTATGTTCTGCACAAGACCACTGGGATGTTCACTACATTCATATGTATATGTACATGGCACTGGTATTGTGTTTCCCATACAGGTATGGTTAGTTGCTATGTGTGGTGGAGGTGCCACGACAGCTGTGATGCAACTTGCAAGTCTTTTGGCAGCCACCATGCTGCACATTCTACCGCAGCAAAGTTGTTTTGTAGCCGCATGCCTTACACTGTCCAGCACTCAGCTAGCTGTCAGGGTACTGGCTCAGTATAACGTGCGCCGCAAAGGTGTTTCTCCATCGTCGTCTTCTTCCCACATATCCATGAGGAAGGAAAGTCTGCTGGATGGATCAGGTAAGTCTACTACCGTAAAAGTCCGTTAACGCACTCTCCACATACAGGCATGCACCCGGCTCAGAACACATTGTTTTCTGGTTGGCTTATCAGGGATATTGGGCGGAGCAGCTGGCGTGCATGAGAAAGACAGGTCGGCCTGCTCTGCGCAGGAGCTGTGACCCGGTGCACACATAGTGTGTGTGTGAGAGAGAGAGAGAGAGAGAGAGAGAGAGAGAGAGAGAGAGAGAGAGAGAGAGAGAGAGAGAGAGAGAGAGAGAGAGAGAACAGACAGGTCGGCCTGCTCTGCGCAGGAGCTGTGACCTGGAGCACAGAGTGTGAACGAGAGACGGTCGGCCTGCCATGGGCAGGAGCTGCGACCGGTAGTGATTGAAATGAGCCAGCTGCGGAGATAGACTGCCCTCACCCGATATAAGTATATTGACAAGAGTTGTACTGACACTGTTATTGAGGAAATTATGGTGACAGTGACGGAGAGATAGTGATCCCCAGTCGAATGGGGTTGAGAGGGAAGGGGGAAATTGACAACTGACGGACAAACCAGTGAACAGTCAAGTCGTCGGAAAGCAAAAGTGACAAAGGAGTCTCTCTTTTCTCTTTCTCTTTCTCTAAAGCAAGCAAGATTTGGAAAGCACGCGTGGGAGAGTGGCGCGCGCTGCGCATGCGCATGTATAGCAATGACATCATAATCAGATGCATGATCATCAGACTAAGTATGAGTGGTAGATGTTCCACGTTCGTTAACAGGGCTTAGCGCACACGCTAAACCACCATAAATAAGTACCTGCCCGAAAGAAATACCCCCTTCATTCTTTTGGCTCTGTCTGTTGAAGTCAAGTCAAGCCCGAAATAAGTACCGGTACGGTGTGCACATATATATATATATATGTACATGCAGCACGTAGCATGTACATCTACATAAAAATGACTTCTCCACTACACACAAGTCAGGTCCGAAAGTTAGTTCGTGCCCGAAAGTCGGTACCCGCCCGAAAGTTAGTACGGGTGTGGTCACTAAATTCGAAAGTAAATACCGGTACTTATTTACGGACTTTTACGGTAGTTTATGTATATGTGCAGCTACACTACAGCCAGACATCTTCAATCCAGCACAATGCAGCACTCTTTAATCATGCACCCTCAATTTCTGGCAGGACCTTTCGAGAAACAGAGCGTTACCAGTCTGGTGTCTTCTCCATGGACGACGTGTCAAGTCATTCGTCGTCCGCGGACTTTAACGTAAGTGTCCACGTTTTTGGATATCTGTCTCTTTGTCCATGTACTATGTAGAGAATGGTGGCGTTGACCTTGGCGAAGTCGGTAACGGTGTCTTTGGTATTCTACTATTGCAAGACATCTTCCTGGCAGTGTTTGTTGCCTTGCTACCCATCCTGGCTGAGCAGATTGCGGACAGTCAGGATCAAGCGTCATCCTCGCATGCCGCCGCCACCATTGCCACTGCTGGTGTTGCTAGCGTTATTCGTGGTGCTAAAGCTAAACTGACCACACAGCCTACTGGTGATGCAGGCATGGGGTCCTCCTCCAGCCCATTGTCATCTGTTGAGGTATTCAGAATAATCGTGCTTGTGTGTGCCTCGTTGCTGCTTGCAATGTACAAACAGCTTGTCAGACTGTCAGACTGTAACTCGGATGGTGACCCAATTAAATAATTGTGAAAAGAAGAAGGACAAAATGTTACGAGTTATGACTAACTGTCCACCAACGTAACCAGATCTAGAGCCTTCCAAGTTGGACGGTTGTTAGTTTGCGCCTTGGAGAAGTGTTGGAGCTAGGTGTCAGGTCGCCGAATGTCTCAGTACTCCTTGTCAGTTTTGTGCCATTTTGTCGCACTCGCTGACTGTATAAGATCTGGTTACGTTGGTGGACAGTTAGTCATAACTCGTAACATGTTGTCCTTCTTCTTTTCACAGCTTGTCAGACACTTGAAAATGTTTGACAATGCACACATCTTCGCAGTAGATGACTACATGTATAAACACGTACTCGGTCTCCGGACAGTTAGCTGTTTCGACCTTGTTAGGTCTCGTTAGCAGAGCTCAAAGCCCCTGGCCGCTACACACCCTTCACGGTTCTTCTTTTGCTACTAAGTAAAACGCAAAGCATTTTACATGTAGGCAAGCACACTGCATGTACTTGCTGCTTGTAACATGAGGACAAGAGGACAAGTCTGGATGTCTTGTTTCTGTAGAGTGCAAAGCTGATCTCGCTGATCTCGCATATCGGTTGGTCTACAATAATTACTGGTACTAGACATAATTATGTATTATCACCTAAACTGTATGTTAATGCACTCTCCACATACAGACATGCAGCAGGCTCAGAACACATTGTTTTAAAACTGACAACTGAAAGACAAACCAGTAAACACTCAAGTCGTCGGAAAACAGAAATGACAAAGGAGTTTTCTGCAGAGCAAGATTTGGACAGCACACGTGGGAGAGTGGTGCGCCGGATGCACATGCACATCTATAGCAATGACATCATAATCAGAGGATGCATGATCATCAGACTAGGTATGAGTGATAGATGTTCCATGTTCGTTAGCAGGGCTTAACACACACGCTAAAACCACCACATAATCGCTAGTCGAAATTTTTCGAATAATCGATTCATTGGCTCGTAACGATTTCTATTTCAAGTATTCAGTATAATTATTGAATCCTTAACCCCTATCTTGTATGAATCTCTTCACCCCTATTTTGTATTCCTTCCACCCATCGTTAGATAGCTCCTAGTTCTTGCTACTGTTTTCTGTGTGTGTGCATGTGCATGTGTGCGATGTGTATGTGTATATGTATATGTGTGTGCATGCATTCAGAGTTCTGATGGTTCTGCAGATGTACCAGCACCAGGCCTGCTATACCCTGTCTTATCACTGACTGCTCGTACTGTTTGCCTCTCCATCTTCTGCTATGCTGCGTCACGCACGCTGCTGCCACCTCTGGTCAAGTAAGGTCTGCTGTTGGCTGTTGACTGCTGTCAATATCCTTTGAGTGTAGCAGTTTAGTTTTTTGACAACCTGCTCAATAGGTCAATGTTCATCTCCATTAAGTTTAGGGAGGAAATATTGTGGCAGAATCACAGATTCTTCCCTTTCCAGGACCGATGTGTATGTATGTTTCTTCTTTACTTTGTGTCCTTGTAGAAAGTTCTGGTCGTCATCCGACAAATATGATCGTGCTATCTGCTTGACATTGGGCAGTTTGTCCATGCTTGTCGTCTGTGTGATTGTAAGACCTTTTTTCTGAAGAAGAACATCTGGTTTCATGCTGTCTGACTTGACAGACTTGCTACAGCTGTGGACTTTTGCACTGTACAAAGGGTTGGGTCATAGAGTATAAGTTTGGAAACCGCTTCTGTGATCCTGTTTGCTTGGCATGATATTCTGTTTTTGTCTCACCAAATGGACAGCCACTGATGCCTTCTCACCAGACCATTAGCCTGGCCTCCTACAAATGGACCTTAGGGGTGAAACGAACATCGAATTTTGAATACGAACAGTCTGTCAGTACTATACTGGCGTTCTCTGTACTTGGCTGGCCACAGTTCAGACGGTGTACGATACTGCCAGAACAGAAATATTTTTTTATCGCGTCCGCCTGATCTGAGCTGAATCACAGGGTTTTGCAGGTAGCTGCAAAGTCCATCACCATCGTCCGGACGAGAGTTTCTTCTCATCGCTAGCTCAGGTCGTCAGAGCAGGAGAACGGTACTTCTTGACGTGGGTACGAAGATTGCTTGTCGTCGCTCTGCTGTGTGATAGAAAATTTTTGAAATTGAGAAAATGACTTCGTCTTTCCCGACCACTTTATCAAATTCCGCTCCAACTCCGGATCGCGATGAAAGGCTCGAATGTTTTGACATGATTGCAACGAGTGCACGTTTGCTTTCAGGAACAGATGTCACAAGCGACTCGAAGCCTTTCACTACGAGTACAAATCTAACTCAAACGGACACACAGAAATATTTCAAGAAACTTTGTCCCGACGCGACACTCAACTCCTTCAACTTGCTTCAACTTCAAGTGATCATCAAGGCAAACACAGTCGATCAGCGTGCAAGCTCACGATCTTCCAACCTCCGCGGCTCCTTCGTGATCTAGTCACAAGCGATCTTTATGCTTGCTTGCTGTGTTCGTTTATCAATCTTGCGAGTTCGTTCGTTCGTTTTCAAATTTTTCGAACGAATATTCGAACTTTCGTTCGTTCGTTTCACCCCTACAAATGGTGGATGAATTCTGTTTTTATTTTTAATGAATGTAAGCTGGAAAGAAACAGCGGAGATGAACAAACACATGGGTTAATGTAATCCAGAACAGACGAATGAGAGCTGGCTTCCAAGTACCGTACATCGTACTGTAAAATCAACGTTCTACTGAAATCGTATAGCTATGATGAAATGAATGACTCACTCAAAAGCAAAGGACATCAAAATATTAACTTGGTGCTAAAAGAAGAAAAGAAAATGTTGACACCTGAAAGCGCTAAAAACAAAGTTTGAAGCGGGATTCACAGAAGCTTTTTTGCGATGCGACACGCGATGCGACGCGATCTGCGATGGATGCGTGCGATGCGAACTCGCGAAATACCATTCACAGAAGAAGTCAGCGATGCGACAAAGTTTTGCTGATTTGGGTACGTCACCATGATATTCGCGCGGTTTGACACAACTTGTAAAAATTTCAAGGCAACTCTTGCACCTTTGTACAACTTTGCTGTAGAAAAGGTCAAAATCGTACACCAAATCGCTTGTCGCATCGCATCGCATCGCAAAAGTTGAGCCAAGCTCAACTTCTGCGATGGCCTGCGATGGCCCTGTTGCGGCAGTTGCGTGGGGTCCGCGATGGTTGCGATTTGGGGATTTCCCGGTTTCGCGGCTGTCGCATCGCGTGTCGCATCGCAAAAAAGCTTCTGTGAATCCCGCTTAACAAGCAGAAGAAAATAGCCGCTAGTTGAGGGAATGGAAAAAGGAAAAAGTCTGAAGAAAAATTGACTGTCACCACAGAAGAAAATAGTAAAATCATAAACCACATAGAGCTAAAATTACACCAAAAAATAATTTAAATGATAACAAAAGCCGAGTGAAAAACCAAGAAAATCATGCAAACAAAACAAAATTAATATGAGAGCCATTTCAGGCCAGTTAAAACTCCCCAACAGCCAGGTCGGATGAACGATGTTGGGCGATGGCAGTTGGGTGTCGATGACCACGTACGGCTGCTGTTGTTAAACGGATGAGGGCAAAGCCCAGCTACGCACGGAGTAGACAAAGTGTCGAATAAAAAGGTTCTCTGGATCTCTCCAAAAGCGGGGGACGCAATCCTGCGATAGAGGGCATCTGCTGCCTTGCCTTTCCCACCAGTGCAGCTGGGGACAATAGGGATGTGGTCGGGGCGGTGGTTTGCCACCAACGATAGCAGCCAGATTGAGAGCTTCAGCAGCGGGATGAATGGGTAGATTTGCGTTTGTTAACTTCCACCTACCGGCTTTTCTTTTTTCAACATCTGCTCTACTCTACTGTACCAAGTAGACAAAAGCAAACACAGTCTTAGTTTCGCTAGTGCTAGACCGACACCTTATCTGAGATATACTTTAAGGCTGCGTTCGTTTTTAGCTACCTGGTAGAGTAGAGTAGAGTCACTCTACCGATGGAGGTGGATGGTAGAGGTAAGTGCACGAACGCTGTTCTACCGGATTTAGTAGTTTTTCACGATATGTACGTGAAATGTTTCTCTTCTGTATGGAGTTGTGTACAAATCCTTGATCTTGCTGGAAATCCCGTAGCTCTACCAACTTCTACCGGCTTCTACCAACTTTTTCCTGGTAGAGCCGGTAGAGGAAAGTAGAATCTACGCTTTTGAGTAGAAAAAAACGAACACCTTTACCGAAAGAAGTAGTTTCTACCAAAAACCTGTAGATCAAAAACGAACGCCCCCTAAGTCACAGTAAGTGTTTTTTTCTGTGCAATGGACTGTCATTAAAACAGAAACAGAAAAATAATAGCTCATCAGGTGTGCAAAGTTGAACTCGGATGGTGAGCCGATATAATTATGATGAAGAAAGGAAAAGGACAAAATGTTCCGAGTTATGACAAACTGTCCACCAACGTAACCAGGTCTTATACCATCAGCGAGTACGACAAAATGGCACAAAACTGACAAGGTGTACTGAGACATTCGGCGACCTGACACCTAGTTCTATGTTTATTACAGTCATAAACTTGAGCCTCCCAAGTTGGGTGGTCTGTTGCTGTGCGTCGTCGAGTTGTAGTAAGGCCGGTATGTCCAATAGTCCTTACCGTAAAATCCCGCCAGAGCGCCCCGTCTCTCCTATCCGCCCCTCCCTGACTTCTTGTCAGGGACGTGATTGATTGTATCCTCGTATGACTCTGTCACAGTCTGTGATGCCGTACTGTACTGCAGACGGGTGCTCGACCCCGTTGGAAATGTACGCAACAGTGCCCACCCTCTTGACCAAGGATCGCACAAACCCTGAGTTTTGACGGGTCTGTACGACTCCTGGCTCTTGACCTTTGGTCGGTGTACAAGATGCACGGACAGTTTTCGTAGGGTGAGTACTTTTTCATGTAGCACTGAATGCGGCAAGTAGGACTCGCCCATCCGCCCCTCCCCACCTGAAGCGTCGAGGAGGTAGGGGCGCTCTGGCGGGATTTTACGGTACTAGTTTCGTCATCATCCAGTAACTTTCGGCATTCTTTGTTACTGTGGCGCGTAGCTCATGCTCTTCTTTGTTGCGCTTTCCTTCCCCTCTTGGACCTTTCCGAACCTGAGCCTTCCAAGTTGGAAGGTTGTTGATTTGCGCCTTGGAGAAGTGTTGGAGCTAGGTGTCAGGTCGCCGAATGTCTCAGTACTCCTTGTCAGTTTTGTGCCATTTTGTCGCACTCACTGACGGTATAAGATCTGGTTACGTTGGTGGACAGTTTGTCATAACTCGTAACATTTTGTCCTTTTCCTCTCTTCATCAGAAAAATAATAAGGCACCCATTTTGATAGTCCAGGGGATGGCCCACGCCTGGTAAAGAGGATAAATAGAGAAAAGAAAAGACGGATATTTCACAGGAAGTACATGTACAATGGGGACATGGTGTAAGTAGTTAGTTCTCACAACGCCAAGCCACACTGCGCAACAGCCAAAGCTGCTGACCGGTTCTGATCAACTGCAGCGGAAGAGGCTGGACGTCGATGACCACGAATGGCAGCGGCAGCTGCTCGGACGAGGGCAAAGCCCAACCTCACGCAAAGAAAGGCAATCACCGACGAGAAAGACTCTCCTGTCTTCGCCGATACCATGGACGCAACCCTGCAGCAGAGAGCCTGCGCTGCTTTACCTTGCCCGCCAGTGCAACTGAGGACGATGGGGACAAATGATGCATGCTCGATGTGCAAAACTCGTGCTCCGTAGCTGTGACGCTTCTCCTTCTCGTGTCTGGCATAGACGGACACCAGGGAGGCGGGGTTTCGGTTTGAACGAGCATAAGGGTTAAACACCCGAACATCGAAGAATGTTCGCTCAAACCTACCTCCCCAGACTCCACTGGCACCCACATCCAGCCGTGCACCTTCTCCAGTGATGGCTGTACGGTGTGCAAAGCGCTCGCCCGTCACGGGCAGGAGATCGGGCTCTACCACAACATCATGGGCGACGTCCCGGAGCATGTGGGCGGTGATGTCCCTCACCTCGTTGTGCCTCAAGGATGGGAATCCACCAAGAGGGCACGATAGTGCATGCTCAACCGTGAACGATTGGCCACAAGAACAATGAGTGGGCAGACGCTCCGGGCACCATCCAAATCGCAGGCAGAGCCCATCCCGGAAGGTGGTCTTGTGCGAGCGAAGGCCATGGTGTTTCAGAGGCCGGCAGGTGAGCCAACTCGAGGCTCCTCTCTCCGAGGCCAGGTCGAGGACTCGTTTTGACTCTGAGTCAAGATGTTGGCGGACGTTTGCTGCGGTGTCAGTTTCTGGCGGGTTTCAGTCCTTGCTGCTGCCTTGGCTCTCCTGGTTGCTTCCCCTACACCATCGATGCTCCAGTCTTGAGCCAGGATCCTCTGCACCAGGCACTCTGTGATCTTGATGGACTGTGCATGTTGTCGACAGAGTAGGGTAGGGTCGATCAGGCCCATGCCGCCAAGACGGCATGAAAGAGCGAGGATAACACGCTCGGACGCTCCCGGTGGGTTCCTGCCAGTTAGGGCTGGAATTAGAAGCTGCCGAATGGCATCTTCAAGCGGCTGGTATGCGTCGGCAGGGAGATCCATCGTACGTGCCAGGAAACTCCATCGATGCCTGAGGCCGAAGGTGAATGCAGCATAAACTGCCTGGGGCTGAGACATGGCGTACTCAGCCAGGGTGCGGAGCTGCTGGCACCAGTTGTCCACCTTCCCATGGACAACCCTGGCAGAAATCGGCATTGCCAAGGGCTGCGCCGAGATGCCGGAAGCCATCTGTCCGGATTTCAATACTCGTGTCGCGGAAAAGCCGGTTAGCCTCGTCAAGAAATTGTGGCTTGACCAAGAGCACAGACTTTGCTGCGTTGGTGAAGTAACCGTATCGTGGGCCTTTCTTCTCTAGGACCTCCCACCACTCCTTCACCCGAGCGAGTTTCCCACCAGCGGACGAGTCATCAGCATACCAGGATTGTGTGGCTTTACTCACGGATGCGGCATTGATCAATGGAACAGTGCCGATGGCATACATAGGCATTGCTAGCGGATCACCTTGCGTTGTTCCCTCCTGAGACAGCATGACGTCTCCACCCACGAACAACTGTGCTGGTATGCGATGCGTATTGATGATGGTAGGCGCCAGCTCTGGACATATGTGCTGCACATTCTGCGTGCACACGGCTCGATTCAGCCGATTGAAGGCATTACTCGCGTCCGCGAACAATACAGCCTCCGTGTCAGCATCATTGTAGAGGGCATGCATTGCGTGGATTGCACCTTCGATGCCGCAATCGACCCCTCCACAAAGCTGTACACCGCCGACAGCACGCTCCACAGCCCTAAGTGTAGTACCAAGGGTGTTCTTTGTTCCTAACGCAATGCCTGAAAGAATTCCAACACATATTGCTGATTGTGGCTGGACAAAGTCATCTGCCGCCATGGCTTAGGGGTTAAAGCGCCTGTCTAGTAAACAGGAGATCCCCGGTTCGAATCCGGGTGGTGGCTGGTTGCTGATGATGAGAGTGCCGAGTCTCTTGATGGTTTGTGTCCATCACCACCCAGTTGTCTGGGATAAGACGGCTCTCCGAGGCTTCCCTTTTTTATTTTTTATTTGTGCAGCCTGCCAGGGAGTGCTAAAAAGTAAAAACCCTTTTTTGCCTTTTTTATAAAAAAAACTGGGTGTATCACAGGATGAAGAGCTCGATGAGCACAAGCAAAGAAAGCAACGGTGACAAATCTGGTCCGGTACTGAATAGGAAAATTCCAATCCAATAAATAAGAAAATCCAATTAGAAAAGAACCACCACACACCTCCCCTGCCTTCACTATCAGCTGTGCAACCCAACCGTACCTCCCCTACCTTCACTATCAGCTGTGCAACTCAACCGTACCTCTCGGCATTGCCGGACCAATCAAAACCTGCTTCCGGTGGTCCTGTGGTGGAAGTGTGTGAAAGGACATTGTTGTGATTTCTCTAATTTTGCTGCCTGCTGCTGTCTGTGATGTTATCTTTGCTGTGTTGCCATTAGTTCACCCATCACGTCGGGATCTCGGCTGAATTAGGCTGCTTTGTCGCTGGCGTGCTGCTAACCTCTTTGACTTCTCATGACCGCCATCTTGCCCAGCAGGTCAGTGGTCTGCAGTGTTGTGCAGTGCAGTGTTGTGCAGTGCGGTGTTGTGTTATGCAGTGTTGTGTTATGCAGTGCGGTGTTGTGCAGTGCGGTGTTGTGCAGTGCAGTGTTGTGGTGTGCTTCTATAGACTGTACTGTACTTCAGTGCACTGTGGTACTTCTGCAGATTTTCTTAGATACTTGTCAATGGACACTGTACTGCGTCTTGGATAGGTCAATTGTTCGCATTGTTCAGGTATACTGTTGAGTGACCTGGTATGGTCAGTTGAACATTGTATGATCGTTCGAGTTATGTGATTAAAGTGCCGTCTTGCTGCTAACTTGCTACGACAAGTCTAACTAAAGACAGCAGTGCGAGTGGGTGTGAAGTCGCAAAATATGTCGGCGCGAAGCATGGAACTGTAGTAAAAAACCCTTAATGAATCGATTCCAGCCACAAACATTTTCCGGTGCAGATTGGTATATGCTCGCAAATCGCGAATATCTCCCCATTTACAATACTGTACTGTGAAAGGCTGAGTGCGCCTGACTACAACCATATATGGGTGGCAGGCAGGGCGTCAGTCTGTACAACCGTATGAACCAGTCAGTTGTTTTACGTATTGCCCCCCCCCCCCCCCCCCGTTTTTTGAAGCAGGTCTGAACCAGGGTATCTAAAAATCAGGGAGCAGTATATATTATGGTATTTTACTGCTTCCTGCTAAAAGTGCTCAACCGGTTCATAGTGCCGATAATGGTTATGCAGACCTAGGCCCTATTGTTACTGTCTAGTATACATGTAGTTGTAGTCAGTAGCACTGCCTTTTGTGGTGTAGCCTTACTGCTCTCCTTTGTTAGTAACTGAGTCATGTGTTGTGGTGGTGCTGCTGCTGGTCATGATTCTCTACCCTACTCTTACTTACAGGTACTAGCTAGTGTGGAACCAGTCAAGGACTTGTTCTCAGCCATCTTCTTTGTCACCATTGGTACGCTATGCCCAGCCTGCACATACATGTACATGCCAGTTTTGCTCGCTATGCTCTCAACAGTCATCATGTAACAGTTCTGCAGCTTCCTTGCAGCGACCTTGCTTTTTCTTTACAGGTAGATGGTATGCGTGTGTTCTCTGTAGTCTGCACACAAAGGAATTCATACCATAAAGGAATTCATACCATGCTGCTCAATATCAGTCACAAGAACACGGCATCTTTTTCTGTGGAAGCTCGTGATGGTTTAGGAGCAGTGGGATTCATATTTCAACAGTCAAAGCCGATAGAGCATGTATCTGTGTGTGTGTGTGTGTGTGTGTGTGTGTGTGTGTGTGTGTGTGTGTGTGTGTGTGTGTGTGTGTGTGTTGCACCTCCGCTTGTTATCTGCAGAATTGCTTCTCCTTTGTCCGTGTACATGTATATGTATGTCTCGTGTCTTGCTGTCTTGGCTGGTGTTCTGTCCCGTACAGGCTTCCACGTCTTTCCAATGTTCATTTGGCACGAGTTTGCTGTGGTTGTGACGCTAACGACGGCCGTCGTTCTTGTCAAGGTACTAGAACACTGTAAATCCTACGCTGTGGCACAGTGTGTGCCGCCTCGCCATGCATCCCTGTATACCTCTGTATTTCTGAATTTTCTGTGTGTGCCTCGTCATGCATCCCTGTATGCCTCTGTATTTCTGTGTGTGCCTCGTCATGCATCTAGGTGTTGATTTTGAGTCTCTCTCTCTCTCTCCCTCTCTCTCTCTCTCCCTCTCTCTCTCTCTCCCTCTCTCTCTCTCTCTCTCTCTCTCTCTCTCTCTCTCTCTCTCTCTCTCTCTCTCTCTCTCTCTCTCTCTCTCTCTCTCTCCCGCAGTTCACTGTCACATATGCTGTGTTGTCGTCCATGGTAAGTGCATCACAGGCGGGTATGATTGGCTTGGCATCGTCCAGTGTAGCACAAGTCAGCGAGTGTGCGTTCCTGGTGGGCAGCCGAGGCGTGCGATTGGGTCTCATATCTCGTGAGGTATGGTTATGCTGTCATAAATGTAGAGCTGCATTGTAGGTGAAACATGTTTGGCTGTCATTGACGTGCATGTAAATGACAAATAAGGCCATCATTTTTTATAGCTATGTTTCGCGTCGTCCGCACGCATACGTTTTGATTTTTTCCGAAAAAAAATCTTACATGCACGGTGAGTGTACGATCGTGCGAGTCATCAGTGTGGACTGGTTGCATACGCGTATACGGCGAAGCTGAGATTCAGAAATGGCCTCTAGGCCAGCGTTGGTAAATCGTTTGTTCGGCATCTGGGAGCAATATTCTACGAGCTAACACCAGACAGCATTTGATCGCCTCAAGCTGAGAGGATGCGTCGTTCCGGAGGTCTTTGCACCGCTGCTGAAGTCTGAGTACAATAATCCAGCGAAGCATAGGCACCAACGGTTGCCTCCTCTGTCCAAAGTGAATATTTACTCATGCTGATAACCCGGATGTTGTGCTTCGATGTACGATTTTTCTTTCGAATGTACACCATGCACGAGCTATTGTGCTGTGTACAGTGCATACACTACCTCTGATGAGCCTTTTTTTTTATTATTTTGCAACTTTTTATTTTTTTCCACCTCTCGCATAATTATGATTCTGGAAGTTGAACTGACACGAAACATAGATATAAAAAATGATGGCCTAACACAGGTTGTGGATATACAGTAAAACTCCACAGATCCGGGCAGGTTGGGACCGAGCACTACCCGTAACTAGGAATTGCCCGTGACTCAGAACTTACATGCTTACTACATGCAAGTAAAGATTTTATGCCAGTCAATATGACTGTTTTGGGGCCGTTTTTCATTGAAAAGCCATTTTTCTGACTCTCGATGGGTCGGAAAGGTGCCCAGTAGACGGACGTGCCCGTATTAGGAACGTCTGGATCTGGGCAGTTTTACTGTAAGATGATGACGATCAGGTTGCTATGACGATCAGGTTGCTATCTGAGGAAAGAAACCCCATGGCAGAGCTACGTTGATTTCTATTACTTGTGCTTGGTCAATCATGACACCTATGGTGTGCTGCTGCCTTGCAATGGACAGCAGGTTGGCAGTGCCTGGATACTGTAACGTTACTCGGAGGACATCATGTTCCACGATCCTCACAATTGCTCTGCAGATGATTCGCTTATGCGCTTCACCGGCCACGATTGGCGCGATTGGGCGTACACCTGATTGCTTATCTAATGGAATGAGGCGAGCAGATGCAAAGCCCAACACTGATTCTGACTCCAAGGTCACTGCACACAGACATTGTGTTGCAGCAGCCAACTCAGAGCACATAGTGTCTGAGGATTTTGAAGCATATCAGCATTCGACACCATGCTTCGGAAGTTGAATATTATTTGGAACCCAGGCTGGATGGGCCCGATGATCCATGCATCTGCCGGCTCAGTTAACAAATCAATTGTGGTGTGATCCTCTGGAACATGGTGGGGTTGTTCTGGTGCGATCCTCTGGAACATGGTGGGGTTGTTCTGGTGTGTTCCTCTGGAACATGGTGGGGTTGTTCTGGTGTGATCCTCTGGAACATGGTGGGGTTGTTCTGGTGTGGTCCTCTGGAACATGGTGGGGTTGTTCTGGTGTGATCCTCTGGAACATGGTGGGGTTGTTCTGGTGTGGTCCTCTGGAACATGGTGGGGTTGTTCTGGTGTGATCCTCTGGAACATGGTGGGGTTGTTCTGGTGTGGTCCTCTGGAACATGGTGGGGTTGTTCTGGTGCGATCCTCTGGAACATGGTGGGGTTGTTCTGGTGTGATCCTCTGGAACATGGTGGGGTTGTTCTGGTGTGGTCCTCTGGAACATGGTGGGGTTGTTCTGGTGTGGTCCTCTGGAACATGGTGGGGTTGTTCTGGTGTGATCCTCTGGAACATGGCGGGGTTGTTCTGGTGTGGTCCTCTGGAACATGGTGGGGTTGTTCTGGTGTGGTCCTCTGGAACATGGTGGGGTTGTTCTGGTGTGATCCTCTGGAACATGGTGGGGTTGTTCTGGTGTGGTCCTCTGGAACATGGTGGGGTTGTTCTGGTGTGGTCCTCTGGAACATTATGGGGTTGTTCTGGTGTGGTCCTCTGGAACATGATGGGGTTGTTCTGGTGTGATCCTCTGGAACTTGGTGGGGTTGTTCTGGTGTGGTCCTCTGGAACATGGTGGGGTTGTTTTGGTGTGGTCCTCTGGAACATGATGGGGTTGGCCTCTGGCGGCTTGCCGGAAAGAAGGTCATTCGGGTCAACCATGCGGTGGCGCAGTTGACGCGAATGACTTCACTGTAGTTTCGAGTCATGTGGCTGCTGGAGCAGAAGATGGCGGGCAACAGATACCGTTCTCCAGGCCACACGCCGTATTTCAGAGCCATAAGAAAATCCTTTATGAGCCTGGCCATTTTTCTCAACAAAAAGAGTGCCAGCTGAGCCGTGAGGAATGGCGAACGGGTTGCACCTCCATGTGACTTCCACATCATATGTAGCCTTTACCGACTGCGCAATATTGTCCCTTTCGCTCGCATCCTCCAAGCGCGATGCAGCCTCCATGCGGATGGATAGAGCCTGGGAGGAGGACACCGGAGGTAGCGGACTGATTGGGTGTCAACAAGACCAGCCAAAAGCAATGTATCTCCTCCAGGGGATTCATGTTCCCGCACGCCGCAGCGACATCGGTATGGTGTGACACCACATCAATTCTGCGAGAACTATCTGGAGTGGCACCCTGATTGATTACGACAAGGTGCGGGGAGCACCCATCACCCTCTTCTTTGCCCCCACTGGAGCAACCACTACTTTCCCGACTGCTAGTAATAGAGGGATTAAAAGTGCTCACCACAGTAAGAGGTGGCACTGAATGCTGAGAAGCAGAAGGAGTGAACTGAGGCTCTGATTGTAGCTGACTATGTAGTGTCAGCCACAACCCAAGGCAGAATATAGGGACGCGGTGCTGGGTCTACAGTAGACTGCAGTGTGCTGTATAGTAGTATTGTAGCTGCGGACACTGGGTGTAGTCCTGCTGAGAAGTTTGTCTTTGTTTCATAACAAAGCGGGTGAAACTGGGTGATACACGGGATGAACAGCTCGGGTGTAGTCCTGCTAGGGTAACACTCACTGCAAACTCTCCCATCCTTGACACAGGAACACGGTGTACTCTACAGTCATGCTCTTGCTGTCTGGAATCTACAGCAAAGCATTCAGTCAACGTGTAGTCAGCATGGAACGTGGGCAGCGCTGACACCTGACAAGGCAGCAAACACCACGAGCTGGACTAGTAACAGCAGGAGCAACATCTGTTACCAAACGCCCATGACCATAAAATGGTGCTATAAGCACTCGACCTCTGAGTACGATGTAGCGTTGTGGCGAATTTGGCGTCAACCCAACCAATCCAGCTTGGCGTACGACTCGGTGCCGAGGACTAGACCAGGAGATTCCATCCAATGGCAGTACACTACCAACGCCCCACCTTGGAGATATAACAACTGCTCCAGTCAGCTCCATATCAAACAGCAATCAAGTAGCCGAGCAGCCAAGCAAGCTACTTCCTCCAACCAGAGCAACCAAAAGTCCAACCGATTCCTGCAAGCGCAACCAGATCATCATCAGTGCATTCCATGTCGGGTATGGGTTAGATTGCGTTTCAGCTTTATCTTTTCACTTTTCAGCTGCATGATCAGGCTCTCCGTGCCTTCCGTAGGTTCACCAGAACCAGCACCATCCTCTCCGGTCTGCTCTGACATCGACGTTGTGGCGAATTTGGCGTCAACCCAACCAATCCAGCTTGGCGTACGACTCGGTGCCGAGGACTAGACCAGGAGATTCCATCCAATGGCAGTACACTACCAACGCCCCACCTTGGAGATATAACAACTGCTCCAGTCAGCTCCATATCAAACAGCAATCAAGTAGCCGAGCAGCCAAGCAAGCTACTTCCTCCAACCAGAGCAACCAAAAGTCCAACCGATTCCTGCAAGCGCAACCAGATCATCATCAGTGCATTCCATGTCGGGTATGGGTTAGATTGCGTTTCAGCTTTATCTTTTCACTTTTCAGCTGCATGATCAGGCTCTCCGTGCCTTCCGTAGGTTCACCAGAACCAGCACCATCCTCTCCGGTCTGCTCTGACATCGACGCCGCTGCCGCTGTCTGAGTCTCATCACCATCCGCATGCACTACTTTCCTCTCGTTCTTCCTCCATGGTTGGAACTATTTCTGAAGTCCAACCTCGTAACTAAGTTTCTTGTACTTGTATCATTCAACCGTCCTCAGCTACCAACTGTTGGTTTGCTTGGCTTCTGCCGCATGCAGTCCCGTAATTGGCCGTATCCCAAACTCACACTCGACTGAGTCACTCTCAACACGAAAGGCTTTATGGTTGATTAGAAATAGAACGCCATGTCACGAACCGAGCACATATATGGATATAGTATGATGCCAGGAGATAAGGTCAAATCACAGAGAACAGACAGCATGACCGCAATGGCATTGATCACAACTAGAGAAGAAGAGAAAGCAGATCGCAACTGAACATGACATGAACGTGTAGACTTAAAGGGGAAGTTAAGGCAAAAATTAAAATTTCACCAGTTGTAGTCTTCGGGGTGCTGAGTCGAATGGTTTTGGTCCGAGAAAGCTGAGACGCTCCCTTCCTACTTGAATCCCAATCGAACTCGCGCACTTCCACCGAAACTGGGTGACTGCGCCCTACTAGATGGGGATTTGTATGCAAAATGTCACTAAAAGCGCCATTTCGTTCTTATAAAAGCACGGATGACCGCGATTGGCCCATATGTTGTAGTCTTTTGGACGCTGAGTCGACTGGTTTTGGTCCGAAAAGGCTGCGATGCAGCGTTTCTCCTTTATTCCCAATCGAACATGGTTGAACAAGCGGTCACGTGCTCCTGGGTGCCCAAATCACCTGGTCACCACGCCAGCAGGTGACAACTTTCACACCAAGGTTCAACTCGAGTGACAGGAGTGCACCCAAAAAAGGCCAAACAGGCTAGTAAGTTGTACCCTGCAGCCACGGTGACCAGGTGACTGGTGTACGCAGGAGCACGTGACCACTTGTTCAACCATGTTCGATTGGGAATAAAGGAGGAACGCTGCATCGCAGCTTTTTCGGACCAAAAGCAGTCGACTCAGCGTCCAAAAGACTACAACATATGGGCCAATCGCGGTCATCCGTGCTTTTATAAGAACGAAATGGCGCTTTTAGTGACATTTTGCATACAAATCCCCATCTAGTAGGGCGCAGTCACCCAGTTTCGGTGGAAGTGCGCGAGTTCGATTGGGATTCAAGTAGGAAGGGAGCGTCTCAGCTTCCTCGGACCAAGACCATTCAACTCAGCACCCCGAAGACTACAACTGGTGAAATTTTAATTTTTGCCTTAACTTCCCCTTTAACTCCGTGGCATTTCTCGCCACGCCAATCGTCATTTGTTCCTAAACTACTATGTTGCTTATTCAGTGCATTTGCCATGTCCACTGACCGCGGGATCAGAGTGTACCTGCAGACTTGAACCCACTGCAGGCGAGAGGGGCAGGCGCCTTACTCGTACATGCACATCCAACGAGTTGATGGCCTCTGCACAACTGTAGATGCCCAGAGTATACGCCGCACTTTAAACACTTGTGATTCACCACACACAAGTCAGTGCGGCTGATACTACGATGGTTAAATGAATGGTGATATACAGGGTAGATGTCTGTATTTTATGACAAGAAAATCTGGGTGCGGCGTATACTCCGCAAAGTACGGCAGTGTGCATTGACTGGAGCTTGCTGATTGAAAAAGGATTGCTTTTTCATTCAGCAAGCTCCAGTCAATGCACACTACCGTACTTTGCGCACTTGAGTTTGCGGAGTATACGCCGCACTGGGGTATTAATTTGGGATAAAGAAATGTGGCGGGCAGGTGAGGAGACCGGCGATGGGATGCAGGTTCCAGGATTCAATCGGGAAAACAAAGAATCTCCCTATGATGTGTATGACTCACGGTTTCACTTCTTCCACTTCTTACAGGGGCATTAGGTGTTGGAGAATGAGCCTTCCATGTGTGTGTATGCTGTTCTGTTGTACGTGGATATATTGTGTGTGTGTGAAATGTGAATGTACACGTCTGCGTCCTTTTGTTTTCAGGTGTATCTTCTACTCTTGTCAATCACCACCACCAGTCAACTTGTCACGCCCGTCCTATGGTATAGTATGTCTGGCTGGAGAAGCCGGGCTCCTCTCATGCGTTTTATGAAGGCAGCTTACACACTCTTTAGCAAAGCATGTCAATCGGTCTCTTCAACCTGTGCCAGGTGACCGGGACTGCATTTTCTCGCAGGCAACCGCTGCTCTTTTGCAGTCTTTCTCTCTAGAAACCTTGGTCTGATTTTTATCTTCTCCTATTTCCAATTTTGAGTTTTTTAAAGAGCGTGCCTCTTGCATGCTCCTTGAACTTATTTCTTTCCTGAATATTTTTAAGAATTTTGAAGCTCCATTCTAGCCTTGTCATAATTTCAGAAATATTCTTCTCATCCCTGCTGATGCCCTCAGGCTGAAAATAGGAAACATCTATTTGTACAGGTGTAGCCCAGGACTGGAGAAGGTTGCTTGGTGAATACTTCTGCAACTAAAATAAAGTTGTGGAAGAAGTGCCCCCGGTGGGATCAACCGTCAACCTCCCAGGAACTAGCCTCCACTACAATAGTAGTAGCCACACACCACAGTGAACATAATTATACTGAGCTCGGTACTAAAGTGGGCTTCACATTAAAAAAAAATACTGTAAGTCCTACAAATTTTCGACCCATTCGAATTTCGACCTCCCAGGGCTAAAACCCATTTCGGCCGCATCAAATTTCGGCCTGTAATGTAAGCCTTGCTTGATACGTATCTAATATTGACCGAGTATGAGGTCAATAGGAAATAAAAGCCGAGTCGGAAAGACCGATGTGAAGCCGAGGTCTTTTACGATGTTTTTATTTCCTTTATTGACCTAATACGAAGTCAATAAAAGGGCTTATGCCCCTGATTCAGATAACCCCTCCCCAGAATACAGAGGGTTTGAACCGGGGGCATGATTCCACCCAGTTCATTAACTTGTTATGGTCGCACTAGAACGCTGTTTCCTTACCGTGTGCCCTCCGTCTTGTGTATTCTGTCATGATCATACCTATGTCGAACCTATCACCTCCTCATGATCAGTAGAGCTTGAATAGGCTGACGCTTGTGAAATCTACTCAAGGAGCACCACTTTCATACTCATAGTGCTGTCCCGGCCAAACCATCACCATGGATACTTACAGAGTTGCTCCGCTTTCAGCGTGACAATTTAACCGCCGACAAACACCTCCTGAACCGTGAACACCAGCTTGCAGCGTGAGTCCGGTTCTACACATCCATGAGCGACACTGGTCACACACTTTCACGTGGTGTTACACCATACAACGGACAACTCAAGTACACTCTTTCTGAACACAGAGCTCAGGATCAAAATTAAGACACACAGTGCTGCACAACCGTCCGATTTTTCGAACAGTGTTCGATTTTCGAAGGCTCCTCCGAAAACCCGTCCGAAAAAGGATACGTCCGAAAAGCAGCCAAAAATGTCAGGGGTCAGTACTTTCCTATGCAGAAGTCCTGTATTTTCACTTCAAGTTTGCAAACCAACTCAGGGATCTTTTTAAAGACCCAGTGGCGTTTAAGAAGTATTTTGACCTTCTTTTTGGAATCTGTTGAGTTTCTCGATGATCTTGATAGTTCTTGTACTAAGATTGAAGTTGACTTGGTGTTTGATTACTGTACTGCTTGATGTCTGAATTCCAATTTTTTCTATTTTTTCTTTTCTTTTCCTTTCCTTTCCACTTATCCCGTTATCGGCCCTCTTAAGAGTTGTGTGTATCACTGTTGAGGCATCCGATGGTAAATAAAATAAATACTACTACTACTAAGTTAACTGAATGCACAGATCACTAGACTGAGTGTAACATGTGCTTCTAAAAAGACTACTGCTGAGCTGGGGAAGTACAAGTATGCTGGCAATGAATACAGTACACTCGTACAATACAAAATTCATGACAACTTCTGGGCGCCATATTGATTACCATGGTAGCGAAGCAATTTTTTCATAATTTGGGCAATATTTTGAATTCTCTGAAAAAAATTGCTGAGAGGAAAATTCGCACCATGCGGCCAGCCTTGCGGTAAAGGGTGTCATTTTGGGCAAAATTTATTTGCCAGCACTGGACACATACAGAGCTGGCACAGCAAGATGTAGACCAGGGAGTCGTCAAATACCGGTATTTGACGACTCCCTGCTGTGGACTACAGTACCACGAGTCAAAACTGCAAATACATTACTGTACGTACAACTCACGACATCTTGTAACATGCTGTCATCGTCAAACATGACACGCTGCCCGAGGGGTGACGCTTGACAGTCGATGGGTTGTTTTCGGGATGGCTGCAGACACCCTTCTTCTTCGTTGCGAGTCTCCTCTGTTGCACTCCACTCCTTGACTGGTCCGGTAGTCCGGTTGATTACATGCCGATTGTATTTCTGTGCGTGTTGATTCCATGGTCGTTTTACGTTCCTTCCGCGGCCTGCCCCGTTTTGACGATGACTGCTATCGTCACTTTCAATATCGCTGCGCCCAGGTCTCCTTCACTCAGTTTCTTCACCTGGCTTCTTGTGACTCTGCCAGTACCTCTCAGTTCTGTTGTTATCTTGGGTGGTTTACGTGCTGGTCTTCTTCACACCGGTCTGTGATCAGCCATGTTCCTCACCTACCGAGGAGGAGATATGCGCATACATCCACACTGGATGCAGACGAAGATCGTCCAGAAGTAAGTTAGACTGCATCACACATTGATACTGGTAGTAACAGAAACAATTAATAACAGGAGACAGTTGGACCAGCATCGGATGATGGGAGAGAGGATGACAAGGAGAAGGAACGGCAGGTGCAGGACGAGGGGGAGGTGCGACTGGTGCAGGATACGGGGGGGGGGGGGGGTGCGACCGGTGCAGGACAAGGGGAAGTACAACCCGGCGGTACAGGACGAGGGGAAGGTACCGGCGCGTTGACCATAACCCAGTGTACTAGTACGTCGAGTCAGCAGACTAGTGAGTAGTGTTGTCCAGTAGACCCGGTGCACCTTGTACACACCATTGCCCTTTGGCTTTGTCTGTAGTGTAGGCGCTAGTATGATAGGCTAGTGTACTAATGTCAGTACGTGATTGTAATGACTACCACTACAGACTACATACTAGTAAACAGTACTCGTCAGTAGCACCAGTGCCTTCAGTGCCTTCAGCCTGGGGAAAGCCCTACATAATCATTACTACTACATTATTTTAATAGGCTACAAAAACAAGTACTGAAGTAGATCTACACGTACTACATGTACGATAGTTTACCCAGTCCCTAGCCCTATGGTGTACTGTAGTTGACAGTCTGCTGTCACTTATTGGGGCAGAAGGCCTCCGGTGGCGTGTCCTTTCCCACTACTTCACGTCTAGCAGCAGCAGTTGATTGATTGGGATGCGCAAGATTGACATAAGCCTGGAGGAAACGTGAGTTTGCCTGCTATGCGCATATGCGCGTTCCACCCATTACTCCACGCTCTCAAGTCAGCCAATAAACCACCATGATTCTTGTCCTTGAACTCGCAGTCTTCTCTGGCACAGCGTGCAGAGCAGCACTCAGGGTAGCACGCTGCTAGCTCTACAAGTACAACTAACTAATTTTACTTTACAAGTCCTCGCTAAAATTATAATGATCTGAACATGATGATACATGTATGAACGTCTAAGTAACCCTGTCCTTGGAGTGGTTCCTCTGCCCTGAACAGATTCCGTTGTAACACACTCCAAGCACTATTTAGCTGCTGTTTACTAGACAATACTGTGCTCTGTGTTAGGTGCAGCGTAGATCTACCAGTAGTGCTAGCGTCTTCCGATGTCCGATTTATGAGACTCTTCATCTAGCAACGACTTCGACTTACGAATGGTCGTTACGTAGATCTACGTAGCGGTAACAAATCCGGTTCTGCGTGTTACTAGCGGGTCGTCACTGAGTCCAGCATGGCGGAAGGGGCAGGCGATTCACCCCAGACGGTGAGATCAAAGCCAACGGGTCCGGGTAGTGCAGGCAAGCAGGACCCCGAGGATGGCCAAGACAGCGCACTTGTGGAAGGTAAGTACTTCGGCATTAGTTGAGTCGGGTCTCGAGCCTGTATATTTTGGTGCTTACTCGTACACTGTCAATACTTGAGTCGAGAAGAAGATTTGCATCCACGGAGCACCTGGCTGTTTTTCTGAAATTCTGACAGAAGGGTTTTCGGATACTAGTGATGGATCTACATTCTACACTGAAAAGTAACACTTAGTTTTTCGTCAGGGCGTGCAGGGAGTACTAGAAAAACAGCATAGTCCCTGTTTTCGTCCTTTGCGATCAGCGCTGCACAGCGCAACCTGGGCCAAAGCATAGCCAGGCCAGGCAAGCGGTCTTATCGGATCCGGAGTAGATCTACTGTACGTCTTTGTACAAACTGACCGACCTGTTGACGAGCCAAGCACATCGCAACCTGCAAAATGCAAAATGTAATGTACTACAACCATAGTGCATACTACAGTACCCGCAATTGGACGAGTTCGATTGCATATCGGAGCTTCGAGCTTCGATAATTATAACATTGTATATGAACCCGAAATCGGGTTTTCCTTTGCTCGAGATAGCTAACTGTTATATCTCCGCTCTCCGCTCCTCATACAATCCCCACTTCACATCACAATGCATCATTGCTTGTGAAATGGGCAATTACACTTCCCGACCCCAGATTTTGAAATTCTCGGATTACCAGAATGAGGGGATCATGCCCATGTAAATGAAAAACTCCATTTGATTAAACTGTTCACTCTCCCGAAGGAGAGCGAGGAGAAATACCTTACTTCTCCAAACGAGCATGCGTTGCATGTGTATTGGCACCTCATTTTGTGTATATGTCAGTTATAGTAGTCCGCAATGCTGCTTTTCTAATTCTCATTATGATTAGCATGCAATGTACTACCCGAAGTACTGAATTTACTTCTTTTGTACTCTATAATCTAATGTATCTTCTACCTATTCTCCCTTACGAACATACTTTCTCATTTTCCATGCTTACTTAGGAGACTCCCTTCGATAGGCATCTATTTGCCTCTGGAGGATCCGTGAAATAAAAATCAATAAAAATCAATCAATCAATCATTGACCCAGCTTGTTCCTCATTCCGATTCATTCCATTTGGCCTAAGCGAAGACTAGTGGCCAAGCTTGCTTGGCGATGTCAACGCGAAACGGCTGATAATAAAAAAAAATAATGAATGACAGACTGGAATCTGCCGTGAATTCTGTGCTCATGATCCACTCGACCGAGCCGTGGAAAGTGTTCACAGACATTCATACAATTATTTGTACAAACCAGTCGTATGCATGCAGCAGATACGTGTAATGTCAAGACAGCATACACCGAATGCGTTAGTTCTGGCCGGAGAATTAGAAATTCTGCCTTCAGTTCAGAACTGGGACGGAACTGGATTCCGTGGATTCTGATGGCGAAATCTGTGTAATCGAACTGTGCCGTATGCATGGTGGGGAGTTCTAGAATGGACAGAGTTGTGGTGATCGAACTCTCCCATTGTAGTACACGCAAGAATGCTTTACCACCTTTTCTACCCATTTATTATTGAAATGCTATGATTTTTGGCTCTAACATTTTTAAATGTTCGGGCGTGCCGGGCCGGATTGGCACATACACTATTGGCTGACGGTACCATCCCGAAACGCCTTCCGGCATCTCAATGTAATCACATGGTACTGTTGGTTGTGATATTGCATTTCAGGACTTGCAACACGACGAGAAGCACTGGCGGCTTGGAGCAAGAACAACAAATGTCTTTCCTTTCACCTGTTTGTTGCGTTTGCACTGTCCATTGCGGTGTTTTGTGTTGGAGTTTACGTGCATCATTCGCTTGACTCAACCAATGTGTTCGTTGGTCTCAATGCCGTGCCTTGGTTGGCAGCAATGCTGGTGAGTGTTTTCTGCTCTGGTACACAGTCTGGTGATGTGTGTGTGTGTGTGTGTGTGTGTGTGTGTGTGTGTGTGTGTGTGTGTGTGTGTGTGTGTGTGTGTGTGTGTGTATGTGTGTGTGTGTGTGTGTGTGTGTGTGTGTGTGTGTGTGTGTGTGTGTGTGTGGTGTGTGTGTGGGGGTGTGGTGTGTGTGTGGGGGGGGGGGGGAGGGGGGTGTTTCATACCCCTGCACTGACACTATTTTACTGTCTTCTGTGTATGTACATGTAGATGTGCTCTCCGACAGATATTGAACTGAAAATGTAGTAGTTCAAGTGAAATGTTGTAGTTCAACAAGGATAATAATGAGGAAAAGTAACAGCTTGAACTATGAAGGAACTGGCATGCGTCAAAGAAGCGTGTAACTCACTCACAAATGGTTGGAAAAGAAGTGAAGCTGCCAGATTGAGGAAAACATGGTCTTTTAGTACTCCCCGGCTGGGACTCGGTCAGCATCACTCCCCGGCACATGAAGTATCTACAGGAACTGTTCTAATAGGCTCCTTTTCCCCCATGTTATCTTCTGCTTTGTGTTACAATATAACAGACCGGCATAACGCTTGGCTTTTTCCTACCAACCCACATGCAATCTAGTCATCCCAGTGGAAACGGTACTCTAGCAGTAAGTCAGTCATGACGTAATCAATGTCAGTCATGACGTAATCAATGTACATGTGAAACTATAAACTAGTATAGTGTAATGTGAGTCTATGCTATCTTTGTTGGAGTGCTTTCGTCCCGCTGGGTCTTGCCAAGGCCAAGTACGTGTTCCACTTGATCCACAAAGTACTTTGCCGGGTTTTGCCTCTGTGTGTGTGTGTGTTTGTGTGTGTGTGTGCGTGTGTGTGTGTGTGTGTATGCATGTGTGTGTGTGTGTATGTATGTCCTAGGAGAATGTCTGGGCAGTGTTCTTGGTGTTGTCACTTATTCTGGACTTGCTGACCATGTGCTTCGCTGCTGCCAATGCCAATGAGGAATTCCTAGAGTCTAAGCCAAAACAGTACACAATAGTACTGGCTGTGATGTATGGTAAGCCGCGGCTGTGTGTTTTGCTAGTCAATGCATGTCACAGTTTGTCAGATTATGGGTACATTATGTTTTGACTACTCTTGCCCTTTCTTACTTTGTGTGTGTACAATCACTGTGCATGCATGCATGGTGTGCGCGTGTGTGTGCATATGTGTGTGTGTGCATATGTATGTGTGTTTGTGTGTGTGTGTGTGTGTGTGTGTATGTGTGCGTCTCTCTCTCTTTCTTTCTCTCTCTCTCTCTCTCTCTCTTTCTCTCTCTCTCTCTCTCTCTCTCTCTCTCTCTCTCTCTCTCTCTCTCTCTCTCTCTCGCGCGCGCGCCCGCGCGCGGCTAAAGTCTAGACTGACAACCTGCTTTAAATCATGCACCTGCTTTCAGGCGTAAACACCCTGTTGTAGAGGTCTCAGTCCTCATTTGTTAGACTTACCTGTCTTTATAAATGTAACTTTCTCTCTCTCTCTCTCTCTCTCTCTCTCTCTCTCTCTCTCTCTCTCGCTCTCTCGCTCTCTCTCCGAGCTCTCTCTCTCTCTCTCTCTCTCTCTCTCTCTCGCTCTCTCACTCTCTCTTTCTCTTTCTCTCACCTGGTCTTCACAAGTGCAAGCATATTTGGCTAGTTAGCCGGCTTGTAGGTACTAGCAGTGATTGTGTGTGTGTCACAAGTGTGTGTTGGTTTGCATTGTATGCCCTCTAACCCTGGCACTGGCAGGCGTGCTTGTACTAGAGGTTACACTGTCAATACTATTCTACCTGGGTTGCATCGCTGTGTGCGGCGAGAAGCGGAACGAGAGCCGTTCACGCAGACAGTCACGGCAATCCACCAGCCGCCTACTGAACGGGCGAAAAGCATCAACACAGTCGGCTGACAGACAGGCTACTGAGGCAGCCGAACAGCCGAAACCCAAGGTACTGTATCCTATGCTGCTGTTATAGTGTAAATTGATGCAACTCCATCAGAATCATACGGTCTTGTTGAGTGTATTGCATGGCAGTATCCGGCACTTGGTCATGACCAGAATAGACCCACCACAGTTGGTGACTGGGTATGCGGCGAGCTGACTGGGTATGCGGTGAGCTGACTGGGTATGTGAGCATGTGTGTGTGGGGGGGGGGGGGGGGGGGTGCAAGTGCTTCTTGAACTACAGTGGAACTCACTGAGTAATTACTCCGACTGAAGTCATACATACTTGCTTAGCAAGGACATTGTCATAACTGCACGGATGTATTCCTCCAGAACTGTACCTCGCATACTAAGTACACAGGTTCCTGCTGTCGGCCATGCAGGTACGGCTTATCACAGTTGCACTGTACATTTGCTTATCACAGTTGCACTGTACATTTGCTTATCACAGTTGCACTGTACATTTGCAGCATCCTGGCGACAGCAGTGTACTCGGCTTCCCCGGCTTTGCTCTGTCTTGTCATGATCCGGCAAGGGCAGTATGTGTGTATACTCGTTGACTGTTGCTAATGCATGGTATGTGTGTACATGATTGTGTCTCTGTGTGTTTGTGTGTTGTACAATTGGCAGAAACCAGCAAGTCTGGACGTGTATTTGCCGAATGATGACTTTGCCAATGCCCCGCCAGCAACCGGTGGGTCCTCTGGTGGCATGATTTCATCACGTGCACGTCCATCCAGTCAGGTATTCGATACGGCCGCGTCACCAATGTCTATCAACGCACCTCTGTAATTCAAACACATCTACAGTCATCTGTCAATACACTGCATCGTCAATGACTCTATGATACGAGAGCAGTAGTCACTGAGAAGCACTGTCACGGTTTGCTGGTCAATACCATGGCATGATGGGCTGATGCCATGCATTTACTTTTCGCGTTATCATATTAACATCTGTGACCATTGCCCCATTGGGTTACGGCTGGACAAAACAGAAAGACACAATTCCTTTATCTGAGAGTTATTTAAATTATTCTCTTTCTTACTTAGAAGCTGCGACTTCGGCGGTAATAGTCATGAAGTTGGTTGCTCCAACGAGGAGCACACGCTCCTCGCTCCTCCACGCTCCTCGTGTGCTCCTCGTTGGAGCAACCAACTTTATTCTCTTTCTTGCTGGGTGTATTTCAAATTTTTCAAGGGGAGTATTTTACTTAAAAGTCGTTGTTACAAGTAATCCGATATTGGATTTTTTGAGGTTTGCCTCTTGCATTCAGGCTGTGTACCTGCTTTATGATTTCGGCATGTTTATTTTGGCCAAGAAGGGCTAGAGGCAGGTGTCTGTGTTACTGTGTGGGTGTGTGTGCGTGCGTGCATGCGCGCGCGTGTGTGTGTGTGTGTGTGTGTGTGTGTGTCCCATATGGTGCAGTGGTATGTGCAGCGATTTCCAATCGATAGATTGCAGGTTCGATTCCCGACGATTATGGTCACACACGTCTTTCTTCTCTTTCTCAGACTCTTCCTGACTTTTCTTTCATTCTCCTGGGTGGTTACCAACAGCCCAGTGCATGCCGGAGTATGTGGTGGATGTGTGTGCGGGAAAAAAATGAAAAAGACCAAAAATAGGGATTCACTGGCCAGACAATGTCACTCCAAATAGCTGTATGGTGTAGACCAGGCTGAATAGTGACGGTCAATTCTTCAGCCTTGCAAGCTGTTGAATGGTGTAATCCCAGCACAAGTTGCTATGGCTTCTGCCGTAGCATTGCTATCATCGCCTCCGGCGATGGGCGTCAAAGGTCAGGTCAGGTGTGTGTGTGTATGTGCGTGTGCGTGCATGCACGTGTGTGTGTGTGCACGTGTGTATATGCTGCATTGGAATGGTCTTACCAAAGTGCAGATCTATAGTTATAATCCATGTGTACCCTGGAATCTACTCTTTTTCCTGTGTGACTGAGACCAGGTGGGTGGTGGGCAATTACCAGGGTGGTTACAGGTAAAGAGTACAAACTTGCATAATGTGACTGCAGGGCAGGTCACGTCCATTCACTCCAGAGAGTAGTACAATACTTTAAAACACCTTTTGACCTTTGACCTTTGACGCCCATCACCGGATGTGGTGATAACCAGGGAGTGTATGACACTACTCCCTGGTGCCTAGTGGTGGTAGCCATACTACACTACAGCGGAAGCCATAGCAGCTTGACTATGACACGTTTAGACCGTTGGATGGCCATTGCTCCGTACCGTCTGGACTCAGAAGTTGCAGTACTAGTATCTCCTGCTCAAGTCAAAATCATTGGGCTTTTTGGTTTGGTTTTTATTATTTCAGTTCGTTGCCTCAACAGTACAAAGTACAAATATCAAGAAGGACGAACGCTGACTGAAGTGAAGTCCTGCCACACCCACAAATGAACATCATGCGATCACATCATCAGTTGAGCTGCTTTTTAGGTGAAGCACTGCACTTGCCCTACATGTAGCGACTCACGCTGCATGCATAGCGCCTATTAGAAGATAATTCAAGATAATTATGGCTGTGTACTTAGCGCCCATTCGAAAATCCGCTGACTCACCCCGTGAAATCATTCGCATAATCTCCCTACATGTAGGCTTTTGCCAGCCGGGGATGGTCACCATGACAGGCATGAGGGGCACCTGACCAGTCTCGTCTTTGTACACACCTACATAGTCCATGTGTCCAAGGCTTTTTCGGGCCATGTCTAGGCCTCGTGTTCAGACCCTCCGGCAGCAAAGAGAACACACTTGGGGGAGGCGGTAATCGTCAATACAAGTGAGCCAAACCAGTGTAGACAATACCAGAACACAACCTCCATCATTGACAAGTTGACAACGGCATTCAAAGCCGACGAGCTAGTTCCTCGGATAGGATGCGCTCTTGTCACTGCTGGTCCACACACCCAGTATCCCTCACACACAATTGTGATGGAGCACATCCAGGCCATGGAACTAAGAAACCGCTACCCTCTGTGTCCTGGTCTCCGACACTGGGCGACATACAGTCAGTAACTTGAAAAGGATCATCAGAATGCTGGCTTAATTGGTACACATAGTGGGGTGTCCCAAGCGACAGTGATACACATAAGGGCGTGTCCCAAGCGACAGTGATGCATTGCGGAAGATGGGTCCATTGCAAGGCAGCTAAAGCGCACAATGTATTGACACACACACACACACACACACACACACACACACACACACACACACACACACACACACACACACACACACACACACACACACACACACACACACACACACACACACACACACACACACACACTTCAGCAAATCATGGCCATCACGTCTTGCCTTCCGCAGGAGGGAGACACATGTAGATGAGAATTATTTGTCAAGATCTGCACGCATATCTTCACCCAACTAAAACACTACAGTATGTGACACATACCATACAGCCATCATGATACACACATGTCATGTGCTTGCCATTACATGTACATGTACACTTAGAAACAATAATAATAACTATGAGATGATTGTTCAGCTTGTGTACTGCTGCCGCACATTTCAACTGCTAGTTCCTCAAGTTGCTGTTATATCTGAAACTGCTGAATAACTAGTTAGTCCTTTATAAGATATCTTCAATCCGACACATTCTTGCACCAGTATACTGTTTGTATGTACACTGAATTGTCAACTAATACTTAAAAACATCATGTCTTATCTTGAATATTCAACTGATGTTCAGATGCGAATCAGTTTATGCAACCCATCAGGAGTCACACGGTTCTTAGAGAGGTCGCGGAATGGAAAGACACAATCTTGAAAATGTTAACTTAATCTTTGAAAAGTGTATTACATCAGCAATATCCATGGATCAACATCAAGCACATGTCTCGGCGAGATGATGATCGTGCTATGCCGTGATGGCATGCCGTATTCACTGTGACGTCTGCTGTTTGAGATGTTGGATTTCATGGAGGATTCTCATGCGAGGTCCTACGGGTACTTTCATCTGCTTCAGCTGGGTTTCGGTGAGAAAGGGCAGCTCAAGCATTCCAACTTTGTGTTTCTCAAACTTACGGAGGATATGCTGAGTAGAAAACACAAGATAAACATTGCAATGAAACTACAGAAAGCAAGGATACAGAGCAATAGGATTATTTAAAAAAACAATTTCGCTTAGCACAACAGTATACTGCTCCATGCTTCATGGCCATTGTGGATTTCAGAGCGGCTTGTTCAGAAAGTTTGGTCTTCAACTTCAAGTATGCCAACAGGACCAACCCCATACTTGCTATGAGTAACAAACCATCGGATACATGCCATGGTCAACAAACCATTGGATACAGGGATACATGCCATGATTTACAAAACCATGGTATACATAACATGAGTAACACGTAGTGCTAGTAACATGAGCGGATAGAGACCTGGATGCTAGTGTTGGGCTAATGCTGATGCCGATGTGCATGTCAGTACAAGTACATGTATGAACCGATTAGGCATGCAGACTTGCTATGGTCATGTAGTTCTCACCTCATCATAGCCGAGTGTGTTCAGCCACTGACGTAGGAGGTGAGGCGGTTCCTGACCAAAGAATCTGTACACACACATGCACACACACACACACACACACACACACACACACACACACACACACACACACACACACACACACACACACACACACATACACACACACACACACACACACACACACACATCACATACCGTGAAAACTTAATCACCGCAGGACGTTGTTGGTATCTACCAGCTGCTGTTCAGCCTTTCGGAGAAAAACAACACCAGCGTTAGAAGACATGCAACAACCATAGGGGGCAAATGTTGCTTCAGAAATACAAGTATCAATGGCAGACAGCTACAACGATTGGCAGACTGAGTCAAACCATGCTTTTAAAATTAAGCATACAATTGGACCGGTGTGTAGACACGTGACCTCTTTGCAAACCCACCAGGGGCGGCAGCCGTACTTAGTCTTTGTATTGTAGCTGTAATAATGACCTGGGAGGCTTGACTGGATAGGGGTCTAGGACAGTTGCTCTGCTAATGCAATGTCACGTGACGGTACCCACCACACACCAGCCACTCACTACAGTAGTACTCAAGCACTGCCTCAGGCACTTGCACTGCACGCGGCAAAGTAGTTGCATTCCATTATACATGTACTTCCAAGTACATGTACCCATATAAGGTGTTGCCAAGTGTGTATAGTATTGCGGGCACGAGAACACTTTGTAAATAAATTAGACCACTTCATGACCACAGTATGCTTGTTACACCAGGCCAGGCGAGATTGCCGGGTAGCCTTTGCTATCGGCGAGACGGCAGGCATACATATTAAATTATAGTAGTTTTAATCAAACATTGGTTCCTGTAGTGAAGGCACTGTAGCCTTTCACCATTCGCATTATGATCATACATGTAACTGGTAAAACTGATTGGTGGACCTGCAGCGCTGACTTACTTCTTCACTTTGACAGCGGATCTCTTCACTCCCGACGTCGGTGGTGTGGCAAACGAGTATGATTTATCGTAACTACCATCTGCACTCAGTCCTCCGTTGTTTTCACCAATACTGTGGCTGGTCTGGGACTGAGCCGGTACAGCACCATTGTCGATCGGCGTGGAGGACGTGGGTACTATGGAGATTTCGCTATGTCCGGGTGTTTTTGGTACAGACAGGGTCAAGCGTTCATTCGATTCCAGGCTGGACATTGACAGTTCTGATTGTCGCATCTCCTCCGCATCATTACGATTTCCATGCTTCTCCGCTGATGTTTGAACACCGTGAGCTGTTTGCAGTGCGGCGGTGTCAGATTCCAGTCGTGTTAGCCGAGTGTTCATCTGTGCATTGCACCTCGCAAGTTCCACCATCTCACAGTCCTGGCCCTCCAGCGTGTTGTGCATATGTCTGCAAGATTACCACATGGCCGAAACAATCCCAGCATCCAAGACAATACAAAATTATTACACTTCATGTACACGTTTTCAAGTTAACAATAATTATTAAGTTGGGCGTATACAGCAGAATATCTCAGTTGCAAAAGACTGGGCCCAGAGCCTCCGGCCCTTACAGACACACTGAGCCCAGAGCCTCTCAACCTTGCAAACACACTGAGCCCCCCCCCCCCCCGGCCCCATGGCCCATGTGACCCTTACAAGCACACTCAATGACTGGGCTCAGGGCTCAGGGCCCCTGGGTCTGGCCTTACAAACACACTGGGCCTTAAGTCCCGGGCTTGCCTGTACAGGCATCCTCTAAGCACTGGGGACCAGATGTATCTTAAAAGCCACTTGATATGGAACAGTTCCGACTGCCGGGCTGTGCTGCAAGGGCACAGTAGCCAGTCAAGCTAGTGACATGTCACATGGCTGGACCACTTCCAGTCAACTAACCCTGCCTTAAAGGGGAAGTTAAGGCAAAAAATTAAAATTTCACCAGTTGTAGTCTTCGGGGTGCTGAGTCGAATGGTCTTGGTCCGAGAAAGCTGAGACGCTCCCTTCCTACTTGAATCCCAATCGAACTCGCGCACTTCCACCGAAACTGGGTGACTGCGCCCTACTAGATGGGGATTTGTATGCAAAATGTCACTAAAAGCGCCATTTCGTTCTTATAAAAGCACGGATGACCGCGATTGGCCCATATGTTGTAGTCTTTTGGACGCTGAGTCGATTGGTTTTGGTCCGAAAAGGCTGCGATGCAGCGTTCCTCCTTTCTTCCCAATCGAACATGGTTGAACAAGCGGTCACGTGCTCCTGCGTACGCCAGTCACCTGGTCACCGTGCCTGCAGGGTACAACTTACTAGCCTGTTTGACCTTTTTTGGGTGCAGTCCTGTCACTCGAGTTGAACCTTGGTGTGAAAGTTGTCGCCTGCTGGCGTGGTGACCAGGTGATTTGGGCACCCAGGAGCACGTGACCGCTTCTTCAACCATGTTCGATTGGGAATAAAGGAGGAACGCTGCATCGCAGCCTTTTCGGACCAAAACCAGTCGATTCAGCGTCCAAAAGACTACAACATATGGGCCAATCGCGGTCATCCGTGCTTTTATAAGAACGAAATGGCGCTTTTAATGGAAGTTTCCGGAGGAGGAAGGAGGAAACTGTAGTTATCACCAACCCTCACCGCGCCCAGCTCACGCCGCTACGGCGTGCGACCTGAGCTGGGCGCCCTGCCCAGTATGGAACTGTCCTCAAGTCAGTCACGTATTTGGCAGCCCAGTGAGCTGTCTACCGGATCGCAGCGTGTAGAAGCGCCAAATGCGGCAGGGCCAGTCTCAGGCTGGTCGCGTAGGCGGCAGGCCGGCGGGCGACCGGCAAGGCTGCATTCGCATTTGGATCACCGAAGTGATACAGGTGCTTCGACGGCACTCCGTGGCGCATCAAGGAGGCATCTGGGGCCCAGGCAGCCCGCCCGTAAGCGCACCACCGTATCAGGTATGCGCAGGTGGAGCAGCAGAGCAAGATGTGTGCGGGACACTCACCATCATCCGGTCGACTGCATGGTTGTGCGACTTTACACAGCCGTCACTCATTACTTGCTATTGCTTGCAGAAGGCCAGAATTTTTTTGCTCTCGTTTGCTCTAAAGCTAGTTGGTTTACATGGTTTATACCCGTACCTGAGCATGGATCCTACTCAGCAGCGGATCGCTGGTATTCCTCGTTTGAGACCGCGGCGACGGCAGCGTCGGCCCTGACCAACAAGCCTCGGGCGATGAGCATGCCGGCCGAAAATGCAGGCATGGACACTGTCGTGTATGACCAGTTTAGTTGAGTTCCTTGGAGGCGCTATGATGCCGGACGGCGCATGTGTTGGCGCACGGGAGACGATTAGGACAGTACGGCGTGCGGAATACGTCGAGCTGGCCACAATGCTTCCTTCCTGTCCTGCCCACACGCAGCCAGCAGCCAAACGTGTTAGAATCGATCAATCCGATGGCAATCACTGAGTGGAATTGTCTTTGGCGGCTCCTCTTCTGGCAAGAGAAAAACTGAATCTCTAATCTACTGGGTCGAGGCCTGGCAGACTTTCAGAACCATCGCGCCTTGCAACACGAGCTTACGCCCTCTGGGGCCCTAAGTAGTCCGACAAGAAATTCATACTGCACGGCGACGAAAGGGCAGTTGGAGCAGTCTGAAATCCGGGACTTGCCGAAATCCAACCGTGACGGAACTAGCCCACTTCAGCCCCGCATGGTAGCAGAACACAAGGCTTTATCTCGCTGACTACCCATATTACGGTCACGGATAACTCCGCTGCGGACGCTCTTTCACGCGGACGATTAGTCCATTTCCTTTCATCGGCTCCCTAATCCAGCTGCTGGACTCGGCTTAGTCCTGAACTCATGCTATGCGGGAGCAACTAATCATGGCAGCAAACCGGCTGAACTTCTTCTCAACCAATGCGTGCCTCCTTTTTCATTCGCTGTGTAGTCTATCTCTCTCAGCACACGTGGGTAAGCACGCAAGCACACACACACCCACGCACACGCATACATACATACATACATACATACATACATACATACATACATACATACACACACACACATACTCTCTCTCTCTCTCTCTCTCTCTCTCTCTCTCTCTCTCTCTCTCTCTCTTATCCTCCTCTCCTCCATCCCTCACCCTGCTTCGCCTCTAAGTGCTGTCGCTCCCCTCCCCTTCCTACTCGTACTAGGCGGCATTACACCAAGTCTCAGCATGTGGGGTCTACTTTGCTGTTTTGGGGCTTTGTTTGGACATGGCAAGCTGTTATCTTTTTCCTTGCGGCTGTCGTCGCTGTTGCCATTGTTGTTTAGATACCACGGCGAGCCGGCAGTACGTGCCGGTGTTGGCGGGCTGGCGACCTTGTTTTACTTTCAGTAATTAACACTTTACCCGAGGTGCGACGGATTAATCCGTCACGACCGCGCAGGGCATATTGCAGACACGCGTATGTGCGTTACACACACACACACTCACACATTATGCGCACCCGGCGGGCAGAGCGATTGGCCCATGCTGCTTATTCAGTTGTACTAGCGGAGGCAGGGGCGATTCCCCTACGTAATCGCCCATGCGGCGGAATACCCGGCGGCCTGATACGGCGGCGTTGCGAGCAAATGCAGGGGTGGTTCCCTTTTGAGCTCTGTTTGTGGCGGCGGCAGAGGCAGGGGCAGCGCCCCTAGCCCATGCGGCGGTTGACCCGGCGGCCCGACATGGCAGTTGGCCCAGCGGTCCGATATGGCAACTGACCCGGCGGTCTGATATGGCGGCTGACCCAGCGGTCTGATATGGCGGCGGCTGACCCAGCGGTCTGATATGGCGGCTGACCCAGCGGTCTGATATGGCGGCTGACCCGGCGGTCTGATACGGCGGCTATGCGAGCAAATGCAGGGGCAGCGCCCCTTTGCGCGTGTTGTTTGCGGCGGCATTGGTCAAGGCAGTGGCAGCGCGCCTTGCCTGGGTGGCGTTATGCCCGGCGCTGCGGCTATGTTTGCAAAACGCAGGGGCCGCTCCCCTTTGAGCTTTGTATGTTCACAGCTATGTTTGCAAGATTCAGGGGCAGCTCCCCTTGGGGCCTGGTACAGTTATGTTTGCAAAAAGCAGGGGCAACTCCCCTCCGAGCCTTGTATGTAATCGTTTACAGCGATGCTTGCAGAAAGCAGGGGCAGCTCCCGTTAGTGCGTGGTATGTTTACAGCTATGTTTGCGAGGAAGAAACAAAAAAAAAAGGGCTTAGAGCTGGGTATGTTTACGGCCACGTTTGCAAAATGCAGGGGTAGCTCTCCTTGGAGCTTTAGCTAGTTGACAGCTACGCGACAAAATGCATGGACAGCTCCCCTTGGAGCTTTGGATGTTTACAGCTATGTTTGCAAAATGCAGGGGCAGCTCCCCTTGGAGCTTTTAAAACTAGTTTACAGCTGTGCGGACAAAATGCAGGGGCAGCACTCCTTGAAACTTTGGATGTTTACCACTATGTTGGCTAAATGCAGGGGCGGTTCCCCTTGGGGCTTGGATGTTTACAGCCAGGTTTGCAAATGCAGGGGTAGCTCCCCTCAGAGCGTTGTAGGTTTACAGCTAGGTTTGCCAAATGCAGGGGCAGCTCCCCTTGGAACTTTGGATGTTTACAGCTATATTTGCAAATACAGGGGCAGCTCCCCTTGGAGCCTTCTAGTTCTACGTTTACAACTATGTTTGCAAAATGCAGGGGCAGCTCCCCTTTGAGCTTCGTAGGTTTACTGCTAGGTTCGCAAAACGCAGGGGTAGCTCCCCTTTGGAGCTTTGGATGTTTACAGCTATGCTTGCAAACTGCAGGGGCAGCTCCCCTGGGAGCTTTTGAAGTTGGATGTTTACAGGTGTGGTCGCAAAATGCAGGGGCAGCTCCCCTGGGAGCTTTGGATGTTTACAGCTATGTTTGCAAATGCAGGGTAAGCCCCCCTTGGAGCCTTGGATGCTTACAACTATGTGTGCAAAAGGCAGGGACAGCTTCCCTTTGAGCTTTGTTGGTTTACAGCTAGGTTTGCAAAACGCAGGGGTAGCTCCCCTGAGCTTTGGATGTTTATAGCTATGCTTGCAAAATGCAGGGGCAGTTCCCCTTGGAGCCTTGGAAGTTTACAGCTATGTTTGCAAAATGCAGGGGCAGCTCCCCTGGGAGCATTGGATGTGTACAGCTATGTTTGCAAAATGCAGGGGCATTTCCCCTTGGAGCTTTGTATATTTACAGCTAGGCTTGAAAAATGCAGGGGCAGCTCTCCCTCGGAGCGTGGTTTGTTTGCAGCTGAGATGGGGAGTGCAACCGAAGATCTCCTTTCGAGCTTGTTTGTTCGCATTTGCTTGTTAGCACCGTAGCTCGGGCACCCAGCAGGTCCTGACTGGCCCTTAGCGCATACTCCCGGCCACATTTATTGCCTGTTGCAGGATAGGGGCCTCACCCCATATTTTTTTTGGACGATCGGCGGGCGGGAAGCCGTCATCGACCTATTAAAGAGGCAAGATACAAGAATAACTGAGAAACTAATAATTGTATACAACGCGCCAACCCTTTGGCTCTGTTGTCGGCTCTGCGGGGGGGGGGGGGGGGGCACCCAGGCATCCCCCTCGTGCGAACACCACCCGTGGAAGCGGAAACGTTGTGACGGCGTATTCAGTAGTGCCCAGCACCAGCAGGACCTACCAATCAGGGGAAAGCCTAGCAGTCCTTCATGGCAATTCCCTTGGTAGACCCCCTCAAGCTGACACAGGAGCTGGCCACCAGGAAGGGGCCTGGACGGCAGCTCTAGGTCACCGGAAGGTGGTCAGGGTTGACCCGCAAGAGATGCATGTGCGGTGGAGCCTTTGACTAAGCGGCCACCCCTTGGGGCCAGAGAAAGCGGTCTTGAGGGGCAGGTGGTCCTTAGTTGGAGGCTTGCACCGCAAACTATGAATGTGAGACCGTCCGTGCCCGGCGAAGGCGTCCATAGTACCAGGCGGGTAGCTAGTCACACTTGTATCCAACACGACAGCCCTTCGGCTGTTGTCTGCCCGGCTTGGGGCGCCCAGGTATCCCCCCGTGCGAACACTACCCGCGGAAGCTGACAAGTCGTCAGCGTATTCAGTAGTGCCCAGCACCAGCAGGAGCTACCAACCAGGGGAAAGCCTAGCAGTCCTTCATGGCAATGCCCTTGGTAGACGCCCTCAAGCTGACACAGTATCTGGCGGCCAGGAAGGTGCCCGGACGGCAGCTCCAGGCCGCCGGAAGGTGGTCAGGTTGACCCGCAAGAGATACATGTGTGGTTGAGCCTGTGGCTAACGACCACCCCTTTAAGCCAGAGAAAGCGGTCCTTAGTGGCAGGTGGTCCTTGGCTGCAGGCTTGCACCGCACAACCATTATGAATGTGAGACCGTCCGTGCCCGGCGAAGTGGTCGGTAGTACCAGGCTGGTCGCTGGTCACGGTGGTCTTTAGCTACTGGTTTCACTGTATACCGAATCAGGCATGCCATCACAGGTCTACAGCGAACAGCACAGAGATCGACGGGACCAAGAATAGGGGATAGCGTGCGGCGAGGCCACCCCCATTATTTTTGGGAGGCACGGCTTCATGTTAGAGCAGTAAATTGCAGTTAGGGACTCAGCTGAGTCAAGCTGGACTCAGCGTGTCAAGTTTGGCATAATACAATAAGCGCGCTATCCCCAAACAGTTGTGTGGTTATTGTGTGAGTGTATATGCAGGAGTCCGCGGTCACGTGAGGGGGGAGTGATAAATGGAAGTTTCCGGAGGAGGAAGGAGGAAACTGTAGTTATCACCAACCCTCACCGCGCCCAGCTCACGCCGCTACGGCGTGCGACCTGAGCTGGGCGCCCTGCCCAGTATGGAACTGTCCTCAAGTCAGTCACGTATTTGGCAGCCCAGTGAGCTGTCTACCGGATCGCAGCGTGTAGAAGCGCCAAATGCGGCAGGGCCAGTCTCAGGCTGGTCGCGTAGGCGGCAGGCTGGCGGGCGACCGGCAAGGCTGCATTCGCATTTGGATCACCGAAGTGATACAGGTGCTTCGACGGCACTCCGTGGCGCATCAAGGAGGCATCTGGGGCCCAGGCAGCCCGCCCGTAAGCGCACCACCGTATCAGGTATGCGCAGGTGGAGCAGCAGAGCAAGATGTGTGCGGGACACTCACCATCATCCGGTCGACTGCATGGTTGTGCGACTTTACACAGCCGTCACTCATTACTTGCTATTGCTTGCAGAAGGCCAGAATTTTTTTTTCTTTTTTCGCTCTTTCCCTTCTTCCAGGCACGGCTTCATGTTAGAGCAGTAAATTGCAGTTAGGGACTCAGCTGAGTCAAGCTGGACTCAGCGTGTCAAGTTTGGCATAATACAATAAGCGCGCTATCCCCAAACAGTTGTGTGGTTATTGTGTGAGTGTATATGCAGGAGTCCGCGGTCACGTGAGGGGGGAGTGATAAGTGACATTTTGCATACAAATCCCCATCTAGTAGGGCGCAGTCACCCAGTTTCGGTGGAAGTGCGCGAGTTCGATTGGGATTCAAGTAGGAAGGGAGCGTCTCAGCTTGCTCGGACCAAGACCATTCAACTCAGCACCCCGAAGACTACAACTGGTGAAATTTTAATTTTTGCCTTAACTTCCCCTTTAAAACCCTAAAATACAATAGATCCTATACAAGAACGCATAGAAAATAATGTATAATAATTATATATTCCCCCATTGATGGTAAGGACACACTTAGCTAGCGTGTGGTAAATACATGCCTGTCCGGCATATCCGCTCTCGAAGTCATTGGCACGGCAGTGTCCCACACAGGCTATAAAATGTGACGTCAAGTTCAGTAGGCCCGGCCAAGTTCTGAGGAGAATGGTGCTGTACAGTTCCAAGCTGACCTCAAGCAGGAAAGTAAACACTGGGGCACACAACAATGAAGATCAAACTCACATTCTTTCCTTTGAAAACTTCTTCTTCAACGCTTGACCTGCACAGTCACAGTGTCAGCAGACAGACAAGTTTCTTAGCTCCAACTCCGACATCAAAAAGCGGACAGAGGTCATTGGTAGAGGTCAAAGGTCATAAGGTCATGAAGCACATTTCAGTCAAAACTGCATACTAATAGATGATTGATCTGCCCAGTGTAATACTAGGGGTCCAGCCTCTGGGTCACGTGTGTGTGTGTGTATGGGGGGGGGGGCACGGTTATCCCAGATGAATTTAGGAGATCATGGGTGGCCTTCAGATGTTCCCATGACAGTGCAACCACCTTCATCCACATAACCGGTTCAACATCACAGTGTTTCACTGGGCATCTTGTCTTAGGCTGAACAACGGCAAGAAAACTGTGAATGAAATATCCTGATATAGGAATCAAGAAGCTTGACAGTCATTGATGCACACCAACTTTTTAAATAGATTCTACCTTGTTGGTATAGGGCTGATATGATCCGCCGTTGGTCGTGGAGTTGCTGTTGCATGACATGCTTCTCTGTCTCCCACTGTGTTTGCATGGCTTCCAACACACTAAGCTGCAACATAGGCATCATGATGAGACAAGCAGACACACACTAAGAGCAGCAGATGCGTTTCCTTAAACAGATCAGACAATGTCATTTTGCTCGGTCCATGGCCTAGGACTCAGTGGACCAGAACCAGAGTCTGTGCAATGCACATTCGCCATGGCAGCTAATCAACCGGAGCAGAACACAGTCACACTCAAACCAGTGTGCTCAAGTAAAATATGTCCCTAGTTTCAATGCACTGTGACTGTACAGGACCTCCGGGAACATTTTTTGGTTGGTCCAGTAGTTGGTCCAGTAGTTTCATGGCCTTGGTCCGGTGATAACCTGACCGAACGGACCGTTTCTGGCGGGCCTGCTGTACTACACTATGAAGCATTAGTGACAACTTACTCTTTGATGTACCTCTGTGAGTGAGCCATGTGCTGTATCTGTGTGCGGACAATTTAAAAGGAAACACACGCCCACATACGCACACACACACACACACACACACACACACACACACACACACACACACACACACACACACACACACACACACACACACACACACACACACACACACACACACACACACACACACACATACACACACATACACACACACACACACACACACACACACACACACGTACGTGCAATTTGGGTCACCGTGGTATACAAATAGCAGATTGGGATATACCGGTACTCGTAGCATATCATATCGGCCACAAACACAGAATTCCACTAGGCTGGCTGGCATTGTCACATTTCAGATACTTGCACTATGTCATGTTACAGCCAAGTCATGGTGAAGTACATGTATGTTGTACATGTGGTCATGTGGTCATGTATATGGTCATTGGTCATCCAGTGCCTATTTACCTGGGCTACTAGCTAGTCTTGGCTGTGGCTTGAGAAGTACATCACCGGCAGGACTGCTGGATGACAGTGATGGAGGTGTAGCTATGAATGCCGATGGTGACATGGCAACGGGTGATGTCATACCAGCAGATGATGTAGTACTGTGCTTGCCTGGTGAGCTGTCAAAGGCAGACGTCTTGGGTGAGTTGAACAATGGTGACCTGTCCTGTTGGTCAGCTACTTGTCTGTGTTGATTGGCAGCTTGTTTCTTAGGTGAATCAGAGAAGACTGACGATGATGAACCTCCTCTTCCTCCATCCACTTTGCCTGATTGAGTCTTCGCAATGGATTGAGAATTCTTGGAAGGTGACATGCTGAAGGTAGATGATTGACTGCCTCCATGGCTGGCACGGTTGCTTGCGCTGTTAGGCAATGGTGATCTGGCACTGGTATCTCTAACCACTAAGCCACTCACGGACCTGAAGCCGTCGGCCATTGGCTGCGGAGAGCGTCTGCACATATCAACATAGTTACAGTCAACTTGGCTTAGAACGACTGCGGGGGATATAACGACTGCGGATATAACGACTGCGGGGGATAACGACTGCGGGGGATATAACGACTGCGGGGGATATAACGACTGCGGGGGATAACGACTGCGGGGGATATAACGACTGCGGGGGATATAACGACTGCGGGGGATATAACGACTGCGGGGGATATAACGACTGCGGGGGATATAACGACTGCGGGGGATATAACGACTGCGGGGGATATAACGACTGCGGGGGATATAACGACTGCGGGGGATATAACGACTGCGGGGGATATAACGACTGCGGGGGATATAACGACTGCGGGGGATATAACGACTGCGGGGGATATAACGACTGCGGGGGATATAACGACTGCGGGGGATATAACGACTGCGGGGGATATAACGACTGCGGGGGATATAACGACTGCGGGGGATATAACGACTGCGGGGGATATAACGACTGCGGGGGATATAACGACTGCGGGGGATATAACGACTGCGGGGGATATAACGACTGCGGGGGATATAACGACTGCGGGGGATATAACGACTGCGGGGGATATAACGACTGCGGGGGATATAACGACTGCGGGGGATATAACGACTGCGGGGGATATAACGACTGCGGGGGATATAACGACTGCGGGGGATATAACGACTGCGGGGGATATAACGACTGCGGGGGATATAACGACTGCGGGGGATATAACGACTGCGGGGGATATAACGACTGCGGGGGATATAACGACTGCGGGGGATATAACGACTGCGGGGGATATAACGACTGCGGGGGATATAACGACTGCGGGGGATATAACGACTGCGGATATAACGACTGCGGATATAACGACTGCGGTTATAACGACTGCGGGGGATATAACGACAGTTTGCGAATAACGACTGCGGGGGATATAACGACAATTTGCGAATAACGACAGAATTTCCATGCCCAGAGCAAAATCCCATCTAACTGTAATACCTAGAATGAGACTTCGGGTATGAGGACACTTCGCGAATAAGGACACTTTTCTGATGCCCCGCCGAGTGTCGTTATACGCAAAGTTGACTGTGCAATGCACTGTCAGAATAATTATACCTCCTGACATGAATATGTAACCCCATTGAAACTGTGATGGTGATCACGGTACTGGATTGCAAGTAATGCAATGTATCGCGCATCACAGAGCATCAAGCTGTATTGCTACCTATCACCTTGCCCTGTCACGGTCCACATAACAGGATCTGCAGACTGCGTAACTGTCTATGCCACACTATGAAGATCCACTGTAATATGTCATCGCTGGTGGTGAAGTTGTGCACAGTGTAGTCATAACATGCTGCCAGCACTTCAAGTGTGCGGATTGACACCATCACAGAGGACAGGTCACCTACCACTGATTCTTATTGGCAGCAGCATCAGACGTAGTTCAACACAAACTAACCTGCTTGATGTCACAACGCCATCACTCAGCATTCTTGTCCGCCGACCAATCTCTGGGCCATGGCTGTGTGGCTTTGCAAAGTCCAGTGACCCAGGGTTGGATAAGGAACTGCTTTCCTGTAATGGCAGTGTAAAGTAATGGTATTGTGATTTCAGCCATTAACATAGATGGCTATGTGCATAGCAAGGGCGTCGGAAGCTATGTTAGGGTGGTACGGTCAGCCACCTGAAGTACAATTTACTCGTGCGGTTGGGATGTATCCTCGGAAAGTTTCGAAATTTAGAGCCCAGATCAGTGCCTTTTATTAATTCACAGGGTACCAGGGGAAAGGAGTGGTACGGTCAAAACCCGTAGTGACCGTAGCATGTCCGACGCTCCCTGCATAGGGAGGTGGCGGTGTCCCGCCTATGGTTGGTGAAAATCATGACAGGAACATGAAACTTTTTTTACATTAAAGGGGAACTGTCACCAGAAATGTTCTTTGTCCTATCTTGTAGTTCTTTGGCTCCTGGTCACGATGGTGTTATTCGTTTTTTTCTCTGCGATGACTGGAAGTGGGTGAAAACTTGAAAAGAAGGTCCCCAAAGTTGTCCCGAAGTACCGAGTGACGTCACGCCGGACTTGACCTCCACACGTACATTCATCGTCAAAAACGAAGTCCAGCCCGTGTGCTGGTCGATCGAGCCAACTGTTCGATGTACGGTGCACGCTTGCCTTCTGAACTCGGACACTCGATATGCAGAACGCCAAAAAGGGACAAAATAATAAAAAAAGTCGACAGCAGTTTGTCGCACTGTACTGGTACTTCCTCCACGAAGCTCCAGCTCTTTGTTTTATTTGTGATTACGAAGGAGTGGAAGGATGTTTGTTTGCTGTTAGTGTGACACACATACCTCGTACTTGAAAATGATGTTGTATCGAAGGTGGCGGTGTTGCCCACCCGGCTCTGAAATGAAAGTCGTCGGAGTTTGTCATCTGCATCTTCAGCAACATCGCCAGATGAATCGCCTTCACGTAACTACATTGCGTTCCTTTGGGGCTCGGGTTGGTGGTGTTATCGCCGGCCGGAGGAGTATTGTTTTCTGCATACGCACTCATCATCGTGTTGTTCCTCACACGAAAAGTTCAAAACAACGACGTACTTCCGTGCTCACAAAAATAAAACTTAGATCCTCGCGGAAGAAGTCAAAAAGGTGAAAGCTCAGCTGCTTATCATTTTGATTTGGCTGTGTAGCTGCACGTGGGTTTCTGCCTCTTTGGCATTCTCCTTCCCATCTGTATTACAGTTCAAAAGGCACACTTGCACCGTACATTGGAACCGCTAGCTCGATCGACGAGCACACGGGCTGGACTTCGTGTTTGACGACGAATGGACGCGTGGAGGTCAAGTCCGGTGTGACGTCACTCGGTACTTCGGGACAATTTTGGGGACCTTCTTTTCAAGTTTTCACCCACTTCCAGCCATCGCAGAGAATAACGAATAACACCATCGTGATCAGGAGCCAAAGAACTACAAGATAAGACAAAGAATTTTTTTGGTTACAGATCCCCTTCAACTAGTAATGTGCAAGCATGTACTTTAAAAATACTTTAAAAAAAGTATTCATTTGCTTGAGGGTACTTAAGTTCAAGTCACATGACCAACCTCAGTTGTAGGTGATGTCACCGTGCCATCAGAAGCAAAGGCACTATCACTACTGCTGTCACACTTGCTGTGGGAGGTGCTGACGGGGATTTCCCTCATGGGCATGACGGCTTGACCATTCCAATCTCTGCTTGTAACAGTGCTTGTACTGCCAATTCCACTGCTGCTAGTGCTGCTTGCCATGGAAACTCCCTGGAAAGTGTGACAGTAGAGATTTTTATGAAACAAATATTTAGAACCTTTCGTCTTGATTGCACATACATGTATGGAAAAACAACAAAAGGTCCAGCACACATCAGATGTGCCTATTCAGAAAGATGCACAGTTTCCGCATGTCAAATTGAATACTAGTAAACAGAGGAAAGAAGAGTTGACAGTTCATTCCACTCATCATAGTTTGTACAAGTGATTGCATTGCAAATTTGCAATGCACTAATTTCACACCAAAACCTACAACACACAATTCCCCCAAAACGTAGCCAGCATGAGAACCACGCCAATCAGTGACACAGTGGATATGTCACGGATGTGTGAGCACTCTGCGGCAGCCACATCTACTAGCTAAACAGTGGCCATACACTACAAGAACAGTCTGCATGTATACCATCATGCATAACATCATGCATAACACAATGCAATGTCAAAGTACCTGGATGGTGTCTGTAGCATGACTGCCTGAATCCTTCTCCTCTTGCCTATCACCCCATGCCTCTGTCACACCTCGCCGTCCCAGTGAGGACATGGCCTTGTTTGGAGAGCGGTTTTGCCCCTGTGAACACATTTGTGCACATACGCGCGCGCACGCGCACACACACACATACACACACACACACACACGCACACACACACACACACACACACACGCACACACGCACACGCACACGCACACACACACACGCACGCACACACACACACACACACACACACACACACACACACGCACACACACACACACACGCACACACACACGCACACACACACACACACACACAACTCAATGAAACACTACAATCATGTTTAGTAGAGGATGAAAAGTTATATCAGTCAGAGGCATGGGTGACCTCTGTGGTGGTATCAGTCAGAGGCATGGGTGACCTCTGTGGTGGTATCAGTCAGAGGCATGGGTGACCTCTGTGAGTTATATCAGTCAGAGGCATGGGCGACCTCTGTGGTGGTATCATAGTAGTGCTCTGTGTACTTCAACACACTGATCGCCTAGACTGTCAGACAAACACATAATATCCGCCATACGTGCACGACGCACGCACACATGATAGCGTGATCGGTACTCAGCGGCACTTGTACCATCAACTAACATAATGTAGAAGATGTACATGTTTAAAGGAGCTATCTGCATGATGCACTGAGTTGTCCACTGACATTGCTCACCGAAAGTGCGAAATGCCCGTTTACCGACTCTCCGGTTTTCTTTGTAGGGACCACATCTGGCTGAGGATTGGCACTGTGACTATGGTGTTGGCCTGATTGATTGTTACCCTGGCCACGCATGGACACATCCGCACTATGACTGCTATCAGTCGGGGACATGTCAGCAGACTGACGTACTGGTCGGAGGACCTCTCCAGAACGACGTGAAGATCTGTTGCGTGTGGAGACATCATCCTGAATACCAAAGAAATACGGGAGAAACACAGGAGAAATAGAATCATGAAAATGACTTTTCAGGGGTAGAGTTTAATGCGAAGCACGCCGTCAGAAATATCTTTTAGCCAATGGGTCAACATATGGCTGCAGTATGCCCGATGTAGGCTCATTGCTAACTGCATGTGTGCATCAACTTTACGAACTGTGTACCATATTTTCCAGAGTATAAGCCGCACAAAAATATGGGTACGGCTTATAATCTGGAATATTGCTCCAAGTCAGAGCACTGATGTTGACAGGACATGTACTAGTTGTTACTAGTTACATGTACTAGTTGTTTATCGACATGAGTTCACCTCCACTTTTGCAACCATGCCAATTACTTGTATATGATTGATTACCTGCTCTTCTCTTTCTTCAATAGGCACTCCTGGCAAGGCAACTTGATCTGTGGGAGAGAGAGATATACATGCAAGGCTGAGGTCAGAAATCAGGGAAAAGAGGTCAGGGGTCAGAGGTCAGGGGTCAGAGGTCAGGGGTCAGAGGTCAGGGTCAGAGGTCAGGTCAGAGGTTAGAGGTCGACAGGGTCAGTTCAAGAGGTCATAAAGGCAAACGTCAATCTTCACCATGCCGGTTGGGAAGTCAAAGTCAATTGTACCTGCGAACGTATCATACTGGCCAACCCTCCCGTTTTTCCCGGGAAAATCCCGGAAAATCAACACTCCTCCCGGGGTCCCGGGGATTTTAAGCAAACTCCCGGAAAAACCACAGTTTTGTCTGATACAGGATTTTCCTGAAAACTCCATGGTTTCTCCCCGAATGTCCCGGTTTTTTGAACTTTTTTCAAATGTATGTACGGTGCTCACTCGCACTTCAAACTGTGCACAGCACTTTCAAGACCTGGCCATTATAGGCCATTCACACGACGGCCAAACTTACTTTTATCGTACTGTTTCCAAGGATATTTACTCGGATACGATAAACTTGGACACCCGCGTGCAACTGATTTTTTATCTTGGCCGAGGCCCTTTTGCTCGCGATTATCTTTGCACGCCAGGAAAAGTGTCGGTTGTTGAAAGTGCGTACTGCAAATGCAGTGCTTGAACAAGGGAAAATTCAAAATTGAACATTTCCCGGCATTTTCAGGAGGTCACTATGGATACATTGACGGTTGCAAAGTTTGCCCAGCACCGTGTGAACTGGATCACGGTTTGCCAGTGTTATCTTGGTCACACACGTGCAAATGTTTACACGTCGTGTGAATGGCCTATTACATGCCTAGCCTGCAAGACCTGCACTGACAAAGTGACAGGCGGGCGTCGACTGATCAAACTGCACTACAGGGTCGAACTGATCTGCAGATCTGCAGAGTCGAACGTTTTTTGGGCGAGAAAAGCTCTTTTTCACTTGTTTTTGTGCCATCCAGGGATTTTGAGAGAAATCCAGGGATTCTGCATGTCTTGTCAAGGGATTGAGATTGTGGTGGTTGGTCAGTATGACGTATACTATTATCTTTGAAGAAGTATTAGAATAAATTGAGGAGGTATTTGTACTGTTGAACAGGAGGTCCAGGTGTACCAATCAGTGTGTGTGTAAACTCTATGATTGTATTCATTGCATACTAAGATGAAACTGTTTAGAACTGAAACATCTACCCAAGTTGCAAGAACCTGGGGCGTGTGGGTTTCAAGGTTGGAGCCTGCCTCCAACAGCGGTACCCAGATTCCATGTTCTATACATACCTGTGCTGGCTTGGCGGCTGGGCAGGCCATGATCTGATACAACCTGATAGAAAAGTAGAGAAGCAGAGTGACATACATGTTCCCCTCCATGACTGCCTTCATCACTCTGCTGAAGTCTTTGTCCAAGGGAACCATCTGTCCATTCAACACCTATTCACTCTTCTGCGAGGCGTGACAAGTACAATGTCACTCCAAACATGACAGTGATTAATGTATTTGCTTATTTTATTCAGGAATGAACTCGGATGGAGAGACAAGGATGAATTTATAGAAAAGAAAAAGGACCAAGGACCTACAAGTTACGCTATAATGTCCACTTATTTTATTCACTGTTCAATGGTAGAAATTTTAAATAGATGGGGTGTTAGCCAGCCATGGCAACCTAGGAGTAGACAAAGAAGAAAGATGATGGTATGTTTGCTTACCTCCATCTTGGATGGCGCTTCCTCCGAATTGGTCTGTGAATAAGGGCAAACAAGACAGTGGACTAATTACTTTTGACTGTAGCATAAGCAAATAGTTTACTTTCTTTGTCATCAACAAGTAGTCAGTAAGTTGGTGAGTTTCCTATGAGTGCTGTGCAGGCATGCAAAGGATACCGTAATGTTCCATAGTAAAGCTGGACTTATTCCTCTAGAAGCGGATGTCAGGGCTAGGCTTCTATTCACATCAGGTTTCTATTCAAACCAGGTATTTCTATGTGTGTCAACACTAAAGCCAGGCTTACGTACAGAAAGCGTATCTTGAAAATCAGTCTTGTATTCAAAACAGGCTTCTATACATGACAGGCTATTCGGGACATTACAATATTGGAAATCCGTCATTGGGTAGGCATCCATGGAAGTGCTGTAATTGGTCTGCTTTTGACATGAATGACATAGTGTAAAGTAAACTGGCTATGTTCTCTAAGAGCAGTGTGTGTGTGTGTGTGTGAGTGTGTGTGTGCGTGTGTGTGTGTGTGTGTGTGTGTGTGTGTGTGTGTGTGTGTGTGTGTCCCATATGGTGCAGTGGTATGTGCAGTCGATTTTCAATCGAGAGGTTGCAGGTTCAATTCCCGACGATTATGGTCGCACACGTCTTTCTTCTCTTTCTCGGACTCTTCCTGACTTTTCTTTCATTCTCCTGGGTGGTTACCAACAGCCAGTGTATGCCGGAGTATGTGGTGTGGTGTGTGTGTAGAAAAAAGAAAAAAATAGGGATTCACTGGCCAGAAAAAGTCACTTTAAACAGCTGTGTGGTGGATACCAGGCTAAAAATAGTGGCGGTCAATTCATCAGCCTTGCAAGCTGTTGAATGGTGTAATCCCAGCACAAGTTGCTATGTCTAACATAGCTGTTCGCTATCATCGCTTCCGCGATGGGCATGTCTGAGGTGAGGTCTGAGGTGTGTGTGTGTGTGTGTGTGTGTTTGTGTGTGTGTTTGTGTGTGTGTATGTGTGTGTTCCTCCCAACAGCCTTCGGACTCTGTCGATCCTACACCTCGCCTAGTGCTTCCACACCAACATTGTTGCCCATTCCACTGCCCGTCATGTAACCGGTGCTTTCGATCTGCTGCTGGATTTAAACGGCACAATTGCGAGCGTGGCAAGCGACCAACAGCGAGGGAGCGTCTTGAGTTCAAATTCCGCTGTGCGTGCGGCGAGAAATATCGCAGACAGCAGGATCTGCAGCGGCATGAGGCCGGATGTGCTGCCGCGACGCCGTGATGCTATCCCTTTGCTCCCTCCTCATGAGGGCGGCTTAGCCGTTTAACGGCAGCTGTTTGTCAAGATCAAGGTGTGTGTGTGTGTGTGTATGTGTGTGTGCACGTGTGAGGAGACTTACAACAACTGGTGCTGCCGGTTCTGCTGGTAGTAATAATAACTGCAACACAGAAACAAAGATGAAGAATACATGTTGTCAACTCGTGAGGTTGTCATGAATGAGTGGGAAAGTGGTGGTGAGGGTGGGAATGAGTGGAAGAGGAGTGGTGGGAGTAGTAGTATCGGAAGCCTGGAGGGGGAGGAGGAGGAGGAGGAGTAGGAGTAGGAGGAGGAGGAGGAGGAGGAGGAGAAGAGGGAGGAGGACAAGGGGGACAAGGAGGAGGAGGAGGGGGAGGAGGCGGAGGAGGAGGAGGAGATCGCAGTGGCAGAGAAAGAGTATAATGGCAAGGAGTGAGTGACCGCCACTAATAACACTAATTACACTAATAACCCTCATCTATACTACACAGCTTTAATAATATTGAAGTGGTTTTCTGGTTAGTTAATACACACGCTCACCTCTTCTTGATGTCTAATGGTGGCACACAGGGATAGTACAGACTTCAGCTGACCGTTTACAAGATCTGCACGCAAAAATGAAAATACAGCAACTATCTGATCAGCAGAGAGATCAAATGTCGCTACTTGAAGCAGCGGAATTACTTACTTGTCTTGCTTGGCACGAGTTGTATCGTTCTTCACATGAACACCCATAGAATCACATTAGTAATGTAGATAGACTGATAATAGGCACAGGGCCAATAGGTATGGAAAGAGTACCGGAATTAGTGCGATGCTGCAGTGCAACCTGCATGAACCATTTGAAATTGGTAACATAGGCATGCTAGTGTATCCTGGATTCCGGGATTATGTGCCGCACCAAACACAAGCCTTCGGAATGCAATCACCATTCTCCGAGTCTTCGTCTGGGAGGTGAAACGTCATACCTAATCACTACTTTTGGTTTGCACTAAGTTGTGCGAAAGTACCTTGAAAGGACATTTAAAAGAGTACAAGCCATCGCAGCGCAAATCAGATTTTGGCTCGACTTTTGGCAAAAAAAAGTAAGGTTTGTAAGGTACACAATGATGAGCATTGTTATGACAGCACAGCGGCAATCATGACTACCAACACAGTATTCCAGGGTCACGGCTTACCATCTGGTTTGATGCCGGTTGTGTCAATGCCCTTGTCCGTGATGAACTGCAGACAGGCCTTGAGATTCTCAGCACGTTGTAATCTCAGAATGGGTCTGGCATGAACTCCTGGAATAGGGGATCCACCTGCCATGCACGTACAATACAATCTCTTAGAAATGCATGTCCACATCCAATAGTTAGTAAGTTGGTATACATGTGCTAGTATTGATGGAGTGACACAACAATAGATAACATCAAACACATCCTCTTAACTTTTCCTTGTGCATTCCTACCAGAGGCCAGTACAATGCTGCATTGCAACACCGTAATTCCTTCACAATAGCCACATTGACAGGGAGTGTGAGAATGCCAGAAAACCAGAACGGAAATATGATCTTCAGTGACATATGTAGCCGGATATCAGACTGAGTGCGCTGCCAACTCGTCGGTGACATGTGATGCAGCTTCGTAGATCTACATTATGTCATTCGGTGTCTGTTATGGATTTACTCAGACAAGAGAGTGGTTAGGCTCGTACCAACACAACATCGCACAGAGCAGAATCACTAGTGAGGATACTCCATAGTACCAGTACAATGTACTTCGAAGTAATAGCTCTACTTATTTAGTAAATCTCTACTTAGCCTACTAGCCAGTACATTGTACTACATCGAGGTGTGACTGGTAATGTTGTCTATGTGGGCTTCGCTAAAATGTTCAATGTACAATGTAGGTCGACAACGAGACATTAAATTTACACGCGTATGTGTATCCTCTTGTTGTGGACATATCCAGCTCTCAGCGAGTAGTCAACATAAGGAGACAAAGACATGGATGCCTAGTCATGCAATGGCGGGGAGGCAGTACGATGTCATGCGGATATTTGACCACTCCCCTTTTCTGGCACCGTCCGCGTTCTGATAATGACCACGGAGCGTGACTTGCGGTCGAAACAAAAGCATGTTTCCATAAGTGCGGGCTGCTACGATAGACACACCGCTGTCCCAACACACATAACGTTAACACAGACTCAGTCATTTTAGTGATATCGCCCTTGCTAGTTACTTAGATCTACGGAGGCTGTGCTAGTCGCAGGCACAAACCTATTCAACTAAGGACAGTCTAATAGTTGGTAGTACGGGAAGGAAGTAAAATCATCCAATACTAGTAGTAGGTCTCAGACTTACTCAGGCCTTGGAGCACCGTGGGCAAAGTAATACCGTCTGCGAACGCTCTCCGCACGTCGATAACAGCACGCTTCTCGCTGTTGGCCTTCTTCAGAGTTCTGTTGATCCACGCCAAGGCTTCCTACAGCCGCGCACACAGCCACGTGAAAATGCACGGCAACAACAGCAAAGGCAACACACGCTGAGCGCTGAACGGGCCGAGTCATCGGTCCAGACTCCAGGTCCACGCGTACTCGAGTAGCAGCTACATGCAGTGAGCGCCAGATTAGGAAACTCTTCCGCAAACCGCTGGACTTGCCTGTGTTATTCTTATTATTGGTACGTTTTACGGTTACACATTCCAGAAGGCGAGGCACTTGCATCGCACTCGCAGTCAGTCACCTACCTAGTTCAGCGTTTATACGACTCCCTGGTTCGACCTAGCACATGCACAGAGCACCATGGTACACAGTCGACCACAGGCACACGTCCACGTCCCGTCCGCGGGCTGATTCTTGATGTTTTACTTTCACAGGTGGTCTGCTCCTAGATTCTGCTGCGCATCTACCTGAGCCTGAGCCTGAGGACAGACTGTCAGTAAGGTTGTGTGCAGTCGATGTGAATGCCTAGGTCCTGGGTAGTACTAGTACTGAGTAGATCTACGTACGAGGACTTGGTAGTCGGGTAATTGGCCAGAGGATCCAAGAAGTGATCTTTGACTTTTTGACCAGGAAACGGGTATTCGTTAGCGTTCAATGCATATCTGCCAAGTCGTGCCACAATGACAACCACTCAGAGTCACAAGTCACATTCCTCGGCTTGGTGGTGTACATGATGGTAGACCTATCTGAGTATCTCATATCTGCTATACTAGCTGCATGCAGAAAATCATCCTGCTTATTCACTCTCACGGTACGTACTTTTTAGCTTGTGATTGTGTCTGTGTTGGAGCACTTCACACCCAGGCATGCAGGCATATCTAAAACAGCATTCTTCAACCACTATTATGACTGTATTCACTTATTCGTCTACTCCACTCAAGGTTCAAGGATGTTCTGTCACCCAGCTGGTGTCGCTGGACGCACATACGTACCTGTACATGGCCATATGCTAGGCCTATCTCAGTATCTGACACATCACCGGCGATGGATGTCTGGAAGATTATTATTAGTGTAGTAAGCTAAATACTCTGCCTGTGGTGGTGTGGGCCTACAATGTATTGTACAAACCTGAACTTCGAAAACTGACCAACTCCTACTGTCCTAGACTCAGATCCAACCGCCAGTGCCGGCCTTTTAGTTGTGCAATCATGTACATGTATGTGTATGTCCCTAAACGGCCTAAACGCTGCGCTCCCTTGAACGCCCAGAAGAATATTGTTGTGCCAGGATTGCAATTAACTAGTTAGTTTGCAACCAGTGGTGACACCACAGGCACAGGTACGTGAAGCATCACGCAAGGACATCATTCTTCCATTCTCAATGCATGACCAGTCTCGAGTTGGTCTCATATCCATGCACTACATCATTACATGTAGTACTAGTAACCTGTTGTGTTGAGTGCAGGTAAGCATCTCTCTCTGTCTCTCTCTGTCTCTCTCTGGGCTGTTTCAAACACCATACATGGGCAGCATGGCATGGTCACGGAGTTGTAGTATACATCATTACATGTACATCATCACGGTATGGCGGAATGTCCCACAAGTCCATTTGTTCAACATAATTCTATTGATTGAGTATTCACATGCAATTGCAGCTCACCTGTAGTATGTTCGTAAGTAAGTTAGTTAGAGCCAACCCACACTATCTATAATAATACCATACCATAGATGGGACGAGTATAACACGACTCCCTGGTTCAAGTAGAGGACACCCGGTACCTGGCCGCAGCCATGCGCGCCACCGGTCAGCAGGGTCAACAGGGTCAGCAAGGTCATGCCAAGGTGTGACATTTCGCGCAGTCGCAAACGCACATACACATACTCACTCTCACTCTCAGTGTCTCAGTCAGTCAGTTATCAACACGATCTGCCGGATAGTCACCATGGCTACGTGTGTCTCTAACAACAACAAAAAACTAACTAACTGTACAGTGTACTTATATTTATAAGTACATCATTACATGTAATTACTAGTATAAGTACAGCAGTCATGGTTCAAGACTCCAGCGGCCCGGAGACCGAATCATTCACTATTGTTTCCACGGTTACGATTATCGTGATCAGTTTCGTGAGCTACTGTACATAATAGTCATGTAGACTGGCAATCTGGCAAAACGGGTAGCAAAGCTAAAGCAAAGACCACCAAGATCGACACAATCATATTTGTGGAGCATGGGATACAATGTCATGTACATGTAGATCTACCAGCTTACCTCACCTACATGTACATGTACACAACAGTGCTGGCAACTGAAATCCGACCCCCTTGCCGGGGCGGCACCCCGGCAAGGGGGTCGGATTTCAGTTGCCAGCACTGTACGTAGATCTACATGTACATGGCTAGCCAGCCGAGCTGCGGTGTGGACGTGTGGTGCAGACTGCAGTGCATGCAGTGCAGGCAGCAGATCTACCGGGCATGCAGGCATAAAAAGGACGTCGACTCTTACCTCGCACTCTACGCCGATGCGTCCTCTGGCCTTGGTCGGGAACGCCGAGGCAGGAGCAGATTGCCTTCTTCCGCCAATGCCAGTGCCGATGCCAATACTTGCACTGTCCATGGCATTAGAAACACGTGTTTCACCAGAAGATCTGATATCTGCAGCAGCAGTCAGACCGAACGAGTTGGTGGCTGGTACATAGGCACTAGTTTTGCGCAGCCCACGGGCATCGCTGAAACCCCGCGCTCCTAACAAAGGCGAGCTGCTGGACGGGAGGCTGCTCGGTATCGCGTTCAGTTTCTTGTCAAGCCCCTGCAAGCCAACGAAGAAAAGAAGACGGAAGCGCTGTCAGAAAGAAGTGAGCAAAAACAAACAACTAACTTACATGTACAAGTAACAGTTACATGACATTCCAATTATTTCCTGTCACCGAACGTCACACTTCCGTAACACCACCACAGTGGACGACAATCAAGTACTGGAATCAAACTGTTTGTGCCTCCTCCTTGCACAGCATCCCATATCCGTGAGATTCATGTGCCAGTTCGTATTGTGGAGAAGTCTCGATATGGCAGCACAGCTCACAGTACTATAAATAAATATCCATTTTGCACGCAGCAGTGCTGGTATTTAGATCGAATACGTTCCTGGATTAGTAGTGTGATCATGGCGTCTGGCTGTCGTCGGTGTAATGCTGCACTACAGTGCGTTTTTTTATAATAGACTCTGAAAACCTTGAGAACGTACTCAAGGGCACTTTTGAGAAAATGTCATGCGAGTTGCGTCACGAAAATCTGCGCGCGAAATTCGAAAAACCAGGTGTGACTCGTGGCATTTCGCCATCTTGTTCAGAGTGTCATTCGAGCTCCTTGCCTCGTGGCCGGAGGAATCATTTTTGTTGCTGACTGCTCTGTGGCCCTATTTTGCTTTTTCTCGAGTGTCTTTTCGTTCGTGGCAACTAACTTGTTCTCTCGACATGCCACATAATTATAACAAAACGCGAACGGGCCATGGTACATGGTGGTGTCTGTTTTACAATTTTTTGCGAAGACGAGGAGAACAATGGCTGGGCATCGAATTGGTCCCAAGTATTCCACTCGTCATGCTGCTGTTGCGTCAGCATTTCCACCATGAACAGATGTACCAGGGATGCTGACGGCGAAAATCAGCGTGCTGCGTTGGCCTTGTCTGTCTCCAGTGATGAAGGCAACGAGAGTGACAATCCCCGATGTGAGACTCGTGCCATGAAACCACTCAACCCTGACGGATTTGCTTTGGACTGTATAAGAAGTAATTTACGGATTCTATGCTGCGAAGGAGGACCCAACACTAGACAAAGTTCCTGCTCGCTGCAGAGAAACCATCGACGATTTTCCAGACATGAGCAAAACTAGCTCTTGGATAATGTTGCGTTCCATGGGATTCCAGTGTGGCAAGACCAGAGGTATCACACAAATAATGATGGAACAGCACAGGATTGAGTCATGGCGGCATCGCTACCTGTGAGACATACCTGGATGAGACGTGGGTCAATGCGCGTCACACAGTTACTAGGAGGTGGTACGACAATGGTGACAGGAGTGTATAGGCAAGCAACCAAATGAAGCACCATCAGGTAAAGGCAAGCGCGTTATTGTTCTGCATACTGGTGGACGGGACAGATTCGTGAAAAACTGCGCCGATGTGTTCGTGACTGGAGACCGACGAGGCCAACGCCAACGATGATATACGTCGTCGGCTGTCCGAGCACATCTGTTCACTGTGTAATACTGTCGTCACAAGTGCAACACAAAACACGGAATTATTGGGGCCGTTTCGTTCCTCGCTGGTCTTCTACTATTCGCAGATGTTGAACCAGACACAATTGTGACCTATTTGCATTGTGTGTGTGTGTGTTTGTGTGTTTGTAAAACTGCTCATGCTTCCTTTTTGTTAGTCTCTTTATGGGAGCTGTGTGAATTCCCTTTGTGATTTGTTGTGGTGTTTGAATTTTCACTGCATTCTTTCAGGGATCGAGGGAAGTTTCCTACACCCATGCTGGAATGTTTTGATTTATTGAGCTAATTGCAATACAGGATTTGAATTATTCTGTACAGTTTGCCACAATAAGTCGTGAAAAGCCACGACTCACTGGTTTCCTACAAAGGTTAGGAGAACTGCAGACAGCAGTGCACAACTGCACAGCCATGTGCATGTACATGTACATGTACATGCATGCGCTCTACAGTATACCGAAAAAGAAAAGAAAAAAAAGAATCAAGATGAACTGTACTGGATTCGAACCCATGCCGGGCACCATGCAAGTGATGAGCTTTCCTGGCTAAAACTTCCGTTTTAAAAATCAAAATCCACTGAAAACCATTTAAAACTGGATTTCCAGCCGAAACCCGGCCGAATATCTAACTTTGACAATTATTATTATTCCGACTCCCAAACTTAATTTTCTTCGATCCAAGACCCACACAAACGCAGCTGTGAAGAAAAAATTTCAAATTTGGAATGAGAACAAACTAAAAAATCAAAATCGACAATGGTCTGTTATAAAAAAACGCACTGTAGACTAGAACTTAGAAGTAGAAGAAGAAGACTGCATGCTGTACACCAGGTACACAGACTGATAGTGATAAATAATTGTAGATCTACAATGTACATTGGTACGGGGTGGTGTCGGAACTAACGTTACTTGACGGACGGCAGTACATGTATTATTAATTTATTATTACCAGTGCTATCAGTACTTATGAGCAATCTACAACGTCTTGTCGGGTTAGTGTCCTCGTAGATAAACTCTTGTCTGATTCCTCATTATTACTCGGATGGATATCAGGAAATAGAGTAAAGGAGAGCAGCGTATAGAACGGAGAGCGAGCCAGCGGCACTGATGTGGCACTTGAAGAGGGCACAATATTCAATAATGACATTATCATTATGCTCTCGGTGTAAACATGGTTATAAGATGGAGTTCCATGCCATGCTTATACATGACTGTACATACAGTATTAGATAATCCAATACTAGTACGTGTACGTGTACATGTAAGTGGAGTTTCCATGGTTTTAAAAACTGTGTCACCGTCGACCACTGGGTACTACTACTATCACGACCGTGTGGCAACTGTGTTGCTCTCTTCGCCTCCAAAGAGACAGATCAACACCATGCCATGGCTGGCTATCGCCCCCTCCCTCCATATTGGCCTATATAGGGCTTGAAAGTGATGACGTCAAAACGGCCAGGGAGTAGTAAGTTGTCATCAGATTTCTATTTTTGGATCCACTAAGGTGTGACTTTGCTATTGCCTAAGTATGTGGGTGCATAGCAACCCACTCATGTCGCATGCAGGTGTGACTTTTATTTCGCCACCAGTTGTAACCCCGCCCCCAGTAGCCAAATCAGTCAGTTTCACTGGTTACATCACCTTGCTGAGAGTAAGACGGCTTGAAATGTGCTTGGATCCATACAAAAGCTGGATCCAAGTGGATCCAATTTTTGAATTTTTGAAATTGTTGCTATGCTGTGACGTAGCACTTTCAAGCCCTATTCTCTGGCCACGGAAGGTGAAATAAATAAATATCACACTTTCTCGCCAGGCCAGGCGCTGCAGAGAATGCAGAAGTCGAGAGGATCTACTGAGGAGAGGGGTAGGGTGGTATGGCCATGGGTCAGCTGATAGGTGTAATGTTAGCAACAATACTACAATAGTCAGCTGTACTAGTATTTGCAACTGAAAAAGAAAGAAAAGTGCATTCGCTCCACGTCATGTACATGATATTGCTGTTATCATTCAGTTAACTTATGGCCCGGTGACTACTACCATGTGCTAGTAATTTACTGGCTTGACCTACTCAGTATCTTGTGTTTGAACGATACTAGAAGCCCAATATTGGCACTATTTCGTCAAAACGGCTGGTAATGAATGAATCAGGTTGATTAGCCAAAGTAGTTCCCAGGCTAGAGTTCTCTTTTCAGTGTTGCTCACACATCCTTCGGCAATTACCGCTACAGACAGGATGGGTCATATTGGTTCTGATACAGGGGACTCCCATAACGGATTCAGACACACATACCGGTATGAGTGGGGGAATCATGTGATATTTCATGATATCCACCCTGCCTGATCAGGTCAGTCATACTGGCACCAGTTAGGTATCACCGTATGCCACATGTACATGTACATGTACCTGTAGGTGCCAGAGGTTATTGGTGTTACCTCCATGTCCCAGGATACTAGTCTGTGCACAGCGCGCGATGTGTACATGTGGTTATGTGGTTATGCATGTATTTTGTTCTGGCACGTAGACACACAACAACACTGCAGACAATGTTCAATGAACTAAGCTTCATGTACACGACGATTGTGTAAAGCGGTTGATGCTAACGCAATGGTTCATACAACCTAATTATCCCGGACCCATGGACCAACAAGCACGCTGTACTGCATCAGCGAGTAGACTGAAATGGTCAATATGCCAATACTGTAAATTACTACACTGTACTATAGTATAGTTCTGACCTGTAATTCGCCTGAACCTGGATTAGAAGCATCTGCGTCTTCCAGAATACCACTGGAGCGCCTCGACGCAGAGAGGATAGTGTTCTTGGACAGCGCCGACATTCTTGGTCAGTTCAGATTGGCAACAGAATACCTACGAGCATACATGGAAATGCACGTACTCCGGACACAAATCTATGAAGGTAGCGATTCCCGCCGAACGCCCTCTTTAGTAGTTCTATCAATGAGCGAGACGACTAGTGAGTCGTCTGCAACTATAATCTTCAATGCGTTAGTTTTTCGTACACGGCCGTCTCAGCTGCATATCGGAGGACAACACGAAGAAGGAATACGGGACCTCCTGCGCGTTCTAGGCGGCCAACGGCTATTTGTCTGTGGAAGCTCCATGGAAAGATAACGTCAATTCATTCTGTCTGCATGTCAGTTCCACTGAAGAGCTTGGTGGTTATATTTATAAGATCCAATGAGGTATGAGCTACTACTATGTAGCTACTGACTGTATCTACCACCACTACGTGTAGTCTTTGAAGTCTGACTGTGTGATGGCGCGAGTCATTGTAACTGCATAATGAGAGTACATAATCCCATACCCGAAGACTTGTCAAGATACTGGGATATGTAGCCTCTTACATGTATCTCAGACTCTTGCAGTCTTGGCACAACACGCATTATTCTGGGAGGCTATGGACAGATATTTGACCACCCAGGTGCTGAGTGGTGACAAGTAAACCAGCTTTGACACCGTGTGAACCAACTTCAAATCCCCACAGCCATGTCACGTGAAAGGGGTTTATGGCTTCATGCAACAGGGTAACCATGGTAACAGTCAGTGAAATAATTATGGTGGTAAAGACCTGGACCCTGACTAAACTACATGTAATTGTTTTCTTGTTATCCAAATTCAAGTATTGTATCACGTCTTGGGGATCACCGGGATGACTAGTATGGGACGTTAACCTATGAGACAAGAGGCCGTGAAAATCACCTCCTTTCTATTTGGCCTCATCGAACGCCATCTGAAGAGTCAAACTGCAAAAAGTCCAAAGCATAATACAATCATGTGCAAGTAGTACTGAAAGGGAGCAGACATTATTTCAAGTACATGTACATGTAGGTCTGCGACGTTTCGTTGAATCATGGAATGCAGATACAATTACTTCGAAATAGAATTCTACACACCTGAAGAGACATTGCACACTAACTTTCATATTCCAATAATCTCCCCCCCCCCCAGCCGGAGTAAAGATGCTCGTTCGTTATCTGGGTTCGAGGATGATTCGTAAGAGATATCAAGACTCAAGAGTGCAATGAACGTTTTTTTTGATTTTTTTCCTCTATCATGCTTACATGTACATGTACTGTAACCCCCTAGGCCCTTGCTCTTGCTATTATCAGAGTATTGTAGTCCGACAGGGACGACAGGGAGTAGCAACATACCAGGTATTCGTCACTTAGGACTACTCCCTGATAAGGTTCCTCGGAGACAAAAATTGATACACGTCAAAAAAAAGTATGTGTGCATGTGCATGCTTTATAATAATGCTTGACTTTTCAATATCAAGCAATGGGTGTGGCAGGCCTGAGCAAGCTACAAAACGCCTATCCCTTCACACCTTTGACCAGTCTCTGTCCATTCTTGAGCATTTCTGGATCTTGGGCTTTATTTTGTGGTTTCTTAACACTTGCCGCCTTTCCTTTCCTTTCTTTCTCAAGTTGCTTCTTCCCGGCTTCTTATTATGATATTCGCCTTTATGTTATTGGGCCCAGTTCCGCTTTAACGGTGCGAAGTGAATTAAAGTAAACGTCAACTGACTAAGAAACAAAATAGTAATAAGACTTGGAAGAGGACAAACTTCAGTTCAGGCTCTTCGCCAGCAGCATTCAGAGTTTTGAAAGTTTCCCACGAGCAGCATTCAGAGTTTTGAAAGTTTCCCACGAGCAACCGTGATTAGTTTCGTGCCTTTCATGTCTTACTTTCATAGATACTAGCAAGAGTAACCAATGTACTCTTGATACTAGTAGAGGCAAAAAGAAAATGAATGCCTCTTATTTGAAACTCGGATGTTGAGCCATTAATAAATCTTTGATATTTATGACCCACCCAAGTTGGGTGGTGTGCTGTATATAGTATCCAGTTACAGTGATGGAGAGTTACTCTTAACTCGTATCCATATGTCCATTTCCTTTTCACAATGCCTCTTATTATTATTATTAGAACTTAGAAGTTGCGACTTCAGGACTATTATTATTAGAAAAGAAAAAGGACATATGTCCACCGCGTTATGTCCAACAGTTGAAAGTCCTTGAGGCAGTTTGTACATGTATACGGATTCATAAGCCTGTTTTGTGTAAGCAGAAAGAGCACGTTGTTGCACTGAAGTTGTATTCGTAGGTTGACACTTCGTTCAGTGCCTTCTCGCCTTTGGTTATGTAATCTTGTTACCTTTTTTGCATTTCCTCTAGTGGTTTTATTGCACTTGTATCTTGATGTTATTTCTAACACCTTTCTATTTACAGTACATTATGTTATTATTATTTGAAACTCGGATGTTGAGCCATAAATATATGTAGAAAGGAAAAGGACATAAGGATACGAGTTAAGAGTAACTCTCCATCACTGTAACTGGATACTATAATTATACAGTCAGAAAGTGCAATAACTAGGCACACAACTGACAAGAGTACTGAGACATTCGACGTCACCTGACACCTAGCTTCAACACATCTCCGTAGCGCTAACCGACAGTAACAATCGACATTCTTTGTTCCGTTGGGACTGTAGCTTTTGCTCGTTTTCGTTGCGCTTGCCTTCCTCTCTTTGGTCTTTCCATAACCTTGAACCTTCCAAGTAACTAGTTGGAAGGCTGTCGGTTAGCGCTACGGAGATGTGTTGAAGCTAGGTGTCAGGACGTCGAATGTCTCAGTACTCTTGTCAGGTGTGTGCCTCAGAGCTGAGTTATTGCACTTTCTGACTGTATATTAGTATCCAGTTACAGTGATGGAGAGTTACTCTTAACTCGTATCCTTATGTCCTTTCCTTTCTACAGTTATTATTATTATTATTATTTAAATTTTGAATAGGGCAACCCCCACAGGCCTAAGGCCTTTTTACAGGGTACCCTATGTGGTCACGTACAGATTTGCGGACTAGTGAAAGCGAGGAGCAAGAGCGAATGTCAGCTGGAAGAGCGGTATTATATTTTACTTCGAGTGTTCATGTTAGCACCTACATGTATATCATGGTACAAACAAGGCCGGTCCTGGAAGCTCGAGGTAGAGTGCTCAATGTACGAATGTACAGAGCAATACACACACAACAGAGGCGAAAGGCTGTGTTAGCTGTAACTTAAAGTTTCACGCATCGAGCGATCATCAGACAGCAGCATTCACTATCGAATTCTCTACGAGCAGGCCTAGATATTTGATGCTAGTGTGGAAGTTAGTGCATATGTGCGAAGTGAAGACGTGGCATTGGGACAATGGTATTGAGTTGTTTTGTGAGAGTTAACGGATAAAGGTGAGAATAGAGGCGATAACAGGGCAGTAAGCGGTGTCCCCTATGCCTTGCTGAGAAACTGGAGATCCTGGAAGCAGACAAAACGGTCAACATCAACAAAAGGTCGGAGTTGGTGTCGAAATGCAGACACGAGAACAAGTATTACTTGTCCAGGTTCTCCGGGCCATCAGTTACGTGAGTTTTTCGACATGGCGCAACCTGCACCAGGTTTTGCGCCATGGTGCTTTCTCTCTCCCTCTTCACTCTTGCTGTGGTCTTGCGCTACCGTCGCTATCGCCTTTAATGACTCGGTAACACTGCCCTGTTGTGTGTGTATATCATGGTATATAGTAGCAGTACTTGTGGCAATTGTCGTTGTTTCCTTGATTATTAACCCTTTACCGGCAAGTTACTTTTGTATATGAAATCCATAACATTTAGAACGATACCAATAACTCACAACGAGGCAACATTTTGTATGTGCAAGTTATTTTTTCTTGGAAGTCTAGTACTACTTCTTGACCATGGAAAAATTTATTTTCTCATACCACACACATACGCTGCTAAATTGGCACCTCTACGTCTAAACACGGAAATAATTGTACACATGCAAATCGTCAGAGTTCCGACATTGACATGATACTACCAAAACAAGTCGACTTCGGAGCGGAAACAAACGCCATAGCCATCACAAACTTCAGTGGCCATGCCTCGCTCGCAAATGAGAGCAGCATCGCCCCAGAATCGCTGTCGGAAAGCTCCGTAAGGTCGCACGCACGCCGCGCTGCGCTGCCGTCACTCAAGTACGTAGAAAGTCGATGGGCTAAAATTCCGTCTCTGGGAGACTGTCGACACGGGGATCGCTCTCCATGGCTTCCCCACCATAAGCACCATCAGATTCTTCCAGGTTCATCACGACGACATCGTCTTCAGCGGCTGGCGCTCCCCATATTTGCGTGCGAATTTGCTTGGCGTGCGCACCGCTCCGTAATTTGAAATTCGCTTGCATCGGCGGCTGGAACGAAGTATTTTTCTATCTGTCGTCGGTCCCAGAGCGAATGACTGCTAGGTCGTCGTCGGAGAAGTCATCCGAGGACGAAAGGAACTCACTGCGCAAGAGAAATGCACCTGACGATGTTTTGACGGAGGCGGGCGGCATTGTCGGCGCGCGTGTATTTCCGTAAGTTTTCGATCGCGCAGTTCTCAATGAAATCAAATGGGACACGCGTGGATCTCTTCAGCTACCGATAGGATCATACCTAGGCTGTATGAGGGCCACGGGAAATCCCCCACGTGGGCTGATGCTTCCCGTCATGCCAGGCATAGTTTTGTATGCCTGTCGAATGCACTTTGTGAAGCATCAGATCGAGAAGTTAGCTGAAATCGTAGCTGTTGCAGTATGTCGGCGCTATGTAGCTTGCATTTTTTACGGAGAGTCGATCGCCACGCGAATGTTTCTCTCCTCACCGAGAGCTATCTGGCCTCCAAACTCCGTCAGGGTCTGCCTAAGGTACCGAAGGTCCTTTGACTAGCTGCTGGCAGGACTCCATCAAATCCTTTAGCTTCAGCTCGGCGAGCAAAAGTCTCTCTCTCCTCCGCCGGCGCCATGAGCTGACACACACAAACTGAATACAAAACGATACACTTCACACGTGCTGGCTTGCACGCGTGCCCCCTTTCACGAACCCAGACAATCTTTTCGGGATTGGTCTATTCCAGCGCTAGCGGTATTATATTTTACTTCGAGTGTTCATGGTGTTAGCACCTACATGTATATCATGGTACAAACAAGGCCGGTCCTGGAAGCTCGAGGTAGAGTGCTCAATGTACGAATGTACAGAGCAATACACACACAACAGAGGCGAAAGGCTGTGTTAGCTGTAACTTAAAGTTTCACGCATCGAGCGATCATCAGACAGCAGCATTCACTATCGAATTCTCTACGAGCAGGCCTAGATATTTGATGCTAGTGTGGAAGTTAGTGCATATGTGCGAAGTGAAGACGTGGCATTGGGACAATGGTATTGAGTTGTTTTGTGAGAGTTAACGGATAAAGGTGAGAATAGAGGCGATAACAGGGCAGTAAGCGGTGTCCCCTATGCCTTGCTGAGAAACTGGAGATCCTGGAAGCAGACAAAACGGTCAACATCAACAAAAGGTCGGAGTTGGTGTCGAAATGCAGACACGAGAACAAGTATTACTTGTCCAGGTTCTCCGGGCCATCAGTTACGTGAGTTTTTCGACATGGCGCAACCTGCACCAGGTTTTGCGCCATGGTGCTTTCTCTCTCCCTCTTCACTCTTGCTGTGGTCTTGCGCTACCGTCGCTATCGCCTTTAATGACTCGGTAACACTGCCCTGTTGTGTGTGTATATCATGGTATATAGTAGCAGTACTTGTGGCAATTGTCGTTGTTTCCTTGATTATTAACCCTTTACCGGCAAGTTACTTTTGTATATGAAATCCATAACATTTAGAACGATACCAATAACTCACAACGAGGCAACATTTTGTATGTGCAAGTTATTTTTTCTTGGAAGTCTAGTACTACTTCTTGACCATGGAAAAATTTATTTTCTCATACCACACACATACGCTGCTAAATTGGCACCTCTACGTCTAAACACGGAAATAATTGTACACATGCAAATCGTCAGAGTTCCGACATTGACATGATACTACCAAAACAAGTCGACTTCGGAGCGGAAACAAACGCCATAGCCATCACAAACTTCAGTGGCCATGCCTCGCTCGCAAATGAGAGCAGCATCGCCCCAGAATCGCTGTCGGAAAGCTCCGTAAGGTCGCACGCACGCCGCGCTGCGCTGCCGTCACTCAAGTACGTAGAAAGTCGATGGGCTAAAATTCCGTCTCTGGGAGACTGTCGACACGGGGATCGCTCTCCATGGCTTCCCCACCATAAGCACCATCAGATTCTTCCAGGTTCATCACGACGACATCGTCTTCAGCGGCTGGCGCTCCCCATATTTGCGTGCGAATTTGCTTGGCGTGCGCACCGCTCCGTAATTTGAAATTCGCTTGCATCGGCGGCTGGAACGAAGTATTTTTCTATCTGTCGTCGGTCCCAGAGCGAATGACTGCTAGGTCGTCGTCGGAGAAGTCATCCGAGGACGAAAGGAACTCACTGCGCAAGAGAAATGCACCTGACGATGTTTTGACGGAGGCGGGCGGCATTGTCGGCGCGCGTGTATTTCCGTAAGTTTTCGATCGCGCAGTTCTCAATGAAATCAAATGGGACACGCGTGGATCTCTTCAACTACCGATAGGATCATACCTAGGCTGTATGAGGGCCACGGGAAATCCCCCACGTGGGCTGATGCTTCCCGTCATGCCAGGCATAGTTTTGTATGCCTGTCGAATGCGTCAACGTTGACGCATTCAAGTATGGGGCTGCCGGTAATTCTTCACCTGTAGTCTTCCCTGGGCCCCATCGAGGTTCCTGTTGTTTTTTCTTCCATTGTGTCAGTGGGTTTCAGGGCATGTTTTCAAAAGCATCGCTGGTGTGAGCAAGAAATTGACTTCACAGCTCGATTTCTCGAGATCCTGAACAATTTTGCTCGACGAAAAAATGATCAAGGAGAACGGAGCCAAGCGTCTCGATGGCTGTGTAACACCAGGGACCAAAACCTACTGTAAGCGCGTTTTGGAGAGAGAGATTGAAGTGGGTGCACAGACTCTGGTAAGTGGATCCACTTCTAATTCTCAAGTGGCGAAATATATTGCTACGCTGAAAACATTGCAGTCTTGAGTGAGTGGTAAATCGTTGGTGAGCTACTGCTCAGTGACTTGGGCTATTTACGAAAGCTGTGACCTGTCAGCTGCCAACGTCGCGAGCAGTAAGTCATCACCTGCGTCCACTTGAATAAAATGCAGCACTGAAAATTGAGTATGTTGTTTTGCAGTACTATTCTCTATTGTCAGAGTGTGAAGTATTTTGTAAATGTTGTGTTGTACAGCACCAGTGATTTGAAAATATTCCTACACTACTCGCACCAGTTCTATTATGATGAATGCATGCACCTGTACCTATAAGCACTATGTGCATGCACATACGCAGGCACGCGTGTGAGCCAGCATGTTGTGTGTGTGTGTGTGTGCGCGCGCGCGCGCGCAGTGCATGTTGTGTGTGTGCGCGCGCGCGCACGTGTGCACAAGTGCATGGACAGCAGAATATGGTAACTAAGCTCAAGAGCATGCATTTTGCATGTTGGTGTATGCTATTGCGGGTGCGCGTATATGACGTACATGTATTTGTGTGTGCAAGGGGTACTTGTTTGTGAGCATGTGCATGGAAGCGTACATGTATGTATCAATGTGTGCAATGCGCATGCGCCCACATACACTTGTGGTTGTTCCATGTTATTGGGAATAGTGTTATGATTATACCTAATGGGTGCTACAATTACTAGCAGTCGTTCATTGCCAATATTGAGTTGAACCTGCATCTACATTGTACATGTACTACAAACATGAAACTGCCCCCCCCCCCCAGAATTATAATAATTGTTATCCTCCTCAAGCTCTTTGCCTGTTGCTTTATGAGAAATACTAGGAGTGAAATATTGCAAGAGTTGTGATACAAAGCTGGTCTGAACTGCGCTCAGGGTCAGTAGGCCTCGGCCTGGATCATGAATAACGTTGTGCATGGATCATGCCGATATCCAGATCAAGGGCTAAAAAGCCCAGGAACCATGGCCTCATCTAGTCTCCATGTATACTATAACAATCTGGGGGACCATTCAATGCTTTTGACACAAAAAATTGGAGTAATACCACAAGGAATGCATAGAATGATCACCTTACCTGAAAAATAGCAATTCCAAGAATGGTAGAAAATCGGCCAATTTTCTGTCCTATTTTTATTTGTGGAGGTCTAAAATGCACGGTAACCCCCCTAAAATTATATATTTCTAGTTTCTATGAAGTATGAGGATCCCAAAAATAAAATAAAAAGGGCATGTCCATGAAGAAAATATGAAGCTGTGCACCCAATTGTACTTTGCGGACGGGCATTTCTGCGAAGTTCATTTTTGTACCAAAATTATTATTTTTCTGAGTAGTCAATGCTGATTGCCAGATTTTCTTGCTCAAATGCTTCACTGTGATGTGTGCAAGGACTTGCAATCACAAAGAGAAGCCAGACTACTGGTAAATCTGAAATATGACCCCAAAACAAGCAAATTTAGGCCGAAATCGATAAATACACCCACCCCTAGAAATACACCTCAAACAGCCTTATCTCCGCGGAAACACCCCCTGAATTTTTTTGTGGAGTAACATGGGATGATATAGAGCACCCTCATCCACAAAAAGAAGAGGGTTTATGAAGAAAAAAATCACCCCCAAAGGGTTGGAGCCTCCTTAAAATGTTCTTTGGATTATTATTTCTTTTCTGCAATACTTTGCTGTGCACATTTTGCTATTCCACTTTCATGTTCTTTCCAATAAAGGGTTTTGACTCTTGAGTAGTAGATCTACGCGCAAAATGAGCTGGTGCCGCGCCTGGTGGATGGAGGAGAAGATAAGAGAACTACAATGTTGTAATTAATATTAAATATTAAATAAAATTTTTATTTAGTTACTTGAAGAAGCGTCGGCTTTGCTGCACCGTGCCTTCGCCCATGGGCCATAGCTAGCTAGCTGCACACCGCGAATCGCGCCGCACTAATTGTCTTGCGCTTGCACGATTATGACTTTTTTTATGACATCGTGCATACTTTTTTGAACGCAAACATTTGGCGCGAAACACGAAGAAAGTGGCACGGGCACACGTGAGTTTCGAAGTTAGTTCAAGTGACTGAGAGTGAGACAGTACTCGTTGTGACAAAATAAAATAGCACTGGTTCAATGATGAGTTTGTCGATGTCAGTTCTTGTCGTGTCCACACCAGAGAGTAGCTGTTAGCAAGCATAGCATACTAGTATTGGGGCGTCTGATCGGTTTCCGTGAAAGAAAATGTTGCAGCCTGATGTGGTAAATGCTTGTCTGAGCGATTTACACCCCAAGTTGTTTTCTTGAGAATTTTGAATTGTTCTGTCGGTTTATGTATTCTGTGGGCAACGGCACAAAGACAACAGCTTCGTTTGGAGAAGAGGAGCAGCTGGATGAGGACGAAGAGCGTGAGAAGCAAGCGGAGGTAGGTATTCAGTGTAAAAGTCGTGCCCTTACATCAGCACTCAGCATCATTTATTTCGTCATGCATAAGTCATAGAGTCAGTACATGCATGAACATGGGTACATGATTCCGCAATCCGCATCCATGCTACAAGCAAGCAGTACAGTCATGCTCATATTCCCATGGCGAAGTTGTTAGGTCATCATGATTTATCGGATACGCCGTCACACCATAGGTTCATTGACATATCACTGTATCACTAATAGGAATTTCGCATGCAATTTCGCCTTTTGTAAAAACAAGCATTCTATGTGCTACAGCTTTTTTTTTATTGATTGGTAAAAATCCGTAAAATTCTTTAAAAATAAATAGGCACGTGAACCAGTGAGATTGCGCGTGATGCAGCGCAGACGCGGGTCACTGTGACCCCAACGAAAACCGTTGCAGTGTGAGTCTCTTTCTCCGGTAGTTTCACAGGGTACAGCTAGAGCTGGGTGATCCACTGGGCTACCGACCTGGTCAGCAGAGGTTTGTCGGATACAAAGCAACTTGGTTTAGATTAATAATTTAATACTAAAACTGTGAAACTCAGAGTTACAGCAGGAACTCTTTTGATTCTTCTCAAGTGTGTGTAATTTATGTGCGCATTCAGCTAATCATGACTTGTTCTCTTCTCAACCGAAATTAACCCTCGAAACTCTGACACTGTGGTGCAGAGGCTCAGCCCCTCCCTGGAAGTATGTGGGCCCAAATTTGATTGTTGAACCACAGTCTTAGAGGAGTGTTTTGTACTTGGTCGGAATGGCATGTGGATGATGCTGTTGATTGTTTGTGCACTGCCCTAAAGCTCCAGTCATTTCTCAACGCTGCATCGGAGGAGGCTGGTAACCTCTGGGATGCATCTTTCTCCACTCTTGGCGACGATGGACAAGAGCGAGACTTTGATTTTGAGCGTGAACAAGGTTAGAATGATCAATGGTGGCATGTGTACGAGTACTGTACTAGATATGTCATCAATGCACCCTCCCAATGCAGGTTCCACTTGAAGCAGAGAACAGTTCTTTAAATTTCTTTTGGATCCGATCTCCCAGTGATGTCAGCTACGGATGGAACCACTAATAAATAAGCTCCCAAGAGTGTGAAACTCTGCATATGGGGTCTCCGACAGCGACAACTCACATCACGTGTTCCAAGTATGATTTGTGTTTTGTACTTCAAGTATGTACAACGAAGGCTAGTGTGCGCGCAGTCCGAATATATGCATGACCATGCTGATGACTCGCATATGCTGAATGAGTTTCTGTCAAGGAGTGCTTCTTTTTACTACCCCATTGCTCGCTAGAAACGGGCTGAGAACGTATGACGGGAACACTATACCACGTGATGTGAGTTTCAGCCGCCAGTGGACTCCATAGAAAGGGTACCCAGAGTTGCCTGCTCTTGGGACCTTGTGTACTCTTGCTGGAACCCTATTTAAATTTTGGAAGGATAACTTCTTTATTAAAAATTGATGTCAACTTAACCCTTTATGTACTGAAAAAAATGTACACAGACTGAATTTGATCTCGACTCACCTCAAATTCTATAATAATCTGGGTCATAACTTTAGTCTCCTTTTGACGATTTTTTCAATCTTGGGCTTCCTGGAAAGCTCGTCGCAAGAGGAACACATTGAGCCCACGCTTGCCACCACGAAGGTCAAAACGCCAGCGCTACAGCCCAGCGTCTTAGCTGCAACGCCAATATTCCGACAGAAGTCGTCTTGCATCAGCCATTTCGCTCTCCTTGCTCGTAACAACTAACTGTTACTTCAAAAAAATTCACAAACTGCCATGAGTCCGTTTACCATTTTGAACGTGTTTCTACGTCACTGCATGCCCAGAATGATGGGGAAATCCCTCATTCAAATTCGCGCGAGCGGCTATTGAGCGACATTTGCCGCGATTCGACTTTCGAGCTTCGTAACTCTGGAACCACACATCAGAGCGCTTCAGCGATTGTTTCAATGGACAGCTGGGAGTTTTCTCTTTGACCTACATATTTTAGTTTTCGGATATAACCCAGGAACGACTGAGTTACGATCGATTGAAATTTTGAAAAGTTTCGATCCCAGGGGATCGAAAGTTGTACAGTCCGTACACAAAGGGTTAAGTTGTACCAGGACGGCACTGATATAGAAGTTGCACACTGGGGCTTACGTCCTCTTGAACAATCACAATGATATGTTTCGGAAGAGAAGCCCACTACCTATCTGCAGACATTATACTCCGCTATCCTCATACGGTTGTCTATATGTGTGATCCACTGTTCTTATCTGTTACTCTCTAGAAGCCATCATGGCTGAAGTGGGACAACCGTCTGCGTTTGGCGAGCAATATCTCTCCCGTCACCAACAGCACCACCAACATCGATCAGTGGTGCCAGCACCGACTGCTGTTGCTGCTCCCAGTGCTGCACGTACTGCGGGTAATGGACAACCGTCCGATGCTAACCATATTGCAGGCAATCATCGACTGGCTGTATCGCCTCCAACACTGGCAGGTGTACGGCATCCAGGTCATGTAGAGCCACTTGCAGCTCGTCAACAACAGCAGCAGCAGCAGCCACTGCGTCTCCATCACCAGCAACACCATGCAGCCACACAGCGACCACAGCAGCACCCGCCACCGCAGCACCAGCAGCAACAGCAACAGAACCATGATAAGCTACAGAGGTCATCATCATCTCACTCCAGTTTGGGCCGCTCGCCTCCACATACTCACTCCTTGCCGGGAGCCCCGGTGGATGCACCTGGTGTATATGCAAACCTTGCTGACATTCATGCAAGTAGTCAACACCACCAGCCGCAGGCACAAGCACATCACCAGCAGATGGTTCATCCATCTTCCAATGGTCAACACCATCCTGCATGGAATGACCTTGCTACATCATCTTCAGATTACCAGCTGTCACAGCTTTCCAATCAACTAGCTCAGTGCCAGCAAGAGAATCAGCAACTACAGCAAAAGGTGAGTTTGTGCGGTACCCATTGCAACACACACACGTTCTAGTTCGAACAAAAGAGGGAAACATCTCGTGGAACCACCCCTCATTCCCCATTTGTGTGCTTCAAAGAAAAGAGCATAAGGTACTGTCGTGGACATGGAAATCCGGTCGCACGTCTAGCGGCCCCCATGGTGCTGGCCATGCAGTCGTGAGTACGCATACCGTGCAAACATTCATTTACGCGTTGCAGCGCGCTGGTCGCATCGGATCAACAGGTACACCGCCATTCTGTACGCACTGAGGGCGCCGGGCCTGGTCATTCGACTGGATTTCCATGTCCACGACAGTACAAGGAAAATCTCCGACTCGTTCTTCGACTCATTCTCAGACTGTATTGATTTCCCCTCTGTGACCTAACCAGCACTGCTCAGAGAAATGAGGCCGAACCTGGTGCTAATGAACATACAAGTTTTGCAAGCCAGAATACTGAAGCGTGCGCGTGTGTGTGTGTGTGTGTGTGTGTGTGCAGTACTGTCTGGGTTGCATGTTGCCATGGTTACCCACTGCTACAGATGAGTACATTGCCAGAGCATGGACGCATGAATCTGCATAGTACGTACACTATTCATTTCCCATATTTTGTATGTCTGTCACTGTATGTAGCTTCTCACAGTTCAGCAAGACTCGGAGAAGCAACAGCGAATTAGCCACCACTATCTGGAACTGCAGAAACAGGAAACTGCCAGTACGCAGTCACAACTCGATCACATTCGAAGCCGAACTTCCGAATTGGAATCAGAGAACAGGACACTGAGGCAGCAACTATCGGATTCTGCTACAGCTTCTGAAAGGGCCATGCAAGAAAAGGCAGACGTACGTAGTTTCTTTTAATAATCAGATCCCCTGAGAACATACTCTGATTAGATGGTGATGTACTGTATGGTTTGGGGAACCCCGACACCCCCCCCCCCCCACCCCTAAAAAATGAGACTCGAACCCACATGTACACATTGCATTTTTACCATAATACCCCATTTTTGGTGCAGGGCGCCCCTGGCACAGAACCCGCTCGTTACCTCCTACCATTTACGACTGTGTCTGCGGTGCAGTTTTTGATTCTGGTTGGCCTACATGCCTCTGTTCAATCTTGCTTTTTTCGTTTACGTCCAGGCCGTGGAGCAAGTTCAATCACTGAAATCGAACATCTCCGCGTTACAAGTTGAACTGCACCAGGTTTCCTCATCGCAAAGTTTGACTCGACTCAAAGAGGAACATGAGAAGCATGTTGAACAACTCCGAGAGCAGCAGAAAACTGACTTGTCCTATCAGCGGCAACTGGTAGACTCGATTAACACCAAGCTTGTAAAGGAGGTGAGAACATCCTTCATGCCTACAGTAGCCAGATTAGAATGTAGCCACTTGCTGGCTGCCCTGTTGTTTGTGGCAGCTCAGTTTCTTTTGAAACAACTTTCTTGTAACGGGCCGTCCGGGGTTACCGATTGTTTTTACAAAACGAAAAGTTTTAGTATTTTTCAGCCCCCACCCACCCACCCATCTTTTCTGCAGGTAAAACGAATTCCAATAAAATATTGATGTCAATTTTCGACACCCAGAAGTAACTGGACATTCTCCATCTACATTCAATAATTATTTTCAAAACGAAACTCCATCAAACCCACCCACCCCCAAACGAAAACATTTCGTTTTGAAAATATTATTGGTAACCTTGGACGGCCCCTAAGAGGGCTATGTTTTGACTTGTATGTGGACTCAGCCGAGACTGGACATCACATGATTTAGAGAATGAAGAGCTTCTTTGTAGAAATGTTGCACGTACATGTAATTGCACTGTACCATTCTTCCTAAATCCCCCCCCCCCCCCCTCACTCTGTGTGTTGTTGTTCTAATCAATGCTGATAGCAAGGATCGGTGCATCGTCTGGAGGCAGAGGTTGCTGTTCTGAACAGTGAAATTCAGCAACTGCGCCTGGAACGTGACCGAGCGCTGCGCTCAGCTTCAGATCAATCCGAGAGAACTGGTATGTGACTTTGCTCGTGCGTCTGTGTTGTGTACTGACCACAGATTATTAAAGTAACAGTCATACCTACAGCTATGCTTCCATTTCTAACGCTCTGTAATATGTAGCAAGTTGGAGGTTTGTCTTGATTAGATCGGCTGGTGTTTGGGGTGTCCTGAGACACGGAGTTGGTACCCAGGCACTTCTCTCGGCGGGTAACTTGATATACCAGGGTAATTTCTTGTACCATGTCTGCCTTGACGCTGCCCTGCTTTGCTTTGTTTTGATGTAGGTCATGCTGCACTTAGTCAGGAAGCTGCTGATGCGCGTACCGCATGCAGACTTGCTGAGCGTCATTGTCACGAGTTCAAGGTCAGTTCAGACAATGCAGTGCACTGTTGGTTATAATGTAACTATGTTGTTGTTAAATAGTGGTAGCGAATTCGGCTCCAGCTTCGGCTTCGACTGCGGCTCCAGTGTGGGAGCAGCAAACCCTTTCCTATGTGTTGTTATTGTGTCTAGAATCAGTGTCATTTTGGCTCCCTTCGTTTTAGCACCTCTCATTGTCATGGTGTAATTTTATTACCTGGTTGAATCATGTCTGTATTCAATGCTAACTCTCTATCTACCCACTCGCCTATATTGTATCGGTGTGTGCCTCCCGATCATGAATGAAACACTGAACAAACTGGAATAGCTTATCACAGACGTGAGCCAGGTATCACATTGCTGGTTATATACACTCACACTGATTCCTGATATCTCTCTCTTCACCCTCTCTCTCTTCACCCTCTCTCTCTCTCTCTCTCTCTCTCTCTCTCTCTCTCTCTCTCTCTCTCTCTCTCTCTCTCTCTCTCTCTCTCTCTCTCTCTTCACCCCCCCCCCTCTCTCTCTCTCTCTCTCTCTCTCTCTCTCTCTCTCTCTCTCTCTCTCTCTCTCTCTCTCTCTCTCTCTCTCTCTCTCTCTCTCTCTCTCTCTCTCTCTTTTCGTTGTTGCAGGCTGAACTTGAGGCAGTGCGTGAGCAATTGCGTAGTCTTCCTTGCTGGCAGTCTGATGATGAGGACGGTGCAGGCGTGACAGGAATGAATGGAGTAGTCGGATCACTAATGGTTACACCTGGTATTCTGCAGCATTCCACGCCCATGGCCACTAGTATTGACAGGTAGGTAGTGCTTGTGTGTGTGTGTGTGTGCGCGCGCTTGCGTGCATGTGTGTGTGTGTGTGTGTGCGCGCGCGCTTGCGTGCATGTGTGTGTGTGTGTGTGTGTTTAAGGCCGCACCAGGCTCTCAACTGGTTTCGTCTCTTCGTGTGGCAGGATGTGTTTTTGCATCTATTTGTGTCTATGGGTTTGTGCACTTGAGATAAATGCCACTGACCCACTGCTAGGCAGCATGTACTGTTTCTTACTTGGAAGTATTTACGCGTTCATGTGTTCTGCTACTTCTTTCTCTAGCCGACCACAAGGCTCATGTCGTGACCTGATTGCACTGCTCTCACTGAAGATGAAACGGCTTATGAACAACATGTCTACACAATCTAAATCCAGTGCACCTGTAAGTGAGAGAGATGTGTGTTCTAATCTCTTCAGGGTTCTAGCCAAAGGGGGGTAGGGGGGCGCAGCGCCCCCCTACTCTGTTTGCGCGCCCCCCTGTGAAAAATTGCCGCCCCCCTACTCATTTTCCGATTTTCGTGTTTTTCATGCATAGAGGGTTCCTAAAGGCATATTTGTCTGGGGTGAAGTCAGGGATTCGCCCCATATACGTTGCATTTGGCGTGGCAAGACAATATTGGAAAGTGGAAAAATGAGATATAGGGTAACTGTTTCCCATGCCCACCCCCCCCTACTATTTTGACCTGGCTAGAACCCTGCTCTTTTTGTTATGCATACCTGTGCGTAGCTTTATCTCCTTTACTCTGCTGCAGTGATGGCTGTTAAATGGTATCTTTGACAGTGTACATGACGTGTACTAGTTATTAGTAGCCACTTGTTATTTTCATGCTTTGTGTGCATGTGCAGGTTACAACCCTGGATACAGCTAGACTGGATCAGAGTAAGTCGAGGAATTGTTGGTGTGTGTGTGTGTGTGCGTGCGTGTGGCCTGTTGCCTAGCTTTCTGACTTACTTGTCTTCTATATTCCTGACTTGATGTTCTGTCTATTCCAGTGCCTCTATGTATAATTATCTGTCTGAATCTCTTTTCTGACTTGTGTATCTTCTTCCAGAAATGCACGAAATATCTGATCTCCGCCATCAGCTGAGTCAAGTGGAAGGCGATCGGGACAAGTTGCTTGCGAAGAACAACAAGTTAGAGACGGACCACTCGAATAGCTTGATTGTGGAAGCGGAGCTGAAATCCAAGATTGAGGCGCTGCAACAAGACCTCAGAATGGTACGATAGGTAGTACATGTACTTGGAATGGAATGTATGTGCGCCTGGTAGATTACCCACCCTGTCTTTTGCTCACACAGCCAATTGCGTGAAACCATGAAGTAAGAACCCAAGGAAAAAGACAACCCAAATTTGGCAATAAATGGAACACGCAATTGACGTGTACGATTGAAAATATAAAGCTGGACAAGAAGCCGTTACCCCCTCCCCCTGTCTTTTTCTGCTGTCGATTCGTTACTTTCTTCGCTTGTGTCATTTGAGTCTTACCTTTTTGTGTCCTTTCCAGCAATGGCAGAACTTTGAGGAGGACAAGAAAAATAGCATAGAGAGGTGAGAGCAGGCTCATTGTACTAGTGTTACGATGATAATAAGTTATTAATAATGGGCCAAATAAGTAAGGGGTCGACGTGGAGACAACAATCAAAGTTACACTCATAGTCATACTGCTTATAGCTTTTCTAAATACTACGGTAGTACAGTACTGTCGGGCGCCGAAGAACGGTCAGGCTAGAATTTCACCAATTTTTAAGAACGGTCTAGGCTGGATGTTTTGCAGATAAGAACGGAAACCATAATTTACACTATGATGTACACTCAGTTGTATAACTCTGCATAAATGTAGATGTAAAGACTGTACCATCAAATAAGAACGAAACTGCTGTGTTCGCTAAAAATAAGAACAGGCTAGCCTACAACCCTGACCCCCAGTTCTTCGGCTCCCGACAGTACTGTACTGGGGGGCAAAATCTGTCTGTCAACTCCAAGATACTGTACACGCAGAAATATTCGTCTGGAATTTTATTTCGTCTTTTTCGTCCAAGGAGCTTTTGGACTAAATTAAATGCCGGACTAATATCGATTTGTCCAGCTTTTCAATACACTCTTATGATACAACCGGACAAACTCCCTTTCTTTGGAGTTGGACGAAATTTTCTGCTTATACAGTACTTATGACGATATGAACGATAGAAATAGCTTCTCGTTGTCATGTCTTACAATGCTTGAATGTATGTTCCCGCAGCAGCAGCAGGCACCTTCAAGCAGGTCGGTGATGTGTGTGCTAGTAGTATGTGTCGGGCCGGTTCTACGACTGGCATATGCCCAGCCCGAAAATGGGGTACTATTGATAGTACCCCATTTTTGGGGTAAAACCCGGGCGTCCTGTTTTTTTGCGTAAAAATGATTTTTCGGGTGTTGGAGGGGTATGCGCATATGCATATATGCCCTAATTGATTCTGGAATATGATGGATTATTGAAAAACCCTGAATGAAAACTCATAGATTTGCGTGATTTTGGATTCTATTTTCAAATTTTCGGCTCACTTTTTTCAACTCCACGAGTTTTATATCCGACAAACGAATGTAGATGCTGACATTGATCATGTTGATGATTCTCATAAATTCAGGCACGTCGATTTCTTCTGTCTCTTGAAATACGTTCTGGATGCGTGTCGTAATTCTCTCATCAACATACTGGGTGGCCCGGACGTAATTCTCCTTAGGTTCCAGCATGAGATGCAATAGCACGGAATCATCGGCTTCGCTGAGATCGCCGAAGTCCGTTACATCAACGTCTTGTGGTAGGAGAATCGGACATTGATCAGCGCCGAACTTGCCGTTGCTGATCCGAATCAGAAACTCTCCAATGGCGCTTGGTGTCATATCTTGACGACTAGCCAATCCATCATCAAGAATATCCTCCAACTCGTGCCTCGGTGTGAAGCACTGTATTCTCCTTATCTCAATCTGCCGCTCTGATGACACGCTGCAGTTTTCACGTGCAGCTCATCAGCTGCTATGGCTTGATCTGTATGCAGGAAGTCGCTTCTGATAGTTCTTGAAGGAGATTTTTGCACCTGGCTTGCCCATCCACTCGTGCCATCGGATGTTCCTGGTAGTAAAGCAGATGTCCATCCAGAGTCTCTGGCCAACGACACAAATGGAGACACCGGAAACAAATGTAGTGCCGATGATAAGCACCCGTGGTGAGCAGCCGACTCATATTATTTATCCACACCCATTGCTGAGTGGTACCATCACCGAACAGCAGCAGTTTGATTGCAGATTGCGGTTGATCGGAAACGCGTAGAGGGTAGAGGGACTTGCTATCGTAACCAAACGCATTGATGAATAAACCAGGATTCATCTTCTCAATGCGCTCGATGTCCATCACCTTTGCAGGAAACTCTATGCCGTCCACTTAGATAGCGTTGACGTCATTGACGTACGATGAAACTGCTTTGGGTTTAGACTTCGTGTGGGAGAGCTTAGCGGCAAGAATGGCCCATCTGCACAATCATCAACAACAACAACGCACACAGGTTCTTCTATTAGAGGTGAACAAAATCAACAATAAAAATAAATAAAAACATTTTAAACATTATGCACACAGGTAAAACACATAAAAGACACTATTTTCTACATAAAAACAGGATAGCATCACTGGAGAATTCACCGCATTGAATGAAGCACCAACTTACAGCATGCACTTTTGATCGCGGCTGATTGCATTGACAATGGCTTTCTTCTTCTTCAACTCAGAAGGGAGTTGTATAAAGGTGGAACCACGAATGGGCTGATACTTGGATAGTTCAATGCTGAGAGCATGTACACGATCGATGATCCAGCCAGAAGAGTGTTGCACAAACCTCTCGATCTACGATTTAAAAATAAAATAAAAAATGCAACCCACGGGTAATAAATAAAAAGAATTACACACATACACATACCTGCTCGTTGATAGCGTCAAGCATCCGTGCTACCGCCGATGGAATCTCATTCGTTGTGAGAAGCGATCTTGTACGAGAACGGAAGTAGAAGGAATGCTGTTGTAGCCGCCCAGTCATCCTGGTCCCTCGGCTGTTTCACCCTAGCTGGGTACATCCTGTACTTTCTGTACGTATGGTAATACAATCATGTACATCGGCACTGTCTATCCTTCTGTGTTCTCTGCATGTGTGCGTGGACTCAGCTTCTACACTCAGCTGATGGACCTCCATGGTAACTCTTCACAGCGACTCAAGGAGCGGATGCAAATGGTTTCCTCCGCAGAGCGTCAGAAGCTACTTCTAGCACACGCTGAGGAACTCAGCACTGTTAGGTATGGTGTGTCTTGCTGCTTCACTGTGTTGCTCTTTGCTAGTACAGTCCTGGCCAAAGAAATCCAACCCTCGTGATTACTTCAACAAGAGAAAACGTGAATTGTCCAAATTCATCCACGGCTTGTGTGAGTACATCCTCAACAGCGTATGTACTAGCAGAAAAGGTATTCCAACACATCAGCACTTCAGCAGCATACCTGGGGGGGGGGGGGGGGGGGGGGTAGCTACCACAGAACCGGCCCGACACATACTACTTTCCCTAGTGATACTGTTTATCAGAGAGATTTGGCTGTGTGTGTGTGTGTGTGTGTGTGTGTGTGTGTGTGTGTGTCTCTCTCTCTCTGCTGGCAGATCAGAGCTGCTTGCTTCTCAGTCTGAAGCCAGTCGTGTCAAGGAAGAGTTCATTCGTCTCAGTGAGACGTGTCAGAAAGACAAGAGTTCGTTCCAAGATCAAGCCAAGGTACAGTGAAAGCCTGTCACCTACTAGATGTGGCCTGGTGAAAGTGTTGAAATGCTACATGTGACAGTAGGAAGTTTTGAGCGGGTTCTGGGACAGGAGGCTACACCCTACCCACAGAATGGGTTATTATGGAAAACATGCACTGTGGGTTAGAGTCTCATTTGTAACTTCTTTTTCTTTTTTTGTGACACTGTGCTGTCTTCTCCCAAATTATGAAGCATGAAGCGGGATTCACAGGAGCATTTTAATCACAGCGCTGACTTTTTCTGTGAATGGTATTTCGCGAGTTCGCATCACACTGCTGCGCCGCGGTGTGATGAAATTGTTGCGACCCAGCAGTGTGATGCAAACTCACCAAGTACCGTTCAAAGAAAAAGTCAGCGCTGTGACGCCGCCTTGCTGACATGCCTCGAAGATCAATGCGAGCGCGTATGTCAAATGGTCTTCGCATCGCTGGACGCAACTTGTACAAATCTACAAGGAACTCTTGAACCTTTTGTACAACTGTGCTGCAAAGAAGGTCCAAATCAATCATACATCACATGCCGCATCGTGTAAATTGAGCCAAGCTCAACTTCTGCGATCGGTCAGTTGCGTTGAGCCAAGCTCAACTTCTGCGATCAGTCAGTTGAGACGGTTGCATGAGCTGCGCGAGGGGTGCGATTTTGGGATTTCCCGGTTTCGCGGCCGTAGCATCGCGGATCGCAAACCTGCTTCTGTGAAATCCACTTTATGATGTGCATAGTATCATGGTTTCTAACTCCACCTTTTTCAAAATGTTATTAATGAGAACCCATAGTCTTGCAGTAATTTGAACTGTAAGCGCAACTGTAGCTAGCAGATGAAATCACCAACATCGCCAAATACGGGAGCTCACCTTTGTGAATGGACTGTAGCATGATTTGATGGTCTTCGGTACCTACAGATTGTTGTGTGTGTGTGTGTGTGTGTGTGTGTGTGTGTGTGTGTGTGTGCTGACATGGTTACTACACTGTACTCGGTAGTCACATCACGCCACACTGGAAAGCCTTCGGCAGTCACACAGCACCACTTTGCAACAGATTGATGAGCGCCATCGAAAAGAGCTAGCCTCGCAACTGGCTGCTTTGCGAGACCAACACTCTAAAGACCTGGAAGCAGTAAGCGTTTTGTCCCTCCCGATACATGTTTCTTTATTTTGTTTTTCAGCTCGTACATGGATGCGTTGTCAGTTTCCTTTGCTTGCATGTTATTCGTACATGGATGCGTTGTCAACTTCAATGATCATCAGTTTAAGTTTGTTCAAGCGCCCCTTGTGTGTGTGAGCTCTTCAGAAGAGGATACTCCCACCGACTGAACAGTCTGTTGATCGTGTACACTACTGTCTGGTTGTGTACATAGCAGTGCAATGTGTTGAAAAATGTGCTCAACTGGCACATAGATTTGTGCATGTTTTCTAGAGTTACAGGGTGTTGTTCAGCTGTTGTTCAGGGTCTAGCACAGTCTGGAGTTACAGGCTGTTGTTCAGGGTCTAGCACAGTCTGCTGTTCAGGGTCTAGCACAGGCTGTTGTTCAGGGTCTAGCGCAGGCTGTTGTTCAGGGTCTAGCACAGTCTGCTGTTCAGGGTCTAGCACAGGCTGTTGTTCAGGGTCTAGCGCAGGCTGTTGTTCAGGGTCTAGCACAGTCTGCTACGTTCTTTTTAGGACTTTAATATGTCTGTCAATATCCTCTGCAGAGTTCTGAATCTCGCGTTTCGTTAATGGAGGCGCAGGTGCGCCAGATGACAGACTTTGACTCAGTGCTGTCTTCTCGACTTAGCGAACAAGAACGACGGCTGCAAGGACGCCATGAGGAAGCAATGCGTGAAATGCAGCAACAGATGGAGTCGCTTCGCATTGCTGCAGGCTCTGGGCTCTGCAGTGAAGAAATGTTGGGCAAGATGAGAACGCGCCTGGTGGATGAATTGCAGAGAGAACGCGAGGCGATCATTCGACCGGCGCTGGAGCATGCCAGGCAGCAATGGTCTGAGGAACAGCAGCAGTTGCTTGTCAAAGTAAGAATGCTGTCTTTGATCCACCCTGGCAAGTGTGTGTGTGTGTGTGTGTGTGTGTGTGTGTGTGCGCGCGCATGCACTATCTGGTATCTTGCTCCGCATATGGCTAGATGTGCACAGGAGAGTTTGGGCAATTTTATGGTCACCGTTGGGTATTGCACGATTACTTTTTCTCTTTCTGATCTGTGTATGTGTCTGTGTTGGTGTGATCGGGGTTATTACCTAATCATGATGCCATCACCTTCTGTATGATGCCCAGCTGGAAAACGAGGCAGCAGCTCAGCGGTTGGCATTACTTCAGCAGCTGAAAGACAAACCCAAAGTGACGTCAGAGGCTTCGACACAGGTAATTGGACGCATCATTATCTTTTACAGTACTGGAAATGGCAACTTGCTATTTGCTCTATTCAGCTCTTCTGGGTGCACATGTACATGTTCTGTAAAGTACCATTGATCTGCCACCCCTCTATTGTGAATATCCGTCCCCTGTTGATGGTTCTGTTGATGGTTTTGCCTGTGAAGTGACTTCTGTGTACATGTACTAAAGTGTATGTGAAAATACGGTGTTGAACCGACACATGCCCTGCTGCACGCAACACATGGCAGTGGCTGAGTGCGGGCATTCCTGTGGACTGAACTGTGCTCAATCCAGTATGTCAAATCTGGCTTTTTATGTTCGATTCTGTTGTTGTACACTGCATCCGGCAGCCTTGATCTAATTCCCGCCCCCGCTGTAAAACCTCTCTCTCTCTCTCTCTCTTGCTCTCTCTCTCTTGCTCTCTCTCTTGCTCTCTCCCCATTTCTGTCTCGTTCTGTCATTCTCTATGTTTGGTTTATATCTATATATGCATCATTGTTGAACCTCTTCTTCACATTGTTGATACAGTTTGTGCAAAGTGTGGCTCTGAACAAGAGTGTATGCCTGTACTTGTTTCGTCCTTGTGAGATTTAATTGCACTGCGTGTACGTGTATGTACGTGTGTGCTTATTTCTGTCCTGCAGACGGAGAATGGTCCAGTGCTGACAACCATGAATAAACACCTGACTCAACACTTGATGAAGATTGCTGTGGATCTGTTCCACGATTGCATTAGGGAGTGGGAAACGAGGCACCGAACATCCCATTGATCCTGTGACGTTATCTCCATTAGGGTGAGTGTTGATGTATCATGACTTCTTGTTGTTTTCTTGTAGCTGTGGTGGCAATGCACTGGGCCATGGTAGGATGCATCACACCCTCTCATTGCAGTAAATACCTCACCAGTTTCTAATGGCAGTGGCAGCTTCACTGTGACTCATCGGTAGTCTCTGGGTATCATAATGTGCGCTATTCATAGGCAATGTGCTTGCTTGGTCCGACTTATCGGGATGTGCGCTTCGAATCACTTCCCTGTCACTGTGTACGTGTCATGGCTTTATTTTTTATTTTAAACTGGCATCCTTGCCTGTACAGTATGTTGATCCTTGGCTAGTTGGTGTGTGTGGGGGGGGGGGGGGGGGGGCATGACTCGAACCTAGCCTAGCTCCTAAAGACCAGGAAAGACAGCTGCCTGTGTCCTGGAAAACCCCCAAGGTGTGATCAGCTCCGAGATGGTTCGCGATAAAAGTCCGTCCATTTTGCAGCTCCCCAGTGACATGGCTATCGGTATCACTTCAAGCGGGACTTTGGTCAGGGTGCACTGTTTTCAAACTGAACCAGCACTCGAAACTGGGGTGGACATTTTATGATAATGCGGACCAAGTACACGCATGTGCATCTGTAGCAAAAAGGCAAACATGAATGATGCTGAGGAGTTGTGATTTCATGTTGTCATGTTCGGCTTATTGTTATTGTATTGATCAGGTTACTGATGGTTGGGCCACGCGGTGATGTGGTCTCTACTCTCCAGGCGCGTGCACCGCATGAGTTTTTTGGTGTCTGGAAACCACCTTTTTTCGGGCAATCTTGCCAAAGGAAAAGCGTGCCTACGCTCGTACTGGATTGGTTATTCTGCACACGCGTCGATCGACGGGCAGTTTACAGTACAGTGACTATGTCCTTATTTCGAAGTGAGAGAGAGTTGCTTTGCATGCAGTTCAAAATACATTATTCTCTCTTTCTTCAGTGGAGAGTAGCCACAGAGAGATCGATCTCTAGGCTAGCTCTGGTTCGCTCCTGGATTGGCGATGACGTTCAAGAAATCCGTTTTGCCTCGAAATTTGAGTCAAGCACACGCGATGCAAGTCAGTTCAAGGATATGATTGACGATATCTCCTTCTAAACTGTTGACTCGAATCAAGATGACAGCCTTTCGTTCTCGCTCATGTGCGCAGCAGAGATGTTCGGCAAAAACGTTAATGTGCGTCCATGATCCACTTGCGCTGCTTCAGAACGAAGCGCTACTCGGGCCGCGACTCAAGGACGCGGGGCTTCGCTTTTCTCCGGCGAGCTTCCATCGAAGCAAGGTCCATAACTCTTTTTAATGAAATCATGTGGAACATTGCCAATACATGCCGAAAACTTCGTCATAAGAACAGAAAGAAAAATACGTCGAATGTAAGCAGTGTTTTGATGTAACAAACATGCCTGCATGGAGTGGACTAGTGAAGTACCATAGACATAGTGTTATAGACTGTAGTGTACAGTGTATACATGTAGCCTGGCCGGCTAGGCCTATCAAACTTTTACGGTTTGACAAACATGTGATTGTATATGAGTGCATTGACTTTTGCACCCTCTTTGCAAATACTTTTTGAAGTGCTGGTATGTAAAAGGTAACCCGTTTTATCCTGCTACCGGTCATACATGTACCAACATTTCCATGTAACATCGTCCCCTCCCTCCATTCCTCATTACTCTTATTTCTGTCTTTTCTACCCCTGTACCTGGTTGCCCTCTCAGACGCGGTTGTGCCGGCATGATCTAATGATAGCAGTCGGACGAGCCCCGCATCTCATCAGCACCAGTGTTCATGTGCACAAAATACATAATAATACAGTGGGTCTCCAGAATTTTTTTACCAACTCTAGAAACCCCCCTTTCAAGACTCGGTGCACGCCACTGCTCTCCCTGGACAGAACGCATTATGTAACAGTGCTCTAATATCAGCTGCATTGTGAACACTAAATTGAATGGCTTTTTCTTCTTCATAGAACTGAGATGTATGCAGCACTTCCTGCACATGAACATGCGGCATAACATTTGAAATGAAACGCAGCACAAAACTAGTACCCTATTCAATTTTTTAAATACTTGTAGGCGATCTTGAGCTGTCATAACTTCATTAGGCGGTGTGTTGAGGGCGCCACTGTTTCTGTATCCTTGACCCCTTGCTCCCCACAGCAGTTCTGAGTACTTCTTGACGCAATAGGTTATGCGGCACTTCTCGATCACAATATTTTTCTTATTTTACTCTCACCTTTACCCTTGAACTCCCTACTGGTACTCGTCGTATCTGAACATGACACAATCATTACGCAATCAAACTGTATGGTACTTCGCTATCAAAGAATTCATTTATTTGCCGGTATATGTCACATTTGTATGATCAATCTACATAAAGTCATTATCTGCTTGTCTGCACATCTTGTAGACCAGAACATTATTCACAGCAACAAGATTATTAGTAGGGCTGTGTTTGCTAGTAAAAAAACAAAAAAAAACAAAAACAAAAACACAACTTCTCTGTCAACTTCTGTGTGTTAGGCATTTTGGCAATGACTGATCCCAGTGTTGGTTTTGCATGCGTGTGTGTGGTGTGTGTGTGTGTGTGTGTGTGTGTGTGTGTGTGTGTGTGTGTGTGTGTGTGTGTGTGTGTGTGTGTGTGTGTGTGTGTGTGTGTCCACCCTTCGAGCTTGGAGCATAGCCTGCTTGCACCCTCTTGCGATAGTAACCTTCACGCTGCAGAGGTATCAGATCCTGGGTAGCAAGTGAATGGGGGTTGTCTGCTATGTGGGGCACACATGAAAATGAAATGAACACTGTTTAGCACCCTTACACGGACTGCTTAGGCTTAGTGTCCGGGCCTTTGTAGAGTCACATGTACATAATGTACAATCATGTACCGGCTCGGGCTTGTCTGATGAGTCACACCATTTTGCGGTCTCGCAACACCGGCCTGATTGCTCTTGGTCCGGTCCGTTTTAACTTTTCCACCTGCTTTCTTTGCGGGAGTGTCAGATAAGAGAGTTGAGGATGAAAGACACGATGATACGGGGCGGTGTGCTGGCTCAGTGGGTATCGCCGGAATATTATGAGGAGGATAGGATCATGAGGAGGCCTTGATAATGAAGTCTTTGAAGAAGTGCAGAGAGCCAGGATTGCCCACCGGTACGTGCTTCACTGGCCACGCAATGACCACTACAAATGTACAATGTAGTAATAGTATGACAGTAGTTGTTTCGTCACTCGTAGATCTACTCCCCTGTCCTGAGTCAGAGTGAGAGATTCGACTCACGCGCTCCTCATCCTCGTTTTTCTTCCAACAAGTGCGTGACTTTTCGGCCCTTATTTCAGGTACTGTGCGGCTTTCTTTGAAGCAGCTCTTTTCATCGGAGCTTGGTGCCGGGAACGCTACGTGACCCTGCTCGTGACAAAAACAGCAAGGTTCACGACGTCACCTTCGCAGGCTAGATGACCAGGCGCTAGGCTGGATATGACCAGACAGTGTCAAGGGTTTTCACCTTCTTCACAAGTGACACCGGTCTACCATACCTGTTCACCGAGCCACTGGCACTGAGCGTTCACATGGTTCAAGCCTGACAAAGAAAGACACACACATGTCGACAGTGCACATGGTGCAAGGTCGAGCCTGTGCAGTAGCAGCTAAACTAACTTTAGATGTGGAAGCTACAGTCATTGTGGCATGTGGTTAGCGTGCAGCAGTATAAAAGCGGTCGCGAGACCGGACAGGATTCAGTTTTGAAACTTTTACATTATTGAAAGCGTCTAAAAAAAAGGTCTTGCAGCTTGCCGGTTCATACTAGACTAGACTCTCTGTTTTGAATTTCAGTTCAAAAAGACTGCTTCGTAGTGTACGTGAACTGTGAAGCTAGCCGTCGCCTTTCACTGTTCAGAATGATTTCTGTCAACTTTGTATCCTGCACCCTGCTGGCAATTCTGTGCTGTGCATCTGCTCAAGTGCCAGGAGAAGGAAAGTGTCCCGACCCTCCCGTACAGGCTGATCTCCAAGTTGCAGAGGTTTGTTTGTAGAGAGTACTGTACATGATCGGTACAGCTGTAATTTTTTTTATTATGGTACAATTGAGTATTATGGTATAGATAAGTGCCTGTACCTTCATCCCACCCCAGTAAATACTTCACGGTGTGGAACTCAGCTTTTAAAACTATATGACTGTATTCTCACGGCTTCTCAGTTTGCTGGCCACTTACTGAATGGACTTTGTGTACCATGTTGAGTGGACACACCAGCACTGGGAACAGTGAATTCTGTCTAAGGCAACCGCTCCGAAGGGACCTCCAATATGTGGTCGCTGTGTACAGGTAGTCAGTCTCCTTATCCAAGTCCAAGTCAGTCTCCAAGTCAGTCTCCTTATCCAAGTAGAAATGACACCCATTGACCCATGCTGTGACCGGGACCCTCCAGGACAGGTTTTGGTGACCTAGGCACGTTTGACTGTATTTAGTATTTCCACACCGATGGCATGTACATGTGGGTTGTTTTATTCTGCTTTCCTCCTGTAGTACCTTGGCCAATGGTATGACTATGCGCACTATGAAGTCTCATTCGAGATCGGTTCCAAGTGCATCCGTGCTGACTACAGCATCAAGCCAAACGGACGCATCCGCGTTATTAACTCTGCAGTCTCGTAAGTGTTAAACTTAAAGGGGAAGTATACCCTAAAATCAAATTTTCACCAGTTGTAATCTTCGGGGTGCTGAGTCGAATGGTCTTGGTCCGAGGAAGCTGAGACGCTCCCTTCCTCCTTTATTCCCAATCGAACTTGCGCACTTCCACCGAAACTGGGTGACTGCGCCCTACTAGATGGGGATTTGTATGCAAAATGTCACTAAAAGCGCCATGTCGTTCTTATAAAAGCACGGGTGACCGCCATTGGCCCATATGTTGTAGTCTTTTGGACGCTGAGTCGACCGGTTTTGGTCCGAAAAGGCTGCGATGCAGCGTTCCTCCTTTATTCCCAATCGAACATGGTTGAACAAGGTCACGTGCTCCTGCGTACACCAGTCACCTGGTCACCGTGCCTGCAGGGTACAACTTACTAGCCTGTTTGACCTTTTTTGGGTGCAGTCCTGTCACTCGAGTTGAACCTTGGTGTGAAAGTTGTCGCCTGCTGGCGCGGTGACCAGGTGATTCGGGCACCCAGGAGCACCTGACTGCTTGTTCAACCATGTTCGATTGGGAATAAAGGAGGAACGCCGCATCGCAGCCTTTTCGGACCAAAACCAGTCGACTCAGCGTCCAAAAGACTACAACATATGGGCCAATCGCGGTCATCCGTGCTTTTATAAAAACGACATAGCACTTTTAGTGAGATTTTGCATACAAATCCCCATCTAGTAGGGCGCAGTCACCCCGTTTCGGTGGAAGTGCGCGGGTTCGATTGGGAAAAAAGAAGGAAGGGAGCGTCGCAGCTTCCTCGGACCAGACCATTCGACTCAGCACCCAGAAGACTATAACTGGTGAAAATTTGATTTTAGGGTATACTTCCCCTTTAATAAATGTGCGTACTGTAAACGTAATGTAATATTATGTAACGAAGTGCTAACTTGAATCTAACGAGTTAATTTTAACGAGAAGAAATCTGTTGTTAGAATAAAATAAACGTTAGACAGGAGCCAATGCTAGTACTTTTCTCTCACAGTTCTCTCACAGTTCGGTGTTGAGCGGTGAGAAAAAAAATTCTGTCCACGCTAACCGATCTATTTTTAGGAAATCGTTAATTTTGCACCTCATTAGAATAATGACCTTTACAGTACATGTATTGGGTAAAACTAAGCGTAACTACTTTCCATGGCCGTAAGCTTAGTAAAGAAAGACTTGCCGTGCTGGATTGTGCACATTTTCATCCACAGGCATACCTGCACTGGCACGTAAGGTGTACAGCAGTGCATGCGTTGGTTCAAAACTGTATTTTGACGTGTACGCTGAAGTTATCGTGAATATGTATCACGATTCCGCATTACGCTCATTATTTTGTCTTTATTTGTTTAAAGGGGAAGTTAAGGCTAAAATCAAAATTTCACCAGTTGTAGTCTTCGGGGTGCTGAGTCGAATGGTCGTGGTCCGAGGAAGCTGAGACGCTCCCTTCCTATTTTAATCCCAATCGAACTCGCGCACTTCCACCGAAACTGGGTGACTGCGCCCTACTAGATGGGGATTTGTATGCAAAATGTCACTAAAAGCGCCATGTCGTTCTTATAAAAAGCACGGATGACCGCGATTGGCCCATATGTTGTAGTCTTTTGGACGCTGAGTCGACTGGTTTTGGTCCGAGAAAGCTGCGATGCAGCGTTCCTCCTTTATTCCCAATCGAACATGGTTGAACAATCGGGCACGTGCTCCTGCGTGCCCAAGTCACCTGGTCACAGCGCCAGCAGGCGACAACTTTCACACCAAGGTTTAACTCGAGTGACAGGACTGCACCCAAAAAAGATCAAACAGGCTGTAAGTTGTACCCTGCAGGCACGGTGACCAGGTGACTGGTGTACGCAGGAGCACGTGACCGCTTGTTCAAGCATGTTCGATTGGGAATAAGGGCCGAAAGCTGCATCGCAGCCTTTTCGGACCAAAACCAGTCGACTCAGCGTCCAAAGGACTACAACATATGGGCCAATCGCGGTCATCCGTGCTTTTATAAGAACGAAATGGCGCTTTTAGTGACATTTTGCATACAAATCCCCATCTAGTTGGGCGCAGTCACCCAGTTTCGGTGGAAGTGCGCGAGTTCGATTGGGATTAAAGTAGGAAGGGAGCGTCTCAGCTTCCTCGGACCAAGACCATTCGACTTAGCACCCCGAAGACTACAACTGGTGAAATTTTGATTTTAGCCTTAACTTCCCCTTAAAGTGTTACATCATGTGTACGTCATGCTGACGTCTTGCTGCACGCATCGCGTGCACAGTTTTGCAGCTCTCAGGCCAGAGCATGCGCAGCGAGCGAGTGGCTCCTTTTTTGCTGCCTTTTCCCTTTTGCATGCTTCACTTGTCTCAAATAAGGTTTTCTGGTGACACTCCTTTTAAGTCACCTTTCAAGTAACAAATGCAATGTCGTTCCGTGAACTGGAACCCCTTCGAATTTGAGTTACCAAGATGTATCTGTGCGTGGCTGCAAGCTCTCCCACTCAACAGTCCAAAGTCGCGCACAAATTTGGTGCCGGAACCCGGGAGGGGTTCCGTTTCCTTCATGGGTAGAAATTCAACCGAGGACGGAAATTAGAGAGAGGGTAGACTAACGGTACTTTAGGGTACAACTAGTCGTCTACAGTAATTCGAAGTACATGTATAAGTATTGGCTACATCATTGTGTACCACTCTAACGAAAAGGGCTGTAGATGATGTACAGTACCATTAAATGCGTCGATTTCTGCGTCTCCCTACTCTAAGCTGTACGCATGTCCCACTGCACTAGCGCATAGCTGAATGCATGCTCAAAACAAGCAGTAAGCAGAGCAGACAAGCAGTGAGTATGTGATGCACTGGTGGCGCTCCAAGGAGACACGATTCCAGTCGATGTCGCAGACCTTGCCTTGGCGCCCACAGGACATGTGTGTACGCCACACTGTGTACCGACTCTATCTGTGACAGCACTGTGGCTATTGTATTCTGTTCTGTTCTTCAGGTTCACCGGTGGCAATACAACTGTGGTTGGAGAAGCGTATGCTCCCAACCCTCTGGTGGGTGCTAAGCTGGCAGTGAGCTTCTTCAATGCAACACAGACCAAGCCGAACTACTGGGTTCTCTCCACAGACTATACAAGCTACTCCATGGTTTATTCCTGCACCCAGGTAAGATGGACCACCATGAAGTCATCACGCGTATCTGACCAAGTGTTGTCTTGATATTTCCTTCTACGTATGATGAACTTGACGGCTTTTCTGCAAAGAGCTTTGCATCATAGGAAACGTTCGCATCAGAGTCAGCCAAACTGACTTTTCTGCATCCATAGCCACACCATCACCCTCAAGGATCAGGGATCTAAATGGGCACTCTGATAATTATTATAAAAGGGGCTGAAGCAACAGTAAACTTTCACCTCTTGATTGCTCAATTGTAATTGTTAGCAAACAGTGCCAGGCTTGCTTGCCAAAAATTACTCCATTTCCCATAGCTATTTTTACGTAACTGATGGAGATGTTGCACCTTCAGCGGTAATGGTAGAAGAAGGTGGCTGCTCCTAACGTTGGAGCTCAGCTCAGGCTTCCTGCCGACTGACTGACACTTGAATGACGCCTGCCGTCTGGAGCACACGAGAAAAATGCTTGAATAAAAAAATAAAAAAGTAAATTATCGTATCCGTTCCCAAAGGGAACTCACGACGGCCGCTAACACAAACCCTAGCGGCAGATGCAGCGCCTAACGGTGGGGGTGAGTGGATAAGTCTCACAACCACTGGCACAAGTGCCAAGAAAGACCCCATTAAAGGGGAAGTTAAGGCAAAAATTAAAATTTTGACCAGTTGTAGTCTTCGGGGTGCTGAGTCGAATGGTCGTGGTCCGAGGAAGCTGAGACGCTCCTTTCCTACTTGAATCCCAATCGAACTCGCGCACTTCCACCGAAACTGGGTGACTGCGCCCTACTAGATGGGGATTTGTATGCAAAATGTCACTAAAAGCGCCATTTCGTTCTTATAAAAGCACGGATGACCGCGATTGGCCCATATGTTGTAGTCTTTTGGACGCTGCGTCGACTGGTTTTGGTCCGAAAAGGCTGCGATGCAGCGTTCCTCCTTTATTCCCAATCGAACATGTTTGAACAAGCGGTCACGTGCTCCTGCGTACGCCAGTCACCTGGTCACCGTGCCTGCAGGGTACAACTTACTAGCCTGTTTGACCTTTTTGGGGGCAGTCCTGTCACTCGAGTTGAACCTTGGTGTGAAAGTTGTCGCCTGCTGGCGTGGTGACCAGGTGATTTGGGCACCCGGGAGCACGTGACCGCTTGTTCAAGCATGTTCGATTGGGAATAAGGGTGGAACGCTGCATCGCAGCCTTTTCGGACCAAACCCAGTCGACTCAGCGTCCAAAAGACTACAACATAATGGGCCAATCGCGGTCATCCGTGCTTTTATAAGAACGAAATGGCGCTTTTAGTGACATTTTGCATATAAATCCCCATCTAGTAGGGCGCAGTCACCCAGTTTCGGTGGAAGTGCGCGAGTTCGATTGGGATTCAAGTAGGAAGGGAGCGTCTCAGCTTTCTCGGACCAAGACCATTCGACTCAGCACCCCGAAGACTACAACTGGTGAAATTTTAATTTTTGCCTTAACTTCCCCTTTAACCGCATCCATGTAGCCCTTGTGCCTGGCCACAAGTTCCCAGTTGACTGTGGGTAGCAGCACGGCTGGAAAAACCGCTTGAATCTCCTCTCGGCAAACCTACAAGAAATCACCACTCCCAGCTCAATAAAGTCTTTCAGGGAATTCACCTACATAATACCAATCATGCTGTCCGCAGATTGAGTATTTCGCTCCTGCTCTTGTAGCAGTTGAGCACTCTTGCGTGGGGTAGTGCCTTTGCTGTTTGCGTTATGCAGAGCTCACTGACTTGTCAGTTTGAGCACTCTGGCAGGGTACGTTCGGGCCTGATTGGAAATTTTTATTTTCATTGCTATCAGGCTCGGCCTCATTTCCTCTGTGCTGCGCTGATGAGTTCACAAAGAACGAAACAGCATGCTGTCCGCAGATTGAGTATTTCGCTCCTGCTCTTGTAGCAGTTGAGCACTCTTGCGTGGGGTAGTGCCTTTGCTGTTTGCGTTATGCAGAGCTCACTGACTTGTCAGTTTGAGCACTCTGGCAAGGTACGTTCGGGCCTGATTGGAAATTTTTATTTTCATTGCTATCAGGCTCGGCCTCATTTCCTCTGTGCTGCGCTGATGAGTTCACAAAGAACGAAACAGCATGCTGTCCGCAGATTGAGTATTTCGCTCCTGCTCTTGTAGCAGTTGAGCACTCTTGCGTGGGGTAGTGCCTTTGCTGTTTGCGTTATGCAGAGCTCACTGACTTGTCAGTTTGAGCACTCTGGCAAGGTACGTTCGGGCCTGATTGGAAATTTTTATTTTCATTGCTATCAGGCTCGGCCTCATTTCCTCTGTGCTGCGCTGATGAGTTCACAAAGAACGAAACAGCATGCTGTCCGCAGATTGAGTATTTCGCTCCTGCTCTTGTAGCAGTTGAGCACTCTTGCGTGGGGTAGTGCCTTTGCTGTTTGCGTTATGCAGAGCTCACTGACTTGTCAGTTTGAGCACTCTGGCAAGGTACGTTCGGGCCTGATTGGAAATTTTTATTTTCATTGCTATCAGGCTCGGCCTCATTTCCTCTGTGCTGCGCTGATGAGTTCACAAAGAACGAAACAGCATGCTGTCCGCAGATTGAGTATTTCGCTCCTGCTCTTGTAGCAGTTGAGCACTCTTGCGTGGGGTAGTGCCTTTGCTGTTTGCGTTATGCAGAGCTCACTGACTTGTCAGTTTGAGCACTCTGGCAAGGTACGTTCGGGCCTGATTGGAAATTTTTATTTTCATTGCTATCAAGCTCGGCCTCATTTCCTCTGTGCTGCGCTGATGAGTTCACAAAGAACGAAACAGCATGCTGTCCGCAGATTGAGTAATACCAAGAATATAAATATTTCAAACTGTAGCTCCGAAACATAGCCAATTTGAATTCAATTCAAGCTCAGAGGACTATCGCTCCTACTGCAGTGCCGCTCAATGAAATCCGATCGTGTGAGTCAAGTTTGCGCCCTGCGCCGTTTCGCAGCCCAGTGTTCACTGGTCTAGGGCTGCGCAACGTGTACTCGAGTGACTCGGCTGGATTTCATTTTAAGCAGCACTGTAGAAACTGCATGCTCACAGTGGAACTAATCAAACTGTACAAAAAGAGTAGAACAGTACGCGTTTGTACTCGAATTTCGCTCTAATTTTTAGAAATCTGCTATATTATAACACCCTCCATCTGTTTCATGCTGTTCTACTCTGTTTTTGCTACTTTGTTATCCAGGTGACGTCTTTGCTGCACTTCCAAATCCTCTGGTTCCTAGTACGCGACTACAATGTATCCGACACCCTAAAACAGTCCGTTTTGGGCAAATTCACGTCCCTTGGTTTGAACACAGAGCACTTTATCTATACCAAACAAGGACCTGAAAACGATTGCAAGCCCGCAGCCAAGGAGGGTTCGGGCCGTGCGGACGAACTCCCCTTTTTCCTTCAACGGCATTAACAAATCGAAGAAAAACTCTTGCTTAGACATGTGCATGTCTGCACATGCTGTATTATAGCACATGGTATGCATTGTTGTTGTGAATGTAGCCCCCTTTTTTTTTTTACAGATGCCTCTATGTAAAAACCTACTGAGAAATAGATCTTCTTTTGTTTGATTTGTCCATTTTCTGCTTCTACTTTGTATTTAAGACACAAGGCAACAGTTGTGTTTGATCACTCATTGTGCGAACAAACACGGGTTGGTAATCTTGAGCCACTCATTGTAGTTTTCTCTTTACTCAAAACCCGTCGTAATCATTTTTCGACTATCGGCTGATAGCAAAATCATTGTTGTATTGCTGTATATGCTTGAGCCTGGCTATGATCAAAATTTTATTTATACGAAAACACTTGGTTCAGAATATTTTCGCTATGTTCTTCATTGGGTACGACTCACTGCATCATGAACGTGTATGGAGCTAGTGCACGTGTTTGTAACCTAAAATAATTATAATGCTTTGTTTTGGGCCCACCACAAATTCGAGCACTATTATGTAGTCAAGGACTTTCTATGGCTGCATCCGTCACCACAAAACATGTACGTTCTGGGCAGAGCCCGGCAGACACATCCATCCCATTTCCCCGGTTATTCTGGGTGTTAGCGGCTGTTACCGTATACACGTGCATAAAAGGGCACGCACTTTTATTCGAATACAAGGGCACCTCCACATATAAAGGCATGGAAAAAACTCAAGACCCAAGAGTGTATTTGAAGACTTGAATACTTGTATTGAAAGACATGCCCTTTTATATCCGGAACATTGTTTCCCGGTGAAATAGAAAGAAAACGCATTTTTTGCATGCACTGTATCATGGTGTCTTGTATTAACCCTGTCTCATATAGAAGCCTGATGGACAAGATACACTTTCGGCGCATAAGCCTCGTTTTAGTGTTGACATACAGTCAACTTTGCGTATAACGACACTCGGCGGGGCATCAGAAAAGTGTCCTAATTCGCTTAAAGGGTCATTGTACCTGAAGTCTCATTATAATGTCAACAGTTAGATGGGACTTTGCTCTGGGCATGGACATTCTGTCGTTATTTGCAAATTGTCGTTATTAGCGAAGTTGACTGTACATAGAAATACCGGCTTGTATAGAAGCCTGCAAAAAATTCCCCAAAAAAGTAATGTAAGCCGCGGCTTTTATACATGATATACGGTATAATTAAAGGCATGCACTTGTATGTGGGTGAATATGTTTCCTCTGGAACGGAGACGGAAATTCACTTTTTGCACTTTTTAATTTTTTATAGCATTCAGTATTGACCACTGAATCGTCAGGAATGTTCTGCCGAAATTGTATTCACTCAAACCAAGTGCTTAGCTGTTCAATATAACCAGATAACTTCGGTCCTCAGATAATTATTATCTAAAGACCAAAGTCTCCTCAATGGGCTCACCCACCACATACTGCACTGTACTGACTGTGTTGTACGGGCAGATCAGAACTTGGTCATACGCAACTTGGCCATAAATTGGCCAGATGTCTATAATTTTGTTGAATTTTGACATAATCACTTTCAAGCCAAGAGTAAACGAGCAGCGTCAGCATCATCATGTACATCAGCATCAGCATGTACGTTACCATGAACATAGTACATGTACGTACAACGACAGGTAACTTGCATGATCCCCCGGCCCAGGGTACATCACATGGCAATACAGTGCTGAGTACTGACATCAACGTCACTCATCTGTTATCACCTGCACCATGAACAGACATAACCAGCACCAGCACACACACACACACAGAGCTTGTGGCTGTACGCGATGTTCTTCTCGTCAAAAAGGCCGTCTAAAAATAATAGAGATAAAAATAGTATCAAATTCTAGCCAAAATTGAAGGTGGTCGGCACCTGTTGAGTGTTGAACTGGTATCCACCAGCTGCCTTGATACGCTCAGAGTCGCGCTCAGCTTTCCGATGACCAGCCAGCTGCATAACCTCTTGCAGGTGACCTTGGTGCTCAGCTGTGAGCTCTGACATTACTCGGCCATACCAGGCGGCATCCGATGCTTCCACCATTTTCATGGTCTCCACGAACACAAAGTAAGCATCAGTGGCATCATCATCTTCCGCATCCAAGCCCGTCTCCATCCAGCTATACTCATCATCCAGGTCGTCATCATCGTCGTCGTCGTCGTCAGCAACACCTCCACCGGTTTCGTCCGACAGATGCATGCCCGCATCAGGATCATCAGCGTCGAGGTCATCAGCGTCATCGTCTAGTTCTTCCTCACTCTCTTCCTCGTACTCTTCATCCTCCTCCTCGTCAGACATTTCATCAGCCTCGTTCTCCATCTTGCGCTGCTCTTCATACAGTTTAGTCAAGCGACCAAACACGTCAATCATCTTCGGCAGCAGGTGCGGGGCAATGACGTTGAGTGCGTCAGGACGCGAGCCAGAAGGAAGGAGTAGGAGACGGCAAGCAGCCAGGACAGAGAGCTTATGGCCATGAATGCCTTCGTAGATCGCGACGTCCTGTAGCCACTGGGCAAGGAAATGCTGTGTGATGCCCTGCTGTTCCAGGACCTGTAGAAGAGACTCGGTCTGGCAGTACATCAGTGCTAGGATCACTTGCTGTGTTGCGGTGCGCAGACTAGCAGACTTGACATCCTCTGTCTCCTGCAGGCGCGCGATAGCAGTCTCCACGAGAAGCTTGATGGCTTGGCTATCAAATGCACCGGGGTACTGGACAATGGCAACCTCTAGCAGGCGGCACGCCGTTGCTGGTGACACCTCATCACCAGAATCTGCCAAGACCTTCTGCAGGACCTGGACAAGCAGCTTCAGGCGATCGGGTACAGCGCCAAAGCCCTCCTTGTCCGTCGTCAAGAAAAGGTGCAAGCAGGGACACATATCTGGGAAGTAATCCATGGCGTCGCGTACGATGCAGTGGCATAGGACCTCAAACAGTGACCACATCTTATCTGAGACAGTTGTACCAATGAAGCCTTCGGCCAGATCAAAGACCTCCTCGTAAAAGTCGGTGATACTCTTCTCCAGAACGAGCAGCATGAGCGGCAAGCACTCATTCTCCATGCCAGCCAGGATCTCTTGCTCGTCCTCATAATTGGCTGCAATATTCTTGATACAGTCGAGAACACCCATCGCAGTCAGTGCTTTGTAACCACCGTCAGCTTCCAAATCGGCAGTCTCCTGATCTTCGTTGTCCTCTTCTGGACGTACAATCAACACAAACGAAGCAACGAGATGGCGTGTGAGCTCGACAGCCACACCCTTGATCTCGTCAAAGACGTTGATGACGGTCTCAATGACAGCGGTCAGCTCCTCATTGCGACACTGTTGCAGTGTAGTGAGCAGGCCCTGTACAATGGTGACAATGTCATTGCGCAGTAGGGTCTTGATGTCCTCGGCCTGCTTGGCGCCAATGAGGAAGTCCTGGAGTGCTAGAGCTGCTTCGATCTTCACTGGCAGTTCATTCTCGCTGGTCAATGAATGCAGGACAAACTGCACACAGGCTGTCAGTGTGTCTTGACTGAGCTTCAGCCCTGAGAACATACGCAGAACCCAACAGGCTCTTGCACGGCGAAAACCCTCAGGAGCAGTGAAGGACGGCACGACGTGCGCAACCAGCAGCTGTGGTTCCATGATCTGTCGCAGTGCCTTCTTCTTAAGGATGCTTTCATGACAGATACCCACCAGATGTAATGCACCGTCCTTGTGCCGTGGGTTGTCGGTCTTCATCAGCACTTGGCTGCAGAATTCCATGACGCGCTGAAGCATGCCCTGCCGCTTACTACACATCGTCTCCACCAAGTGACGGGCTTCTGTTACCGGGTTGGTGTAGTCTTCAAATGCATCGTAATGCAGGCGAATGTACTCGTACGGGTCATCTTGCCACAGTTCGTCGTCAGCGTCGGAGTAGCAGAGCAGAGGAAAGACAACCTCTTGCACGAGCACATCAGCTTGCTTGGCAAGAACACGCTTCCATGAAGCAGCATGCCGCACTGCCAGTTTCAGATAGCCAAGGCAGTGATAGAGCACGATGGGTGCAACGTAACCACCTTTTCGGTACTTATCCAACACAGTCAGCAGAGCACCGAGCACATCCACGTTGTACTTGCTGCAGTATTCGTGTGCGAACTGTTTGTACTTCTTGCCGACCTGAAGCGGGCAGCCGTAGCGGTCAAACAGAATCTCTAGCGTGTCCGCCGTCCATCGCCGTAGCTTCCACCAAATCAAATCACTGCGACTCTCCTCTTCCTCTTCCAGGGTTTCAGCTGGTACATCCAGGACGAGAATAGCACGGAAGCAAGCAAACCAATGGCTGAGCTCTTCATTTAAGATATCTAGCGGCAGGCTCATCTCAATCATGTGGTGGAAAACCTTTACGATGGTCTTCTGAATGAGGACAGAAGCCTCGGACTGGTTGGGTATGAGGCTAGTCAAGTGCTGGCGCAGCAAAGGCAGAATCACTGCCATAGCTCTATAGAATTCACTACGTTCTGACGCCTGCTTCCAGCGGTATCGCTTGGAAAGCTGCAGTGCACATAGTGACGCTCCGAGCCACGTAGAGTCTTGGGCCGACGACAGGCATACAACAATCTTCTCAGCCAGGTCGGTCCAAATCATGGGGAAGTCGCTCTCCACCATACGACCAACGCATGCTTCCAACAATTTACGAACCTGAGCTGGTACAACGATGACTGCTTCAACAATGTGCTGGCGCAAGGTTGCTTTGTCAGCTTGCGCCAACTCAAACGGCTGCTTCTCCCCGGGCCGTTTTTCACGCACTTTATAATGGCGTTCCACCAGATTCTTCAAGTAGATACCAGCAGCTTGCCGAAGAGCCAAATCTGCGTCTCCACTGGTGACGATTTGGAAAAGGCATGAGGGAAATCCAGACACTTCGGAAAACTTTTCCAACTCATTCTCAGCAGCTTTCAGTAAGTCTGCATCTGGCCCATAGGTTGCCTGAAGCAGGGTTGGTACTGTGGAGAAATCCATATCCGCGTGCCTGACCTCCTGGGAAGACCCTACAGTTTCCTTCCATACATGAGGAAAGGCACGCGCCATGGACGAGAAGAACTTTACAAAGAGAGCTTGGATCCTGGCCGAAAACTGCTGGAGACGCAAAAAAAGTCTACATAATGTGGGTGAGCCCCCTGCAACACTGTGCGCTGCACTGCAGCGCATATGAAGTACCTGTAGCTCGCTCGGATCTGGGTCGGGGACGACCGCGCCGTTTATCATGCTAGCTGTGAAGTGCACGCAGTGCACGTAGACGTAGGTCTACGTAGATCTAGATCTAAGTGTCGTTATAAACGTTAGCGCTAGCATCAAGAGGCCGTGGGTTATGCCTTACTTATGCATATATATGGACTCTTGATAGCATAGCTAGTATCGTGCACGTGGCCAGCACGACGCGCCCTTTCCACAGTGCATTTGTCATGAATATGAGTTGGGGTTGAGACTCCTCAGACCTTTCTGGCAAGGGCTTCGAGCAAAGCATGGCACACGAAAAGCATCTTGACTTGAAAAAGTCACATCTGACTCACATGCACATCGACTGACAAATTATTATGTGTTCATCAGATATCAATCAGGAGCTAGCTGAGGTGGCAGAGAATTTCTATCTTTGGTTTCTTGTTCTTAGATTGCCTACTACTAGAATTGTCCTGTATCCTCAATGTGGGTCCTTGGAGCTCGTAACTAACTTTAGTCCTGTCAGATATTTGATTGAAAACGCTGATCCATGGAGAATGCTGACGCAACTGCTATTAGTAAGTGCATTGACAGTATCATAGGTGTTTCCAGGCCTGATACAGTCTTATGACCAGGGAAAAAAGGCACATCTGCACCATTGTAAATTGTAATTCTCAGCCTTCTTCCCATCGTGAGAAATCAAAAGGTCTAAAACTGCGGGTCATGTCGTTGATTGAAACTAGGCAAAACGTTACTCTAAAATTTTGTGTTTTGACACATGGTAGAAGTAAACTGACAGAGAATGATAAGATTTGTGGAAACCCCAACTTTCCATCGTGTTTTATGGCTGACCTCTTCAGAGTGGCAATTTTTATTCTCTTTATAAATATCGAAATTTCAGGTCGAAAATGTCGAAGCTCGAGGAAGAAAACATCTTTTTTTCATAAGAAAAAAATCAGCTAAGTTTCACGTTAAAGGGGAAGTTAAGGCAAAAATTAAAATTTTGACCAGTTGTAGTCTTCGGGGTCCTGAGTCGAATGGTCGTGGTCCGAGGAAGCTGAGACGCTCCCTTCCTACTTGAATCCCAATCGAACTCGCGCACTTCCACCGAAACTGGGTGACTGCGCCCTACTAGATGGGGATTTGTATGCAAAATGTCACTAAAAGCGCCATTTCGTTCTTATAAAAGCACGGGTGACCGCGATTGGCCCATATGTTGTACTCTTTTGGACGCTGAGTCGACTGGTTTTGGTCCGAAAAGGCTGCGATGCAGCGTTCCTCCTTCGAACATGGTTGAACAAGCGGTCGCGTGCTCCCGGGTGCCCAAATCACCTGGTCACCACGCCAGCAGGCGACAACTTTCACACCAAGGTTCAACTCGAGTTCAACTCGAGTGACAGGACTGCACCCAAAAAAGGTCAAACAGGCTAGTAAGTTGTACCCTGCAGGCACGGTCACCAGGTGACTGGTGTACGCAGGAGCACGTGACTGCTTGTTCAAACGTGTTCGATTGGGAATAAAGGAGGAACGCTGCATCGCAGCCTTTTCGGACCAAAACCAATCGACTCAGCGTCCAAAAGACTACAACATATGGGCCAATCGCGGTCATCCATGCTTTTATAAGAACGAAATGGTGCTTTTAGTGACATTTTGCATACAAATTCCCATCTAGTAGGGCGCAGTCACCCAGTTTCGGTGGAAGTGCGCGAGTTCGATTGGGATTCAAGTAGGAAGGGAGGGTCTCAGCTTCCTCGGACCACGACCATTCGACTCAGGACCCCGAAGACTACACCTTGTGAAATTTTAATTTTTGCCTTAATTTCCCCCTTAACTGGATAGCATCCATGACTGCAGGATTGTCACTATCACCACCATCACCATTACCGTAATCTCGTGTATGTCGCCATTTTCTTATTTTTCACTTTCTTTCGAACCTTATGCCTGATGCACACTAGGCCGATTTTTCGGCCGATGCTCCCGGCACCGACTCGGACATGAAATCGACCGACTTTGTCGGACGAGTCGGACTACCTGTTTTAATACACAACACACAATGGTGAGCGAATTCGCTCGTAGGCGCTAGGCCTGTCTGTGCCCACGCGTACACGTGGCACACAGCTGCGCTAGACCGCAGTAGACACCAGAGCGGAAATGAGATCGTTGTTACACGAGCATCCTTCCAAAGGTGTGAAAAAGTCTAGCGTCTAGTAGTGAGCCTGTGTAGCCAGTTCACAAGCTGCAACAGCTGTCTCTGCTGTCATGGTGAAAAGCTGTCACCGGTTGGTTGCAAGCACTAAAAATCAGCCGACTTTTCAGCCAAATATCGACTACAGTGAACTTCGCTTATAACGACACTCGGCGGGGTGTCAAAAAAGTGTCCTTATTCGTGAAGTGTCGTTATACCCGAAGTCTCATTATATGTATTACAGTTGGAAAGGACTTTGCTCTGGGCATGGAAATGCTGTCGTTATTCGCGAATTGTCGTTTTATCCGCAGTCGTTATAAACGAAGCTCACTGTAGTTGATACGTGTCCGAAAACTCATACGATAAGAAACTTGCCACAGATTTGTCGGAAACTTGTACGGCAACACCGTCCACACGGTGACACCAGGCGATTTTCGCGCCAATCTTGAGGACTTTTCCTACGATTCCATGTCGGCCGAAAAATCGGCCTAGTGGGAACCAGGCATTAGACCACCTCTGATTAAAACCTTACTTCAGTACATTCTTGTATTAAAAGGAATGGCACTGGCAAAGCCGCAGCAAGTATTGAGGTCAAAGTATAGAAGTTTAGTCTTTTTTTTCATTTCAGCTATTCCCTGTATTATCCTTGAAGAGAAGGGAACGAAAACGTTCGATACCTTATGTAACGTGTCTTCTGGACTGGATGCATGAAATTGCGTGGATACATGCAAACTTGACTTCGTCTAAGTATATAGTTTATACATGATGCATGGAGTAGGGTTAGCTGAACCCTCCAGACATGGCTTCACTGCTGTGGACTGACAGGCAAACTATTTACCCGAGAGGGTCTCAGGCATTGCTTCATTGCGGCGAAGGTATGGGTCACTCACAACATGTTTGCTGTGTTCACATCATCAGTAATGCTGTGATTGCTTTGATTTATTTTTGTTGTTAGATTTGAGCAAGTTCATATCTCAGTGTTCATCAGAGGGCAGCCAGGAGCATCTCAATGCATACTGTAGAGACTCTCCGCAGTGTAATGATTTATTTGCCGTCTTAGATAGAGATGGAAGTCAACAGCAGCCTACACCGAAAGAGGTATGCTTGTGAGCAGTGTGTCTGCTTGTGTGTATGAGTTCATTCCTTTAAGGTGTAAATATGCACGTGGGCGCATGCATGAAGAGGGCTTATGCTTTTCTGTTATCAACTGTTCCTACTAGCGCCTTTTATCTTTCGAGAGCCGAGAATGGTCAGTCCATTATACCACAGTAGATGTACCACTCAAGGCGCAGCAGTTCATACAGTGGTGGTATGCATGATAGCCAACGGTCTACATGTACTTCCTCCGCGCCACTGTAATTTGAAGTAGAAGTTGCAAAACTGACTTGAAATCTTCACTAATCCGAGTACTGGCAATGACATACATAGCAGCGACATATTCACACATACCCACCCACCCAGTCATATCCGCATCCTTTTTGGCTTCCTTTCTACATATTAATCACCCTAGAAAAACACTCACATAGTTATCATCTGTTGTCCGTCACCAACATGATTGGATGTGTGCTACTGAGCTTCGTAACGTGTGCTGTGTTGTGCTACACTACACCATGCTGTTATCGCTACCTTGTGTGAATTATTGCCAGTCACTTGATGTGTAGTGCCACCTGGAACCCCAGTGCTGTGCTGTGTTGTTACTTAGTATATTATTAGTCTTGGTATCCACGTTCTTCTCTTCATTCCTGATGATGCCCTCACTAGTGACATTTTGGAGGAGGTATTTGTACTGGTGTAGGCAAGAACTGGTGAAGAGAGTGAGGTGAATCTTTCTGCAAGTACACGTATGACAAGGCTACAATGGAGCTTCAAAGTTAAAAAGCGTTATAATTTACAAGTCTTGCACATGGATGGCAAAGCTACGTTGGGCAGCAATCACATGTTGTTCGTGATGTTGTGTCTTTCTTGTTCCATGTACTACTGCTGCTGTTGCTACTACTGCTGGTGCTGTTCAGCTTCAGCTAGTCTTTCAAGCCTTGGAGCATGTTCTGCTCTACACGGCCGCGCTGGCCAAGGATGCATCCTCCGGCTTGGCGGGGGTTGGCGCCTTACGAGCCGTTGGGCAGACAGTGGTCGCCAAGCTGCTTCAAAATCACATGAAAATGGTATGGTGAACGTAGTAACAATGCACTGGGTGTGCGATGATGAAGTGCGTACAGACTACTAGTACAAAGTGCGTACAAACCTGTAGGACAAACTGTGTGTTTCATGACATCTCACAATGACACCGTTTACTCAGTCTTTTGTAGTGTCAATATTGTTAGCAGCTCTACTATACATGTATACTGTGCTAGATCGAAATTCTTCTGTTTGATGACCAGATGATTGTTTATACACAGATTACACTCACGTCTGTTTTTAGGTGCCAATTCTTTTATCTGTTCCTCACGACCGAACCCTAGAGCATTCCTAGTTCTGTCAGGACGAATACTGTCTGAAATGCCTCTGAATTTATGGAAAAAGAAAGTGTACTTGAATGCAGCGTTGCATGAACTCATGGGGTCTGTTGCGTACTGAATTACAGATTTGGAGTCTGTGAATTGTAAGAGTGCAATGCACCATGTAACGAGGAACCAGGCTTAGCTGACACAAACAGTCTAGGCATTTTGATTAGGATCTGTGTAAGTTTGCAAGGAATGCATCATGCTATAGTGTACTATGATATCGTCCCTAGCCCCATCCTTTATGAACATGACATGAAGGCAATGCTGCCACCTATGCTGCTTGTTTGTTCTTTTTGTTAGATTTACCACTCCCTGAATACAGCGTCACCGTCGTACCTAGTTCGTAGTTGTCTAAAGTTACTGATTGCAGTCTGTGTACAAGGCAGTGAGAGTACAAGACAGCTATGTGGCGTACTCGATCTTGGCTTCAAGCCTCTCCAAATGTTGCCATCACGGCGAGACGCCAAGGTAAGAAACTCTGATCTGTGTGTATGGGGGGGGGGGGAGATAGATATATAGATAGATAGATAGATAGAGATAGAGATAGAGAGAGAGAGAGAGAGAGAGAGAGAGAGAGAGAGAGAGAGAGTGTGTGTGTGTGTGTGTGTGTGTGTGTGTGTGTGTGTGTGATTTTCATGGCTTTCTTTGTGCAGGTCATGAAACCGATGTACATGTTTCACTATTCTAGGACTGTATGTGCAGTTGTGCACATGTATCCACTGCAAACGCTGCTTGCATGCAGTCTTATGTTGTATAATGTCACCTTTATGTGTCTTCGTGTGTATGTATAGACATGTACATGTACATGTATGTGTGTGTGTGTGTGTGTGTGTGTGTGTGTGTGTGTGTGCGTGCGTGCATGTTTGTGTGTGTGTTCGTGTGTGTGCATGTTTGTGTGTTTGTGTGTGTGTGTGTGTGTGTGTGTGTGTGTGTGTGTGTGTGTGTGTGTGTGTGTGTGTGTGTGTGTGTGTGTGTGTGTGTGTGTGTGTGTGTGTGTGTGTGTGTGTGTGTGTGCATGAAGTCGGCAGATGACATTCGCGGTGCCTTTGTCAAGTTTTGCATTGCGTTATTGCTGTATGGCGATGCTGATATCATCCGAGTAGCCATGGAGTCCAAAGGTCAGCAGCTTGGCAATATCTGCACACCTTCCATCATTTTTGTATATCGTTTTGGGCTATTACCACAAGTGATCAACTTTGACCAGTCTCTTTTAGACAGAGTTTCTCCGTATCCCTGGAAGAATTTCCTTTCGGTGCACTGTACCCTGGGAATGTAAATGTCCACTAAGGTATAGGTAACATTGTTACATCCTGAATTGGCAGAACACCATCATATTTCATCAACTCCACACTTGTAAAATTTATTGACTTCTCCTAATGTTAGAGGCTGCTCTTCTTGCCAGCTGACTGATGAGTGCTGTGTGGGTCATGCTATCTCTATGTACACACTTGAAATGGTTGTTGTATCTCTGTGTTCATTCTGCAGTCCTGCTAAGTTCTTTGTTCAGGCTCCTGCCATCAGACCGTCCGTTGGTTGTGCATATGATGCTGTCAACCCTACTTGACAAGGTTAGTAGCTCTCTTATGCGAATAGTGCCTTCTCTTGAATAGTGCCACTCAAATAGCACCCCCACAGTTCACTGGCATGCTCACGTTTGTTTGAAGTTTTATGGCAACCGGCAAGTGCAGGGTCTTTGTATCAAAACTGACATAGTGCTCGCCAATATACTGGCGTCATTTAGCCTCTTTTTTCTTCTCGTTTCTCCCTCTGTCCATACACCCCTTGTCTACTATCTTAACCAAAAGCATGGGCCTCAGCAGCCACTTTGCCTGTGGTGCTGTTTGCAAGTGTGTAGTCTCGGGTGTCATTCTCCGGCCATTGAGTAGCATGTTGCCAATGAATATGCTGATGTGGCGATTGAAACCCGCACCCCGGATACACTTGCAGCGCTGGAGGCCACTCAGTATCTAAGTCCTGAGTGCACTTTCCAGCACACATACGTGAGGTCATGACAACCAGTCCGCGACTCTGGACGTGCACGTTGCTGCTATGGACCTCACTTGGCACAAGTGTAGTTTTGATGTTTGGTGTTGGTGTATGCTGTGCTTGCCCAGGTCTTGAAGAATCCATCCGTGACAAAGAAATCCAAACTTGAGTTCTTCAACAGCAATGTTTTGTTGCTGATTTCCAAGCTGTGCCAGCGCTTTCAGGACACATTATCCCAGGCATCCACGGACAGTGAGGATGGTAGTGAGGTCAAGCAAGTCACTGTGGCCAGCTTAGCAGCTGGTTTCCTGCATACTGTCTGCTGTTCCAGTGTGCACGGCATTGGATTTGCCAGCAAGTATCAAGCATCAGGAGAGTAAGTTGATTAGTTCAGTAGCTCTACTTACCGTGTCCACTGTAGTAGCATGTGTGTCTTTCAATTCTGCTTTACTGGAGAGGTTGCGCACAAGGAAAATTCGTTAGATTTCGACCGTCCGGGTTCGAGTAACGAAAGTTGCTCCGAAGATCCGTCCAAACGTGACCGAAACAGAGCAAATCTACAAAAATATTTTTCGTTCCCTGGAGTACTAAAATACTGATATTTTACAACTCCCTGTCTTGACTCTTCGTACCCGCGCGGCTGCCGCGTCGACCCACTACGAAAACGTTCACGCGTTGTGCGCAACCTCACGGTTTACGAATATCCGTTAGCTTTTTCGTTAAAAATATTCGTTACGGCGCTACGAATTTTCGTTGTGCGCAACCTCTCTACTACTGCACACATTGCTGTGGGATTGCCTCACTGGTGGCAGCCCATGCTTGACTGTGCTTGTGAGGTTCACTTGGTCGTATACCGTATTAGAGATGAGTAACCGTAAACCGGTTGGCAGAGTACGGTTTGCAGTCAGGATCACTGTTCTCAGCACAGTGTGTCCTCCGCCTTGTATCAAGCTGTCATCGTCAAACATGCTAACCCCTTAAGCAAGGCTTGCATATACCATGGATATACATGTATGTCCATCAGTGATTAGTAACTCTTGCGTTATGATCATCTGTTTTCCTTATTCTGTGTACTCGTAGGTGTAACAATCCGATTCTCCTGCGGTTCCTGACGAGCATTCACGTGACTGATCGCAATGCGTTGGTGGATGAGCTCATCATATCCACGCTGTCAACTTACCCTGACCTGCTGCACTCCTACTGGTCTGCTGCTGCGTTCAGTTTGGAGCCACGGCCAAGCCATGTGTGGCTCGGTAATGTCAAGCTAGCCATCAATGTAAGAGTCATTCATGGTTGTGTCCTTTGTTCAGATTCTCCCACCATTCACCATAGGTACAGTAAAACCTGGTTTAAGCGACCACCCTTACGGTGCAAGCAAAAACGGTCGTTAAAGCCAAGTGGTCTTTAGAACCAGGTCCCACAGTGTCTGTGTCGAACTGTCGGTGCATGGAAAACGGTCGTTAAGAGCAGGTGGTCGCTAAACCCAGAGGTCGCTTACACCAGGTTTTACTGTACAAGGACAACATGTTTGAGACGTACCCAAATGAGAAGGAGAGTGGTTTGGCTTGACTTTGGGCAAGTGAAATCCTGCTGTGGACTTGCGCTTGCCCAATGCATATGTTGTAACTTGTAGAAGTACATGTACCTGGGTTTCTTCTCGGAATGTTGAACGGTCTTTGGTGCTCCTGGAAAGTTGGCATGGGTGGATCCAGGGGGTGGGCCAGGTATTATACTGGTATGCTACATGTATGTATGTACGGCCCGGGGCCACAATATCCTTCATGGAACTATTCACCAACAGCTTGTTTGTGCTCACTGATGTTGTGCCGGTAATGACTTGCTATTGCCACTGTTCTGTAGCGTAGAAGATGACCTGGATCGTTAGTCTTTGCTGGATGTGGGCTGCATACGTTTGTGTTCTATATCACTGTCTGTGTTGCTAGGTGCTGGAATCGGTTGAATGTCCTCCATTGTCCTTGGTCTCAGCAGCATCTAGTGCAGCATCTGACGATCTTCTATCTGCCAAGAGTATATTTGTGGATGCACCAACCTCATCCCTTGATGACATGCCAGTGGAAATGAGCAGTGCTACACCTTGGCAGCTGCTTGGTACACTGGTACCGTCATCTCTGACATCCACTATGATCGGCCATGGCATGCAGCACTCCAACGGGTTTGTCAAGCTATCCACACTGCAACTGCAGGCACTGGTGCTGCGGCGTGCAGACCGCTTCTTGGTCTGGTGTCGCAGTGCGTCACAGCAGTTTCTGCACAATGGCAAGGTGAATGTGTCATCCACCAGCCTGTCCAGTAAAGACATTGATCTTGTTGCAAGTGCAGTGCACGACGCTGTTACTCAGCTTGTGCCCAATATCAATGTCTTAACTGCAGTCTGCCAACAAGTGCTGAACAGTTTTAATGCACCGGTTGATGCTGCTAGCCTGCAACTTGACAGCACCAATGGTAGGTAGGAGGAGGGGAGGATTTTCATGTACACCCTGTACTGTATACATTGTGTTGGGCACATGGCCAGTTCTCCACAGTACTACTGCACAGCTATTTCTGTGGTATTTGTGTCTTTGGGACCAATAGGTACACTTGTTCTCTGCTACTCACTTTCCTTTGGCACAGAGCCCTCACAGCTGATATGAAAAAGACTCCATGGTGTTTGCTGTTTCTTTGTCTTATGTTGTGACTGGTGCTAGTAACTATGGCTTGGTTGTTCTAGTACTTGCAGTATGTACTGTCATCAACTGGGGGTAGGCTATATTACAGAAACAACCATATTCCCTCTTTTTGCAAACCCTGTGTGATGTACCATTGCGCATCTATTCCACACTTTGCAACCACATCCGGCGCTGGGGATATTTCAAGCGAAAGCGTCCTGGTAGCATGCTGTGTTATGGCATGTGATGAGGTTGGTCAGTTTGCATGCATACATGTATTATGCTCTCTGTGTGGCTCTTCTCTATCTTGCAGGTCAATCTCCACCAGAGTTTAGCCATTCAGACCTGCTGTCGGCAATACTGGAGTGCTTAGTTAGTTATCATTCCTTGGTACCATCATGCTTCATTCAGGTATGTCTCAAACTATCACACTCATGCACACCCATGCACACCAAGTCTTGTACCTATTTGTTCACTACCAGAAACTGGTCACATAGGTCTACTACATCTAGCTGGGGGGATTCAGAAGGAATCTAGATGAGACACTCAGTTGCCCAACGGCTGACACTCCCGGTCCCCCCCCCCCCCCCCACACACACACACCCCGCCCCAACCCCGCACACATAGACACACCTGATGGTGAACATGCGAGTACGTTGTACAGTAGAACTCCCCTTATCAAGGCACATCGAGACCATGCACTGCCTGCAACTAACGAAAGTTTGTACTGTTACAGTATAGTGACAGCAGCCGGAGTGAGCAGATATCCGTGTTGTGCCGCTTCTGTGCAATGGCGTGTGACTGGATAACGTTTCTAAACTTGAGTCTTGAGTTGCTATTGTTTATTTGATAACCTACGTTTTGTACCCTATACCAACACTCGTCCATTAGGGATGTAACTCGTCTCCTTTGCTGACCTAGTGGCCAGCATGACTTTGCATGGCTTGGACTGCTGTGGACTGCTGCAGACTGGTGTGTGCCCTGCTACGTGCCCTGGCCTGTGCCATACCCTATGTTGATGTATGCTTGGTATCTGAACTGGTGTATGGTGTATGCCCTGTGTGCCTGCTACGTGTTGCCTGTGTTGGTGTGTGCTTGGTGTCTGTCTCTTGGTGTATGATGTGTTCCCTGTGTTGACGTGCACCTGGTGTGTTCCCTGTGTTCACGTGTGCCTGGTGTATGCCTGGGGTGTGCACTGCGTTGACGTGTGTATGGTGTGCGTTCTGGTCACATTGCTCAGACAGGATACGATCTCTGTAAGCTGCTTGCACCCGTATCATTGACTGGAGAAGCAGGACCAGCTTCTGAACTACAATCATTTCTGTCCCTGCCCTTCCACATTCAAGCGCTGATCATGCAACTTCTGCTTCAAGCAGCTCCTAATTCCATACAATGGCACAAGCCAGTAAGTCCAATTTGTGACGTTTCTTCAGCATTGCTTTCTGATGTGGTGCAGAAAGCTGCAATTGAGTTAGGCTGCCAGTTCACATGATCTAATTGGCACTTACATGTGCACGGAATTGTGGGCTTCCATGCTCCGCACCCTCATATTTCTATATGCCATCTACCGGTACTTGTACAAATATACAGATGCACTGTGTTGTGCATCCACGTGTGCCTTTGGTTTGAATTTAGATGGCTAAAATGAGCTTTTCCCCGCTGAACGTCATCATCAAGTCCTACATTGGTGCGCTAATTGCATCATCCAGTGAGAGCGAAGATGAGAGTGTCGACTCAGCCGCAGGGGACTGTTTGTCTACTGCTGAACGCTTACTGATCAAGGTAACAGCTGCCCCTTAGTACAGTCTGTATCGGCTATAGCGTACCCTTTTGATTTCCGTGATTTTATCACTATAACCGATGCATCACTATATGCGATACGATAGATTTTTTTCTCTTTTTTTCGATCGACAAATGAAAGGCAAGGAAATACTTCCAGCATGGCGTTTTGACAAATGAGCATGCTGCATAGTTGACAGTGCCCGCATTTCCATAAAAAATTCTGTTATATACATGTACATGTATCACTATAAAAATAAGCAACGTGAAGAAAGTAAAAAAAATAGGGCCTTTGATATTATTGCTACATGTATTTTAAAGTTATCACTATAGCCGATAATAAGTGTGTTATGCATGTTTAGATTCTTTGTTACCATCATAATATCCGATATATCATTACATCCGATAATATTGGTTATAGTGATATTTTTACTGGATAAAATACGTTTTGCTTTTGATATTTCGTACCAATATCACTGTAGCCGGTATATTCTTATATCCGGTCACTCTATAGCCGATACAGACTGTATGTATGTGTGTGTGTGTGTGTGTGTGTGTGTGTGTGTGTGTGTGTGTGTGTGTGTGTGTGTGTGTGTGTGTGTGTGTGTGTGTGTGTGTGTGTGTGTGTGTGTGTGTGTGTGTGTGTGTGTGTGTGTGTGTGTGTGTGTGTGTGTGTGTGTGTGTGTGTGTGTGTGTGTGTGTGTGTGTGTGTGTGTGTGTGTGTGTGTGTGTGTGTGTGTGTGTGTGTGTGTGTGTGTGTGTGTGTGTGTGTGTGTGTGTGTGTGTGTGTGTGTGTGTGTGTGTGTGTGTGTGTGTGTGTGTGTGTGTGTGTGTGTGTGTGTGTGTGTGTGTGTGTGTGTGTGTGTGTGTGTGTGTGTGTGTGTGTGTGTTATGTCATTTCACTGAGTACCATGATTAATTTTGTCATCTCGATCCGTCTTTTTTATTTTTTTACATGCCATGCCTGTATAGCTTAACCAAGCCGAATGCAATGTATGTACCTCTTGTGGCCCGATTTATAAGCCTATTGTAGTCTGAGGAGGCTGTGCTCTTTCTGCTGCTTTGTGCTCACAGTTGACGCGTGAAACCGAAGTTGTTGGCAATGGGGAGGTCAGTGATTGGCTGCGAGCCATTCGTCACCTTCACTCGGATGGCTGCCCCGCGGAAGATCTCATTGCTCTCATTGAACAGACCGAGAGCGTGTTCTGTGGCCTTGTGTCTAAACCACACACCGCCACAACACTGTGGTCTGACTTCACCACCGCCATTAGCTATGAAGCCAGCGTGCCATCTGACGAGCCGCTTTTGAGCGTGGAAGAAATCCTCCGTAATCCAATGTGTACGCAACGCCTCACCGCTCCCAGCCTTGTGGCTGACTGCAACGTGGAGTTAAATTGTTCTTTGTTACTTCTTGCTCTGGATAGGTTAAGTACTAGTGATGCTGCCCATCAGCAATCTGTTTGTTTGAACTTTGTTCTCAAGTACATTCCCCTGTGCTTGGCAAGAGCCGATGAACCCAAACTTGTCTCCAAGTATGTCAAGCATTTCTCACAATCCGCCCAATTTAGCAATGGAGTTGTTATGAAGAAGTTGCTCCGTGTTACTCGTGAGACTTCATCAACTTTGGGATCGTCAATGCCAGGCGAAACAGAAAGCGAGGATGTGGAGGAGAAGATGGATGTCGATGAAACACGCAATGGTGACAGTGCGGGTGAGGTAAGTTTCTTTTCTCTGGCAGCATTTGTAGACATGAGTCAGAGACATAGCTAGCAATCGCCTTAGCTGTTTGTATTTTTGTAGTACATGTACTCTCTGTATAACATTTCTGCTGCGGTTTTGACAGCAACTCTACTACTTCGAAGTATACCAAGTATGCCGAGCCTCTGAAAATCATGTGAAATGTCTATGCCATTTGGCAAAGATGGGAAGATCTTGGGCATGATAGATAAAGCTCATATAATGGGAATGGGCAGTCAACAGAGAGCTTATCTGTAAATTTAGCCCCACTCTGAATCTATCCATTGCCCTTGGGATGGGCAGAAACATATTTATCTCATGTAGCTCGCCCCCAAAGTTGCCAGTACTATCTTGCTGATAATTTCCTTATTCAGATAATTCTTCTTTGCTGTATTTCATTGTCTTTGATATAGGACGACGACACTGTGTCTGCTTTGAAGCTCAAGTATCGTCCCAAGAAAGATAATTGGAGCGACTTTGTGTCAAATACACTTGAGTAAGGCGCGCCTCTCTGTGTTTCTCTTTACCTTGGGCTCTTTGCTGTGCCAATATACATTACAGTGTACCCGGAGTTATGTTTTCTATGTCCTCATGCATCGGAGGTTTGAAATTCACAGTGCTTGCCACATTGTAGAAGTTCTCGGCATCCACTTAGTGTAACATTTAGAGATGTGGCACTTACTAATGGGTAATTGCTTGTTCTGTTTCCAACCTCTCCGGCAGGTGTCATTTTGGTCATCCTGCAGCCTTCCTTTACCTTGCAGAGCTTGTTCCACAAGTGTACCAAGCTAACAGTCCCAGCCAAGCACTGGCACAACTTCCCCTCGACAAGATGCATCAGATGCTCATGAGCCACTCACTGTTTCTGGAAACACTGCTTGTGAGCAGCCCATCCCCTGCTCAGCCAGTGGAAAATGGTGCTGCTGCTAACTCAGATGAGTGTCGTGAAGCACAGCAGAAGCTGAAAGTGAAAGGTATGATCCTGCAAACCCTGCTTTGCATGTCTGTGCATGTTATCCATTAGTGCATGATACTGCCGCATCATTCTCTTCACTGTTTCGTCGGATCACCCAGAGATTGTTGGTTAATGGCAGTGATTGAAACAGGAGGCTACTAAATGAGTAGCGAGCAGCAATGTATGATGTGTACTGACAGCGTTGATAGTTCTGATCTTCCATGTGACCAATGCAGTGGTGCAGATGCACTGCTGAGCATGACATACATGTATATGCTACATATAGTAGTGTAGTTTGTAAAGAAGTATGGTGCTGGTACTGGGTACTGGTAGTGGTAACACTAGGTCAGGAATTGTCCTGGAGGCAGGCAGCTCCCTGTCGTACTAAGTTAGACTCCACTGTATGCAGATCCACTGTTTGCATACGTTTGGTCCATGCTGTGCTGTTGCGCAATCTATTCTCTGCTCAGATGCGTTGGTCACCTTGTTACTGGCAATCGTACAGGCTGGATCCAGTGCATGTACACAAGCACACATCACAGTATTTCTGGCGGCGTATTCTCCCTATCTCACAGCAACCGGTCAGTACTGCGCAGGCGACATGCCCTCCCTTCTATTCACACCGCATCAACACTGGTCTTGTGTTTTGCTACACGTTGGTCTTGATTTTGTATTGTGATGGTGTAGAGTGGCACTGCTGGAGAAGAATTGATTATCTATGACACTCTCAGCATCTTTACCATTCAACTGTAGTCAGTCCATGTTGCTCGGTATCTTACTACATGTATGTGCTAGTAGGTATGCTGGCATCTTTTAGGAACAGACTCCTGGATGGGTATGGTTGTCTGTACCCAGTACTCTGTTATTGGTACTGAAATAATTGTATCAGTTCTGCCTGCACTACCAACAGTGCATCCCTGTAGTGATTAGTGAATACATGACATGTATATTGTGTTCCCTGTGCTTTGCTCTTCTGCAGATTCTAAGCTCTTGAAAATACTACATCTGTATGAAAAATCCTTCTCGTTATCAAGTGTGCGGTAAGTTCGGCCAACTCCCTCTCAGGTTCTATCCTCTTTGATATTGCTAATAATTACTCTAGCATGCCTGGTGTTGGCCTGGTTTGTTTCTATGTTGATACTGGTATCTGAAGATTGGGAGTGGTTATACAGTGTAGTGTGTTGTGTAGTCATTGGGTGTATTGGAACGTACATCAGCTACAGTCATGCACTATACGACTGTGATGGTGTGTGTTGTCGATTGCCGTCATACCATGTGGCACTGTAGTGTGCATCTGATCTTTGTGTTGCTGCTTGTGTGTTCCTTCCTGTCCACCGCCACCACTCCTACACTACAACCACCACCACCGCCGCCGGCATTGTGTAGAATGTCACTGTGGGGTGACACAGCCCTAGCATATCTGCGTAGCAAAGCAACGCAGGGTGACGACGCTAGCCTGACGACACTGTGGACGGAAGGCTGCATGGACCGCGTGTTGCAGCTGCTGGATAGAGCAACGCTGCTGCAGAGTATTCTACATATACCGCTGGATATTTGCGAGTGTGTAAGTCAGTCAGCAGGTGTATTGCAGTTCATGTACGATGTAGATAGCTGTACCTGTACATCAGGAAAACATTGTCGACTTTGTGCGGTTATGACCAGTGAACAAAACACCCAGACAGACAGACAGACAGAAGGACAGAGACAGACAGAAGGACAGAGACAGACAGACAGACAGACAGACAGACACAGACAGGCAGACGGATACAGATACAAAGACAAAGATAGAGACTACACTGCAGTCATGTGCGAACCGTAGTGTTTTGTTACCATGGAGTTGCAGTAGAAGTACTAGTACTGCTACAGTCTGTGTCTATGTGTTGCTGAGCTGCATTATACACCACTGCTGTGATGTGTAGCTTACTGCTTTCTTTGCTGTATGGACCTGGCATGATTGCGGGTTTTTGTAGTTTCCATGAAGCCATGCATAGTACACAATAGTGTGTACAGACAATGGTATCAATGTTCATATTGCTATATGTGTTACCTCTGTGTGTGCAGGTGGAGGCTGGCACGTTCCCTGCTGTGCCCGGATGCAATGTTTATGACCCGCGCTTCTTACTGCCACTGTTTGCTGAAAGCTTGAAGCCAGGTGTGTATTAGCGCATGCACGTCGCTCTGGTTTTGGTATGTGTGGGTCTGTATGCAGGGTCATATTCTTAGCCGCATATTGTATGTACATTGTACCTGCGCAGGCTACAGCTTCCAGTACCTGTAATGTGTAATGTGAGATACATGTACATGTACTTCAAGTATCACGTTGATGTGCACTTGAGTTGAAGCACTATTATTGTAGAATTTGTTGTGTCTACTTTTGAACCATAATTATTGGTGTTCTTCTGTGATTTCTAGGCTTTGTCGTGAACTGCCAGCGGTTTGTCGACAGTGGTGCACTGAGCTTTTGCCTGGGATGCCTGGCTTCATTGGATGTCAGTGTGCGTGCTGCCGCATACCTTGCTCTGATTCTGTTTGCTGATCACCTGGAATCAGATCACACGTTCAGAGAGAGATATCAGGTAGGAACAATCAGGGGATGCTGATTTGAATTCTATTCCTGTGCCACTTCCAATGCACTTTGCTTGCGGAGCCGGTTAACCCTTTACCTTCTGTGTGTACATGAATCGACCGAATTTGGTCGATGGACATGCAGCCACTAAAACATTCGTAACTGGATCAATTCTTGACGGAATCTCAAAAACTAAATATGTAGGAAGACGCCGAAGAGCCCAGCTGTTCATTGCAACAATCGGCGAAGAGCTGCGATGCCACATTCCAAAGATATCGCGCTCGACATTTCAGCCACTGCAAAAGTCGATTTTTTTCTGAGTGACTGGCCTTGAGCTGGGGATTTTCCCTCTCCTGACATGCTGAGTCACCTGTGCATGTTTTGAGCGCGTGGGCAGCATAAAAAGAAACCCAGGACAACAAATTTGAAATGTTTACGATGAAGGAGTGAGAAATGGCTGACGAGGAGAGAATTTTCTCGGATACCCAGCGATGGGGAGTATTTGAAGCACCCTGGTGTTAGATATGTGATCTGAGTAGTGTCCAGTTTGAGCTCATTGTACGCAGCTCCTGGAGAGCTTTCCAGAATGCCCAAGAGTGTGAAAATCGGTTGATTATAACGAAAGATATTCTCAGAATGAGGTGAGAAATATCGCATTTGGAACTGCCTGAGAATTATGGTCAGAAGGTAAAGGGTTAATGTTTTTAAAGCATTGAGCAATGCAGTACATTTCCAATTGTCTATGCAGTATACACACTGTGTACCATTGCCTCTAGTTTTCCTGATTGTCACTGCTGGCATGGATGCGACCCTTTTGACGGCTGCTCTCTCTCTCTCTCTCTCTCTCTCTCTCTCTCTCTCTCTCTCTGTTCAGATTTCCACACTGCTGGGCAATCTGCGCAATGCGGTGGTTGAGGATTGCCAGCGTCTGCCGTTTGTCATCACTCTCTTCTTGAGCAAAGCCGCCATCCAATTCCTTCATCCAGGTATGTGTATGGTAGTGGAGCTAGTGGTACATGAAATAGTTGTAAGGTTCACAGCAGCCTGTGCCTTGTAGGAGATCTAGCCACCATGTACCTAACTCATGTACCTAACTCCTGTACCTTACTCGATGTTGCTGAGCACTGCCATGCTACGGCGGCACTAGAAACGCTGAGTTGTGCATTTGAATACGATTCGGTGGATTATACCATTTTTAAGAATCAGTGTGCGACATACTGTCGTATCTTACATTTTTGTATGTCAGAGTTTGGGCCTATGGATTCAAGCGTTTACCACCGTGCCCCACTGGGGGCTTATCCTTCTTGGGTGGAAATTGCCTTGTAAGCAAATCAGGTCGGTCTGCAAGTCAGAAACTATATAGGACATACGCTATTTGTGTAGGTGTACATTGTTTACAAGTGCTGTGTACCTGGTTCTGTTTTCTTGTAATTTTTTCCTGCACTGCCTGCCTGCACTCAGAGCACTGGATATACCCTATGGTGAACAGCTTCTTCCTGCAGCGGCCTATTCTGGATGTGGCTGACCTGCCATTGTTCTACAATCTCTTCAACAGCACTGCTATGCAGGTCAGTTGTATTCCTTCTTCGTGATGATGATGCTGCTGCTGCTGCTGCTGTTGGTGTTGGTGTTGCTGCTGGTGCTAGTGCTCCTGCCTGTGTATGTGTCCCAGGTGCAGCTATATCCTACATTGTCAAAGGTCTCAGGGTGCTATCGTGTGCCAACTGCAGATTTATGTTGGAACGTGCACTTCAGCACTTCAAGTAGCTCAGGTCCATCCTGTTGCAGCTACGTTGCAATATGTCATGACGGGATGACGTAAAATTAATACAGTTGCAAAACTGCAAAAAAACGTGTAACCCCATTTGCACGCTGCGTTTGGATTTTGTTATACAGCACCATAGAGTGATCTCCGATCCGCCCCATAGTCACAGCAGAAGGGAACAAAGAGGTGTGTCACTCTGGTGGGATTTTCTGTGATGGCAAATTCCTAGATTGTCATAGCTGGTGCAGATATGCGGTGGGATGTGGTGTAGTGCGTACAGCTGAGCTGCAGTTGTACAGCAGGAGACCTGCTTGAAAATCCTGCTTGTACGCACTGCATCACTAAATTGGAAATTCGTATTATTTATTGGCTCTTTAGTAGTGCTCATGGAGTCGCTTTTTGATTTGTCGTTGTTCAGTACAAACGAGAGCGCAACTGGATGATTCAGTTGCTTACAGAAGGTCTACGCCATGTGACCGATCTGCACCTGTACCAGCGACGTCATGTCCTGGAATTGATGATGTCATTCTACCTGTCCAGTACATGTGACACTCGATGCAAGGTAGGTGTACAAGTGCTTGTTACTTAGTAACCACATGATGTGCATGGGGATTGGGGAGCCTGGAAGAGCAGGCTGAATAGTAGGAAGTAGTACTGTATCTCTTACCGTTGCCTTGCAATCTGGAAAGTATAACAATAGCACATAGATCTGTGCCTCTCCCGGGGGCCGGGGGTCTTCTACACCAAGTGTTGTGCTGTTGGTATCTGTAAATTTGAACATAACGCTGGTGGTGTCTTGGACATGTAGAACAATTCCCACAGCCTTTTCGCTAAACAAGTGTAATAGCTGGCCCCGGAGGCAATCACACTCACTCAAGTCAAACACTCACGTCGTAGTTTACCAGTAGTTACCAGGAAAGAAATATTATACACACTTGGAATGCAAAGAGGTAGAAAGGCAACAAGAAAGAAGAAAGCAAGGGAACAAAAATCCGGCAACCGGCAGCCATGTTTTAGGTCATTAACCAATAAGCAATCTACGAAAACCAGTTGCCGACGAAATTCTAGAAACATTAGTATAATTAGCCAATCACAGTTCACAGCTCTGGAACATTCTGGAACATTAATACTAGCAGCCAATCACAGTTCACAACAGACAGTCATACGGGTAAAGTGGGGAAATTCGGGTTTAGCCATACCCGACTCATACATTACTCACGAGCGACTCACGGAAAGGGTAATAACAAGAGTACATAACCCCCCAGAGTGTGCAACGCCTGATCCAGTTCTGCATAGGGTCTTGGTCGAGCGTAATCGGATCTTTGCGTCATAATACCGTACACATTTGAGGGGAACCCAGGGAGTCGCGGGTACTCTCGGATCAAGAACAACGGTGACCTGCCTCGAGACCGGCCTTGCGCTGGTGTGAAGTGTACGCATGACATCAGAAGATCCGACTACTGTAAAAGCCATATATATAACGAAGTGCTAACTCTAACGAGTTAACGAGGAGAAATCTGTCGTTAAAATAGAAATCGTTATACAGAAATCGATACATATACTGTCCTATTGAGCGTTGATAATGAGTGAAAATCGTTACCTTTGGTACACGTAAACTAGTCAATTTTGGGAAATCGTTATATATGCGCCTCGTTAGAATAATGGCTTTTACAGTACGCTCGACCAAGACCCTATGCAGAGCTGGATCAGGCGTTGCACACTCTGGGGGGGGGGGGTTACTCTTGGTAACATCAAGAGTACATAACCCCCCAGAGTGTGCAACGCCGATCCAGCTCTGTGTAGGGTCTTGGTCGAGCGGAATCGGATCTTCTGATGTCATGCGTACACTTCACACCAGCGCAAGGCCGGTCTCGAGGCAGGGCACCATTGTTTTTGATCCAAGAGCACCCGCGACTCCCCAGGTTCCCCTCAGATGTGTACGGTATTATGACGCAAAGATCCGATTCCGCTCGACCAAGACCCTATGCAGAGCTGGTTCAGGCGTTGCACACTCTGGGGGGTTATGTACTCTTGGTAACATGCAGATACAAAATAAGCAAGGAGAGAAAAAATGTAACTAACTGCCCATCTTGGGGTTCGAACCTAGGAATCTGCATCCACACAAGCTCTACAAATAAATACTCCTTCACTGCGAAAAATATACTTTCTATCAAAATGCAACTCCTACACGTATACACAAGTACCTGCCATTTTAGTCCAATGTGGGTTTTTTTCTCTTTTCTCCCTGTTTGTGTGTTGTTTGAAGGATTTGGTGTGCAAGCTGCTACGGCAAGGCTGCCAATTGGAGCCGTGTCGTCGCCTTTTGCTCTCTAACCTTGGCCTCGTGCCCTGGCTTTCCCATGCTATTACACTGGCTATGTACAGGTAAGCAGGTCGGCATGTGTACTACGCGCACTGCGAAATGAAATCCGATCGAGTCACTCAAGTACTCGCCGGGCGTTGCGCAGTCAACACTGGGCTGCAAAATACGCAAACTTGACTCGCGCGATCGGATTCCATTGAGCAGCATTGTAATACAACTGCTACTTCTGGTGTGATGGGTGCTGCCTGCTACTGAATTCTGCTTTTTAACAACAATACAGATGACTTGTTTCACGTAGTGATAGATGTAGTGGATAAACCAGTCCTTGGGAAATCACTCTGCATAGAGTGTCCTGGGTATTGCCCGGCGGAATCGGTGTGAGAATTACATGCTGTTCTTGGAAGGGGTCACATTTCAATTTGTCCTTTTTTGCACTAAATTTTGAAAGCAGCGGAAAGTACTGCGCATATTAAAGATGGGATTTCAGTACGGTCTTCAAAAAAATGAAGAGTGGTTCATACAGCAGAGCTTTCTTTTGGTCTGAGTATTGTTTTCCTGTGTTGTTCAATTGTATGCTCTCTCTCTCTCTCTCTCTCTCTCTCTCTCTCTCTCTCTCTCTCTCTCTCTCTTTTGTTGGCCATTTCTTCATGAGCAGTTCTAGTGAGCAGCAGCAGCAGCATAGTGTGATGTTAGTGTCCTTTGCTGAAGAGGTGCTTGCAACACTCGGCCAGTCATCAGCAGTGGCAGCAGTGTCCCACCCGTCATCATCCTCTTCGTCTCAGGTCAGCACAGAGCAGTGTCAGCGTGTGCTGGACTCCTTGCGATCTGTTTCGCTTGCAGTGCCGTCATCATAGGACGGCGGTGTGGCTGTCGACATGTCCCTCCCGGATGGAACACAGCGGTGTCACTGTTTTGTATTATTTGAGTATATAGCAACAGACTTTGGAGATTGCACCATTCTTTGTACATATCTGTAAATGCGCCGCGAATCCTTGGTTGGACCCATGGCATGTGGGGTGCCCTCTGTTGGAATATTTATATTCTCGCTTGTCATGAAACGTCCCTCTGGCCCTGTATGATATCAAACCCCCATGTTGATCTTGATGGTTCACTGTACATGTAAATAATTATTCTTTCGCGATTTCGAAATGGATTGGGAGGACTTCAAATTCTTCCAAGATTATAATATTACCGAGTAGAGAGTATGTACTCGGGTGAAACTGATGTTCTGTTTCTCTGCTTGTGCATGTACGGTATGCGAGATACCCGTCCTCAGAATTTCAAACATTTCAGCATGGAATTTACAGACAGAAGAACGAGCAATTGTTTTTCGTAACTCTGAGTTTCACGAACTGAATCAATCATCAGACGAAAATAGAAGCATGGAATTTAAAATGACAATCAGGTTTAGTGTGGGTTTGCAGGTAATAGCTGTTCTCATGCCCACAAGGTCCCTTGCAGAATTGTAGCAGAATTTACTGTCTACTGTTTTAGCCGCTGACGTTCTCACACTTTGCCGTGGAATTCAAGGGAGACTGGGCAGGCCTTTCATACAAGAGAGACAACATGGCACTTAATCTTTGCCATGCCAATGAGAATAGGGCGTTACATTGAGATTAAGATAAGCTGCCGGGAAGGCCTTTCCATGCTACATGACAGCTACACGTGTCAATGAATAGGATTGACTAAGCAGGGTGGATGATGCTGGCACTTAGTTTGGTAGGTTGCGCTCTCCGTCTGTCCTTAGCTCCAAAGTAACCCTGTTCAATATGCTGCTCGTGTACCGTACAGCAGCGGGATGGCTGGAATCCGTCCTTGGATCAGTCCTGGAAGCTGTTAATGGAAGCACTGCACATGTGCCCTTTAGCAGATAAGAACACTACTAAGTCTTGGTGATGGGTAGCAGCAAGGCTGTGTACAGGTAAAACTGACTGCTGCTCACAGCGTACGTAAGTCACAGTGCTGGTCACAGTGCTGGTCACACTGAACAGTATCTTCTCCATGAGCATGCCATTGTCTCTATGCTCGTTCACCTTGGAGTTGAGAGTAAAGGATCAGTTGGTGATGGCGGGTAGGAGTACTTCACTGTGACGGTGTACTCCTCCTGTGCTTGCTTGATCTCCTTCTCTAGTCGCTTTGCCACTTGATCGGGAGTGTTCATGTGTGCCTCCAGTGCTGTCTGCTCGCGCTCCTTGAACTCTTCCAGCACGCCTTCATTCAGAAAGTCCACAGGAAACTGCTTCCTCACAAATTCATGGTATATGTCTCGCAACTGGAATAAGACAGAGCACACACACACACACATGCACGCACCCCCCCCCCCCCCACACACACACGTACACACACACACGTACACACATGCACGCACCCCCCCCCCACACACACACGTACACACACACACGTACACACACGGACGCACGTACACACCCGTAACACAGTACATTGCTTAGTTTGTTCACAGAGGGTTCAGTACCTGGTGGACAGAGCTTCCTTCCACAGAAGGTGGGATGAGGTTGTAAAGCAAATTGGTGTTTCACATGAAATAGAGTTCCAGGCAACACTACAAGCAATAGCAGCTCTACAATAGTCCTGGTAGTGTTGCCTCTCGATAGTACTTGTGCATCAAACTTCAAGATTCAACTAAACCTTGTTCTGCTTTCTGTGCACACGTACACACAATGACATGATACAAGTACATTTGTCCTGCTTGTAGCAAGAGTACAAGTCATGTACATAAACCAGTGTGTGCAACTCTGGGAGAATGAGCTCACGGTGAAGTTTTATGTTTAGGTCATAGGTCGCCTTTGCTGCGTTTTCATATTGGTGGACATGATCATTGTGACCATACCACCAATGCAAATCCTGTTCTGCATTGCTGCTTGTTATACAAAGGGTTAAAACGCACCTGAATCTCCCATTATCACCTTAGTGATACGGTGATTTAGCACTGAACCTACGGCATGACGGGTTGTCTATTATTCATGATGACCTAAACAAAGAACTTCGCTATGGGATTGGGTTTACACAGCATGGGATTGGGTTTACACAGCATGGGATTGGGTTTACACAGCATGGGATTGGGTTTACACAGCATACATGTAGATGTGGAGGTGCACACTCCGGTTTATGTACTCTTGCTTGTAGGCAGGGGCACTGTCTTTCTCAGTAGGTGCTCCGCCTTGTCAACCCCACCATGCAGGCAGTGTATCCCACTCTGTACTTGTCGTACTGCACAGTTACTTGCACATGGATGGATAGTGTATGTGCTGTGAGTGGACATGGAGTGTGTATGTCCAACACGACACCACAAGTCCGCAATAGAACAAGCGGCTAACATGTGTTGTTACTCTTGAGTTTCCTGGCTAATTTACTGTCATTGCTAACTTGTGTCATTTGGCTCCGTCCTCGCGGTATCGAGCACCTTTGCAAGTGTTTAGCAACTTAGCTTGTGTCCAATACAATATACGTGTAAGTTACAACTTGTGTATGTGTGTGCATGCGTGTGTGTGTGTATGTGTGTGGGGGGGGGGGGGGTGCTTACCCATTTCAGGTCGTCGGCAAACTTGTCGGTTTCTATAAATATTGTGTACCATACAACTGCATACAGAACACAAAGATGCAAATTGCAAAGTTAGCACACGTACAACACACACTCGCACGCACACACACACATACACACACACATACACACTCGCATGCACGCACACACACACATACACATGCGTACACATGTATACACGACCCCAGATAGTCTGCATCAGCGGCTGATGCTGCAAATCTACCACTACTAAGTGGCGAGAAACGAAGGCCACTAGAGTGCCCAGTGTTGCACACTCCTGCTGGGAGGATACCGTTCTCACCCAATTAGAAGCCCCTCTCAAATAGTACCCCCTCTCCCCCCCCCCCCCCTGCAATGACCATTTGAAAAAACCGACTGTAGAACAGTTAATTTTAGCAGGTAAAATATTCAGCGTTTTCTGAATCTGGACCAATTCACGATGAAATATTTGAGCGATCCGAGTCGCAACCACTACTTTGATCCGAGTTTCAGAGTAAAAACAAGAGGACTAGTACTGTACATGCAAAATATCGTTTAGCGTTTAGCGTGGCAAAACTTTAGCAAAACACTCCTTTCGCTAAAATATCACCAGCATTAAAATTAGCCGTTCTACAGTAAACAAGCCCCTCTCAAATAGAAGCGCAGACTATTATTCGCAAAGCATGGGGTGACCAGGCAGTGACTATGGTTACTTCTACGGTAAGGCCAAGTGCATACAACACATCTCTTGCATGCACATGCATGTGCATACCGCAGGCCATGTTGAGGTCAGCGCAGTGCGTGTGAACTAAATCGAGGCAGAGTTGCTATGAATACAAACACTTTAGAGATTTGATTGGAATGCCCGCATGGATAGAAATAATAAAGCCCCTCTCGAATAGAAGCCTCCTCAAAATTGGCATTAATTATAAATAGAAGCCCCCACCTTTTAATCGAGTGAGTACGGTTTACTCGTGGTAATTTGCATGCCTGTGACTTACCCATAAGAGTGCAGAAAATCAGACCTGCCAGAATTCTCATATGAAGAAAGTGTTCAACTGGGTTTTTGTTCAGGAATGGAGGTAAGTTCTTCAAGTCTATTTCATCCGGAATGTAGAAAATCTGCTCGCTCTTCAGCATTTGCCTCTGTTCAGTTGTGATCGGTATCTGACGATTGTGGACAATTTTGTCTTGTGTAAAGTATGGATCATCCACTTGCACAATGGAACTGCGTCTCTGCCTCACAGGTCTGAACGTACCCAGCTGCAAAAAAAGGGATGTACACAAATACAAAAACAGATAGAGCTATCTTCTGGCCCGACACATGCAGTACTTGTAGATCCTTGTACACGTGCACCAACAGATAACGGTGCAGGTGGTGCAATGACAAAGCAACCTACAGTCAAACCTCTTTAGGACGAACACCAAGGGACCCATGGTATTTGTTCGTAATAACGGGTGTTCTTCTTATCCATATTTTACACCCAGTGAATACACAGTATCCAATAGAGCTATGAACAAGTTCTTGGATCTACATAATCCACCAACTTTGCCTTGATGTGTGTTTAGAATGAGCCTAGTGCGCAGCTCATCCTTTTCATTGCTATAATTAAACTACAGGTACTACGTCTTGTATCGCATGTGTCCGGCCCAAGTTACATGCGGATTTCCACACCATGTCACGTGGCATGTGTTGGTGTGTTCCTTTTTCAATGTCAGTCTGTGAAGACCTTTCAATGTCAGCCTGTGGAGACAGTGCATACAACTTGATGCTTGGCGTAGGTCTGGATACGTCGTGCAGTTTAGTATGCGTGTGTGTGGGGGGGGGGGGGCATTGTGTGTGTGTGGGGGGGGGGGCATTGTGTGTGTGGGGGGGGGGGGGCATTGACCCTAAGCTGTACTTGTAGCACTATGACAATAGACACTGAGCACAACTTACAAGATCACGTTCTATTCTCGGTCGTTTTAGAAGTTTCCTCTCTGGCTTGATTGGTATGATCGGTGCATATGCCTTGCTTCCACAGTACTTCTCCAGTATTGCTGCCTGAGTAGTGACCTTTGCTAGACGCTTCTCCTCTTCGTCAAGGACACGAGCCAGTGATTGGTGCCTCGCAGCAAGTGCTGATGTATTCCTTTGCAAACTATGATCCGTGTGAATACCAATATCACCATGGTTACTGCCGGTACTACGCTGTATGCTTGTTACCCTGACAGGTCGCTGCTTGAAGCTGATCAACCGTCGTTGGGTCGACACCATACGTTTCGGAACGTCTGAACCAGAACCAACTACAGTTCCATCCGATCCCGCCGCGCTGGTTGACGATGTCCCATCGCCACTGCGTACCTGACTGGTACCATAGAGAAAGCGAGAGTGTATCAAACCACTGCACCTACCGACTACCTGAAGTTTCATCTTGACTCGCCGAAAATTGACAATGCAAACATTTTAGAAATAGCAGCTAGTGCAGAGATATCGGAATCGTGACCAGCGAAGTAGTGGCACACCAACTCCTGGCGAATGTTCTTTGTAGCTCTACAGTACTTGTAACAGTGATAAATCGAGGAAGAATCTACAAGTCCTAGTGTTAGCAATAGTAGTATGCCCACTAGCAAGAAGCAGTGCAGTATTCTGCTGAGAAATACATCTTTTTTGAACAGACGTTAATTTTACCGGACTGAAAAAGATTTTTTTGTTACTGGAAACAGAGCTAGATAAAGTCTCAGTCTGCAGTAGGCCAAGGGGAATCCCCAGTACCGTTTCATGCACGACTGAAAACCAGAAAATGAATCAATCAAGCGAGTCGGACCTGGCTGTTTGTACAAAAATGGTGTTGTTTCACGGAGTAGAGTCGTCCCACTGCTGGAGTCGTAGATCTAGCGTTAGCAGCTAGACCTATCCTTGTGCAAGTTTAATAGTTGTAGCGCTTGAACAATTTAGTAGCTGGTCATGGTGTCTGCGGGAATTTTCACAAACAGTTATTTGTGTGTTCGTCGGATCAAACTGAGAAGTGTCTGGTGTTGTTAGCCCAAAAAAGCCGTCACTGTAGCGCAGCCGTGTTGTCTTTCTCGTCACTGCCGGACAAGACCAACGGAATTTGCTGTGCCGATATACCAGTGTCCATTGTGAGTCCCGATTTCATGTGAAGAGCCGACCCATGGCTGTCCTTCGATGGCGGCATGCAAAACTGTTATTGTGATGGCTGTCCTGCAGAATCGTGTTGTGAGGATTATGCCAATCGCGATGGATATTTTAATATCTACACTAATGTCTGATTACGTAATGAGTTGCATGGGTCATAACTCAGCTAGTGAGACTGTGACCCGTTATGGTATTCTCTACCAGTACCATTCACCTACCGACCGTAGTAGTAGTACTGAGTAGTAGTTACCTGTACTTTGCACGCACTCAACTATATATTAACATTATTTTAAAATAAGAAAGGTTTGCTCCCCACACCGGAGCTCGCGCTATTCCGCCGGCTTTACTTGACACTTGACTGACTCACGACTGCCATCCAGAGCACACGAGAAGTCCATCGAACCTTCGACTCGGCAAGGTTCGATGGACTTCTCGTGTGCTCTGGATGGCAGTCGTGAGTCAGTCAAGTGTCAAGTAAAGTCGGCGGAATAGCGCGAGCTCCGGTGTGGGGAGCAAACCTTTCTTACAAATCATCGCCGAAGTCGCAACCACTACTTCGTATTATTTTAAAATGTTAATAATTATGTAGACTATGATATTATATGTAGACGATTACGTGTCGGAAGGTATTCTACATTGGTGTGGCTATGAGAAGGCAGGGGGTCTGGGGGCCACCCCTTGGGGACATGTTAGGGAAAGTGGGCCCAATCATTGCCTCAAGAACCACAGGATAAACGATTATTGGCGCGGCTTTGGCTGCACCGGCGACATCCCTGTAATCATGACGAACAACATTACTGACCCGGTACTGTATAACTACTTATACCCAGCTCATATTAACCCCCACTAATTCCTGTGATCTATAACTGGTGAATATATCTCCATATTCACCACTTTAACTTGGGGTATATACTTTGCTATATGACCACGGCTACGCCTCGGTTTTTATAGCAGTGTTTATATTTCCATAAACACTACGACATCGGTGTTTATTTTATACATGTACAAGCAATGGTGGTCTGTGGGTTTCATCGTTCCCCAGTGCGACTGTATCACGTTGTCAGGTGTCGACTATGGACTAGGTGACAGCATCAGTCATAGTTCACTCCACCATGCCACGCTGCATTCCGACAGACACTGTGACTGAGGCTGTTTTGCTCAGTTCTTCATCACTCGCCGCAAATGCTCGGAGCCAGCACAGCTCATGGGTGGTGCGGCAGAGGGTTGGCTACAGGGCAGACCATTCACAGAGGGTTGGCTACAGGGCAGACCATTCACTCTAACCCTAGTTCAGTATCATAGGAGTATTCACTGTGACCTCTAGCTCCATGCATCACCTCTAGCTCCATGCATCATCTCTAGCTCCATGCATCATCTCTAGGTATTTGTTACCTGCAAATTCCGCTGGCAGCCGCAGACCATCAGCTAGCACACTGGTCCCCAGTGAACAGGAAGATCAGTTTATCAAGAATAGGCTCTAGCAAAGGGTGGACAAGTATACTAGTAGCCTAATTCTGAGTATGTCCACATACAGTGCTGCTCAATGAAATCCAGTCGTGGCACTCAAGTTTGCGCCTTGCATCATTTCGCAGCCCAGTGTCCGCAGGTCTATGGCTGCGCTACGCCCGGCGCGTACTTGAGTGCGGCGACGACTGGATTTCATTGAGCAGTACTGTAGTTGCACAATGGATATTCCGTGAGCCCCGGTGTAGTTATAGATATTGGTACGGATATGGCCGTACTCACGGTACCAGTGTATTACTATTAGTGCCTCGGCATGCACAAGTACATGTATCTCTCCAGAGGTCTCCTCACTCAGTAGTAGCACGGGTGCTGACCTGTATGCCGTGTGCAGGTGGGCCAAGTAGGTAGTGTTACTGTATGCATGCCATGCTGGAAGTAAGTAGCGTATGCATGCCATGCTAGAGTCTGCTGCTGCAGTAAGTATGTAAGTAACATCAACGCAATGACCAATGCTGTCATGGCTTCCTTGATAACCCAATCATGTGACTTGCAATCATGTAGGCAAACCACTGAGCATTCTTTGTTCGTGTGTGTTGATGTGAATGTGTTCATTACTGTACTCAAGCTTGGACCATAGGCGGAGTGACAAGCTATCCAAGTGTCGCTGCTAACAATGGCTACAGAACCTCCAGCAAAGCGTAAGCGAACTTCAAGGGCAGGAAAGAAGCCAACTGGTGAAGAAGATCCTGCAAAGCCGGCGGTGACAAAGAAAGGCAAGACGCATATCAAAGGTGACAAGTATGCCATGATTGGAATGATGGATGGCAAGTCTGTGGAGACAGCACTCACTATGAAGTTACCTGACTATCTAGCACCAAATCTAGATGTTATCTTTGTAAGTTGTGGAAGGTTCCTTTCATTGAATACCCACTCCACCCATGCACACCTGTGACAATCTACATGCAGAATCAGTTTTGTCTCGTTAGACTTCGAATTGGACCCTACCACACACCACTCATATACAATCATGTACTTCAAAGTACTTGTGCACTCGAGCAGACCCGGAGGATTTGGCAGCGATCGTATTTTGGCCTAAAAAGGCTAAAATCTCGCTCATATTGAGTCATAAGTTAGTTAGTAATAGTATGTAGGCAGATGGGATTTAGTTCACCACCACATGCAAAAACTGCCCAACAGAGTACTAGTACTTGAGCGACAACAAGCGTGTTGAAAATATGTTCTGAACTGTGTGTGGATTGACTAGATTGGTATTAACCCTGGTGTGGTGTCAGCTGCACGTGGACATCATTACTTCAATCCAACCAACCACTTCTGTAAGTCATGTCATCACTGTCTTTTTTCCTTCTTTTTTTGCCATCACTGTATCGTAGCCACACAGTTGTAGTGATAATACAGTACCAACCCTTGTACTCTGTTCCCAGCTGAGTGCCCCGGGGGGCTGATTAATAATTAGGGTGATGCGGTAGCACTTTTCAACGGTGGAATGTTTGAGGACGTTTCTTGTCTTGCTGTACACATGTTTCTAACCATTGCAGGGCCATTGATGTTCCAGTCTGGACTTATTGATGAGCGTATGACTGCTAAAGAGGACGCACAGTGTCTAGCTAAAGGCTTTGGTCTGACCAACATGGTCGCACGAACGTCACACGCTGCATCTGACCTATCTCGGTCAGTGGTTCTCTCTCTCTCTCTCTCTCTCTCTCAGTGTGAACTGTTGATGTGGCATTATAGAGTGCCCTGACGGAAAAAGCATCACGGGCGCCTGGCACAGTACTATTGCTGTACCTGGTTGGATCAGTGGGAAGATGGTCAAATGACAACAGGAGACACAATAAGCTTGTTGCTGCACATGTTCTAACAATGGGTGCTCCAAATATAACCCTAATCCTACACTGGTTTTGCACACATGTATGTGTGACTGTGCGTGCGTGCATGTGTACACTGTAACGTTAGATCCGAATTGAAGGACGGTGCTAAAGATACAGTCAGCATGCTGCAAGAGCTCCGACCAAAGGTGGCATGCTTCAATGGCAAAGGTAAGCATGTATTCAGCTCTAGCAAATGCATTGCTGCAATTGTGTTTAACCCTTTGGAGTCCGTAACTTTTTTGCTTCCGCAGAATTTGTGGCAGTTACGAAAATGCGCACTCCATTTCCAACATAACTTTGGTTCTACTTCACCGATTTTGAAGATCTTGGGCTCGTTGGAAAGCTCTTGATGAGAGAAATACAATGAGCCCAAACTCGCCAAGAGCACTATTCATTGTCCGCCACAACGCACCCGAAACGCGAGTCCAGCTCCAGATCTGAGACGAAATCGGTCTCCTGTAGCCATTTCACTGAATCTAGCTCGGAAATGTTCAACTTTTTTCGAGTAGAAGCTTTAATACCTTGCCGTGACTTTGCGCTGCGCCGGCCCTGGCACGTGCCGCCTGTCATGAAGCTGGGAAAATCCCTTTTTTTCACGCACTGCTGACTCGCAGCACGCAGCGCAGAAAATTCGAAATGTTTGATCGCTCGCCGCTCACTCAAACTTCATCGCAGAGACTTTGGACCTGTTTGAGGCGATAGCTGAGAGTTTTCTCTACCATCTAGACCCTTCGATTGTTGAATATGGTCAATATTTGGCCGAGAACCGAAAGTTTGACTGCGCCCACATGCATACAAAATGCCCATGGTTCGAAATCGAACCATGGACTCCAAAGGGTTAAATATGATGCAGTGTTTGCTGCAACAGTTTTGCTGAACTGGTGCTTGGGTGGGTGTATTTTTAAAAACATTTTTTAAATGCTGTAGTAAGTATCCTGTTTTGGTGTGTTCATCATCCCGTAGTGTTTGTCTTGGTCTTGATCAGTAATCACATCGTGGTACAATGTCTTGCTCCACACTCATTGCAGGTATTTACGAAACCTTCTCCGGCACGAAAAAGTGTACCCTTGGACGGCAGGAGAAGTGTATTTCAGACACAGATGTGGTACGTACATAAAACAGTCGCCCGTCTTTAATCCAGCACTTTATAAACCAGCACAATAATCTGTAGCAAAATGTCCTCTTCATGCATTTGCGTAGCACAAGTGGTGCCAGATTATAAAGGGACCACTAAACACACATGACATAATGACATGACGCGATGCACGAGGGATATCAAATTAATTTGCCAACAGCATCCCAGCGCTAGTAAGTGATCATCGCTGGGCATACATGATCTTGTACAGCGTTAACATTCCTCTTCACTGTTTAATAGAGAACCCGGCGACCGCTATTGTGATCATATTGGCAATTGCACCACAGAGTTCTGCGTGGATTGCTGTGTTCTAGACAAGCCTCTCTGGTCATGGTCGCAATCAATGTTCATGGCCCTATTGTTTGTGCTCAGGTTGTTTACGTGATGCCATCAACATCAGCCAGGGCAGCCCAATTTCCTTCAGTTGCATCCAAGCTACGCTTCTTCACAGAGCTGAAGGAAATCATCGATGAATGCAACAAAGCGTCCAGCCCCGTGGCAAATGCCAGTGCTGCCACCAGCACAGTGCCTTGTGTGCCACCCATTGCAGCAGTACCACCGCCACCACAAGCAATGGCAGCAGCAGTGGTGGGATCAGCAGCACAAGCAGCAGCAGCAGCAGTTACCCCAGTATTACCAGGAGATGCAGTGGCTACACCTTGCAGCAACACTACCTGCTAATAATTATAGAGCACATGTGCCATACCTACATGACTTACATTTCCTGTATCAGCTAGTCAGACTGGCACTGCTGATGGTGTTGGCGCTAGCTACATGCAACCAGGATATGAGTACAGTCATGTACATATATGTGTATATATAGAGAAAGAGAGAGGCCATACTACATAGCATCAGGGTTACGCTGACAAGTACCCACACTACAGTTGCACATGCACATTCACACACACAGCTGTGGGCACACTGGTCTCACGAGCAATGCATCAGATCATGAGCTGTATCATCAGATCATGAGCTGTATCATCAGCAAAGTCACCTATCCTACTACTGAGTATCCTAGCAGTGTTGCGATGTGAGTATTTGCTGTATGACTTTCACAAGCCCTCACACACTATATTTTTAGTTGATAAAACCGGCTGCAAGAAACACAATTCTGCTCCACTACATGTGCATATACATATACTAGCAGAGACATCATTGGTGAGGCACCAACAGAATTGTATTAGTCTACTTGCAACAGACACATACATTGCACAATCATGTAAGAATGTAGCATAGGGACATGCTGCTGTTAGTCATAGTTGCTCAATACCAAAGGCCAGTCTAAGCTCCACACAGTATTATCATTAGTACATAACTGCCAAGAGCGTGCAACTCAAGTCTATTATTTTCTGCTATGGCAGAACTTCACGTCATGTGACAAACCCATACACATTGTTTCATACCCTGTGCTTTGGGTTAAACTGTCTGCTGATCACTTTGCACCAGGGAGTTGTTACGACCGGTATCTTCAGCCCTTTTCAATCATTTACATCTGACCAACACTAGCCAATAACTTGGACAAGCCACACCACGCTCATTTTACCAGCATTTGTAGATGTCACAAGAAGCAGGAATGACATGCACACACCTCGTTGTGCAACAGGTTGGCTCATCATGCTGCAACATATTAGTGTGCTGCACTGCACCTAATAAAGCTCCAGACCTAAACTAAGGCGATTTGAATTAATTAAGCCAGCTTTCACACCACGCACACACACCAACAAAGAAATTCTCCAGTAGTAATGTGGTAGCTGTGGCAAAGAAGAGCTTTCCAAAGGAAAAAAAGATGAAAAATCCTCAGGGAATCTGAAGTTTTGAACAACAGGATGCGATGGGCATCTAGAATCAGACATGATCAGTTCAGTCAAGTAAGGGACCTGCACACATTCTGGCACAGTAGCATGAATCACGTCATGGTAAAAAATCCTCGTATTTATCTGGCACGACTGCCCTGCGCTCACCGGGAAGGTAGACACGCTGTAAGGAGTAGCGGGCTTCAAACTTGCGCAACGGCACGACGCTGATGTAAATTCGTTTGTGCTTGAAAGGATGGCCATTGTCTGTGCGTGTCCTCCGTCTTGCGACATAGATGTGGTTGGTGTGTACAGTACCTTCCAAAGCAGAGTGCAACATGCCACCGGAACCAAAGATGATCTGCAAATGGAGAAACAGAACAAGAAGAAGAGAGGATGCTGTTAAGTGATGGTGAATCTCCACGGCATCAACATCGGAAATGATACAACGACAAAACCCTGTGTATACCATGGCTGTGACACAGCATGGCTTGAGAGAGGGTGAGCATCAAAGTGCCATCCAATCATCACTTGGCTCACATTGAATCTCTCGTGACTCCCTGCACAGCGGCGAAATACAGCAATTTCCAACCACCATAATCTATTGTGTACAAACAAACACCGGAGGCGAAGGGCTGTTCAGCGGTAACTTGAAGTTTCACGCATTGAAGCCATCATCAGACAACAGCATTTAGAACTGAAGTTATGCGAGCGGGCGTACCTATTTGTGGCTGGTGTGGGAGCAAAATACACCGTGGCAACTTTGGTGATAGTAAAGGAAGTTTGTGTTGCTCTCTGTGTGGGAGCTTGTGCCTTTCCTGCCAACTTGACAGCCAGAGCACAAGAAAATTCTGTTTAACCCTCCGCTCACCAAACATGCAAGAAAACACCAATCCCTGCTCAAGCAGCCGTGCCTTAGTCAATTGCGGAAAATACGGTACATGTACACGCTTTTCAGTGCCTTCCCATTGTCCAATTCAAACTTGGCACTTACAGATCAACTCATTGCACGGGCCTCTTTCAGTGGTGATAAAGAAGGATAAACTACATATCACATGCCTCAGGTGGATGTGTGTAGGGGGGGGGGGGGGCGCGGAGAGAGAGAGCGAGAGAGAGAGAGAGAGAGAGAGAGAGAGAGAGAGAGAGAGAGAGAGAGAGAGAGAGAGACAGGGGTTATTCTCTATATCTTTATCTGTATGACTGTGTCTAAATCTGTCTTCCTAGGAAGGTAGAGGAAGAAGCTAAGAGGCTTACATTCTCTCCAGGTTTGTATCTAGCACCATGTTGAAGAGCTACAAGATGTCGCTGTCTGACAACGTGATCTGTATACAGCGGAAAGAGGGAACAACTTGTTATACATAGAAGGAATGTCCAATGAAATTGTTTTGATATAAATATACAGTCAAACACATAAACACAACACACACACACTTCCACGGACGCTATGTTACTTTCCAAAGCCTGAGCATGGCTGGCGGTCATGTGGATAAGCTTGCAGATACTGGGTTGTGTCTTGTGTGTATGTGCGTATCTACATGTACAGTACAGCTTTGCCCCACTTCCCTGTGATCCTATCACCCATCATTGCTACAGTCCATTTCAAAACTATAGACGCGTAGGGTTTTTGAAATATTTCAAATTTGGCTGGGACTTTTGAGAATAGTTTCGGAATATTGCTCAGGACCGCTCCACAATTACTCTCATTATAGTTTCTAAACGATTGGATAACAGACGCCCAGTTTTGAAAAATTTATGCACAAAGTGATCACAGATTTTATGTGGTATAGATGCTGGCATAACGGTTTTTGCCTACAGTCCATTCATAAAAAGATGGGCTCTGGCTCTGGCGAGCTCCCGTATTTGGCGATTTTTCGTGGTTTCATCGTACACAGTGCAGCGAAATTTGAAATTTGAAAAAGGGTCCAAAAAGGGTACCTGAACTGGGGTTCGAACCGCACAATGCACGTTTGCAGGCGGGGTCAAACGGCCTGGATTTTTATGGTTTTTCCCAATTCAGTGCTGTTGGGGCAAAACCTGGCCGAAATTCTATTCTTGTTATGGCTTGCTTTTTGGACAAAAAAACTTCAGAAACATAATTGGAAGAGGATTCCATAGGGGATTGCAGAAAAAAATTCTAAAAAAACTCAAAGTTTGACCCACTTAAGGCCAAAAGCTAGAAGTCCATCTTTTTCTGAATGGACTGTAGGTACGCGTCTATAGTTTTGAAATGGACTGTAAGACTGTGTGTACATGATGTACACCACTCCTGTATGACATGAAGTGCATGCATGTATAGTTGGCATTTGAGTTCATAAGTTACAAATGTGTGTCCTGCACAGCAGCATCCAAATCAAGGTGTTGTACGTATATGTCGACAATGACGCAAGAGATTCTGTTTTGCTTAAAAATACCCGAACCCGTTACCAGGCTAAACCCTTACCCGTTGCAGCCCTAATTTACTTTACTTTTTGTAAAAGAACAAAGAATGAATTCTCATACTTTCATAATCATAACATGGGCTTCAAGAGCACATTTTATTCCCACTTGAAGTACAAGCATTGTTATCGCATCGTAGAATATATCAGTCCTAAGAATGGACTTTGTGTAGCATGCCAGATTAATGCAAGTGTATCGCCTGTAGTAATAAGTTACCGCTATCATCTGTTCAATGCAGTTCTAATCCGACTCACATTGTGTTGTAATGCTGTTGTGGTCATGTAACTAATGTTTCACAGCCACATGGTAAGCCTATGGGACTACTTCGAAGCATGAACGGCCGCATGCACAGTAACACCACGTTTCATGTACGATGGCCTTCCTGCCTCTGCGCACATGCATATGATATACATATGATATGTCACACTTGATTTATCGCGTGCAAGAAATATCGGAAATAAGAATAAAAAGTCGTTTTCAAACACCCACGCTATAACTGATACGTGCTGTACATGTATCAGTGCATACTTTCTATTCCAATGTACTTTATTTTTTATTTTTAGTACGTCTGCACGCATTCTAAATGCAGATGCTACGACATGGCTCGGTCCGGTACATACTGAACACAGGATTGCCTATCTTCAGTACTCGGGGACTCACTATACACTAGGTAAATAGCACAGCTTGTTGTACAGCTGGTGTACGCCTAACTTATTGCTCACTCTGTCCCCCTGGACAATGAGAACTCCACGCGATCGGTGGACAACTAGACAGAAACTGTAAGTTTAGAAAAGTATGCATCATAAGAAAGATGACCTATCCTTTCGGCAGAGCACAACTGTCACGTAGAGACATGAATACTAGTTAGTAGAACCATCATAGCACAAACCTACTTTTATAATACTTCATCCCCAACTTATAGGCAGGCATTGTACGCTTGGCGATCTTAGTTCGTACTGGTTGCCTTGTCCAAGAGTTGCCCACAATGGGCAAATCTGTGTAACATACGACACAGGAAAGCGGGACAAGTTCGGTTCACCCTGTCCAGCCAACATTGCAGCAAGCCATTCTAACAGACCTCGGACAAATTGACGAAATGCCCCGAACATCTTGACTATCTGAGCTCAGAATCTAAAATCTTCATCGTCTTTCTCTAAAACAAAAGCGTTGTTTGTACTCGGATCAGATCAGGTACTGAAAAATGAGCTCATTCGATGCATTCGCCTCATTTCGAACAAACACATTACAAAGTCATGTTTTGCAAAACTACACCAAAAATTATTGTTTCCGTCACCATGGTGACCGGCTCATGCAAATGTAAATAATTTTGTTCTTTTCTTGTACATACACCGTATAGGGGAGCGAAGGACTAAAGGGACGCTGGTCTAGGAGTGCGGCAGTTTTTGCACCATGGCAACCAGGAGTGCGCGCACGCGACAGCCACCAGCGCAAAGCGTTGTGTAGGCTGCGGAGATCCGGAGAGCAGGGAGAGCGACGACACTTCGCCGTGACCCAGGTGAGCGGCTGAGCGCATACATCTCGTAACTCAAAAGTCACAGGTCACATGGTCAAAGACAGTGCAGAAGCGAAAAAAGCACTGTCTTTGAAATTGAATGAACAAGACGTTGGATTTATAGTTCCTGAAAGTCACTCCACTTGGATTGGTTGGAACTAGCTTCTTTGCTAACTGTAATGATTTTGTGGAGGAGCGGTTTGAATTCGTTACTTTTCACGACAGCCTGACGCCAGCCTGACTTCTGGCTTGCAGTAGAGCTCTCCTTCCGATCCTGTCAATGGTCTCAGATTTGAAAGAAAAATACTCGAACAGTGATATTATTATTCTATACATCGCTTGTGGAAGGAAAGGGCGAGTGCTGGCAATCACTCAGTCTTCGCAAGTAGAGAATGTCCCTGCTGATTACCAGCTGAGAGACAGCTATTCTGTGCTGTGAAACGAAGGGACGATTCTTGAAGTGGAAGAACAATCGTACTAGATGTGATGATCTACTTTGGTTTTCTGGATCTTCAAAGCACCAGAAGTAGTATGTGTACTATTGAAAGCGCCCATTCCGTCTTGGAGGTGTGCATCACATTGACATTGTGCATGCGGTCTTTTACTAGTACATGTGTTTGGTCAGGGTCTCATCTGTGTGTGTGTCTGTCTCTCTGTTTGCTTGTGTGTCGGTGTGTGTGTGTGCGCGCGTGCGCGCGCATATGTGCTTATGTGTCTTCATGTGTGAGCAGTGTGTACTTTGAATGTGCCGTGCACAACTGTTTTGTGTGTGTATGCGCTTGCAATTGCCTTGCATGCGCTTTGAACATGTGTTCGTGTACGTGCTCCGCAGGACTTGTGATTTTGCCTGACCTTTGAAACCAATTGGACTGCCTGCCCTGGCAAGGGACTCTTATTGCCTAGCTTGTTGTTATGGTGGCATCAACAGTAGCACGTAACGCCACTCGACCTGTCGTTGCTTCACAGCGGCTGCTTTCTCGCTCCCGCTGTATCAGTTCGGCGTATTGCCCAGCTGCACCGTGTGGTGAAACAGCATACCGGTGCTCCCTGCTCAGTAGCTGTTGTCAGTACCAGGAACTTGGTGAGTGTAGCGGACACAGGTCGTGGCGAGTACACTGCGTCGCTGGTGACACACCATCACTGGCAATGCCCCGCGTCACGCAGTGCAGCGCGTCACTATTCCGCTCCACCGCGTGTCACAACCGCAGCGTTGCAAGGGCTGCTAGCGCAAGTGCAGCGTCTCCAGCAGGAACAGCGCAGCAACGGTGGCGGAGCACTGAGCCCGGAGCAGAGGTCCCGATTGGCGTCCGCTTGTCATATGCTGTGCGCTGCGATCGGGTCGTTGCTCAGCACCATCCCTTACTTGCTGCAGCAATGTTCCCGTTACAATGCTTACCCGGGTGTAGCCAGCAACGGACTGCGATCTAGTGTATCCATATTCTCCACGTGTACATTGGCGCTTGATGACATCATCAAGTCACTGCTTACGTCATCGAATACTAAGAGAGATTTCGCACAGGCTGTGTCAGCACTTGAAGAACATTCAGAGCTGCTCAGGGATCACGCGCAGCTTTTTAAAGTCATCTACGCTGTCGTGCAAGTGGCATGGACAAGACTGGCGACCTGATCGTTGATCATACTCAGTTTCCGGACGACTTTCTGGACACTGCTGAGAGTATGGAGCGGAGAAGCTTCTATGGACGGTGCCTCGGCCTTCATGTAAGTCACTGTGAGAAGTAAGGTGGCATTTGTATGTGTGCTCTGCGACCGTAGAGTACAATAGCTGTCCGTGGTCTTTTGGATACTCCTACTCGATCCCCCTTTGGTGCTTCCATGGAGCTATAAAGCCGAGACCTCTGGTCGGCTGAGCCCCACCACCACATGCACACTCCATTATTCACCCCAGTGTCTGGAGATAATGTGGATTTTGTAGAGAAAAAAAGAAGAAAAAAACATCCGAGTTTCAAAACAAACAAACAAAGGTGTTAGCATGCCATGTGCGGTTGACGTTGACGATTTGTTCTGTACCATGCTCAACACTCTCTTTTTGCTGCAGAGTGCCAGCTCTGAGCCTTCTAAGGCAGTCATCATTCACTTCCATGGTGGAGGGTTTCTGGCGCAAACGTCACAGTCACATGTGCTAGGTCATTGGAAACAAATGGGTGTGCTTTGCTGCCACCATGCTCCATCCATTTCTCCGCTGCCGTAGCCAATAAAACAAGATACTGTACCATGTGTGTAACACGGATGTGCACCAGGTTTTCATTTGGCCCCATATACAATAGTACAGTACTGCTCCATGACATCCAGTCGCGTCACTCAAGTACGTGCCGGGCGTTGCGCAGCCCTAGACCTGCGAACACTGGGCTGCGAAATGGTGCAAGGCGCAAACTTGACTCACGTGACCGGATTTCATTGAGCATCACTGTACATAATATTAGTATACCCTATGCATGTGTCTTCCTTGCGGTGTATTGTTCATGCAGAGCTATCTAAGCCACTGGGCCAACCAGCTCAACGTTCCCGTGGTGTCCGTTGACTACATGACGGCCCCCGAGCACCCGTACCCACGTGCCGTCAACGACTGTTTCTACGCGTACGCCTGGGTGCTGAGGAACGCCACCAGCCTGGGCACCACTGCCGAGAAAGTCATCCTGGCCGGCGACTCGGCCGGAGGTAACTTTGTCTTCGGAGTGGCATTCCTCGCTGCGCAGTACCAGCTTCGGAAGCCATGTCTGGTGCTGGGCGCGTACCCTGCTCTGAAAATCTCACTGGATCTGTCACCGGCACGCTGCCTAAGCGTAATGGATCCGCTGTTACCCATTGGAACGCTGCGGGCATGTTTGAATGCGTACCGGGGAGTGGCAGGTGAGATACCAGTTCTTCTTTTCCTTGGAAATTTCACTGTATAGTGCATTCCTGGGATTAGCAAATTAGAATTGGCAAACGTTGGCATCTTTGGATAGTGACAGCTGATAAGAGGTGCATAGACTGTCAATTCCTTCGGTGCAAATAGGATTGCCCATTTCACAATAATATATACCCTTACCTTGTAATGTGAACAGTCGGCGTGGAGACAGTAACTTTTAAAATTATAGCTAACGTGGTTGCGATATTGGTGTGTGACAAGCAAGGTGGCATGAAATAAAAGTTAAACTTCAACATTAAATACCCAGGGTCTAACACCCTTTTCTCCTTTCATCGGGTGTGGAGTGCTGTTTCGACGACCCTGCGTATCCTTTCCCAGACCTCAGGTGTGAAGTACCTCACCTGTGAATCACTGAGGTGGATGTCCCCTAGAGGTACGCTCAGGGAGTACGTAAATACCAGCGTTTTACTACTCCCTCATACGTTCTACTGAAGTTTGACTGTATGCGACGTAGTGACAATGATAGGCGTTACATTACTTTGTCCACGCCAACGTAGGCACCTTCTCTGGGAGGTTGCTCAGTGCACCCAATGTGAGAGCTGTTCGCACAATATGGGCCGGAATTGGCTGTAGGCTGCAGTCTCCCTCTGCGTGCGTGTGTGTGTGTGTCCACGTGTACTACGGTGAAACTACACCAAGTCACGTTCTTAGCACATCGACAATCAACTTTCACACTTCATGTCTTGTGCTTATGCAATGTGAAAGAACCTACAGTGCTGCTCAATGAAATCCAGTCGAGTCACTCACGTACGTGCTGGGCGTTGCCCTAGACCTGCGAACATTGGGCTGCGAAATGGTGCAAGGCGCAAACTTGACTCACGCGACCGGATTTCATTGAGCAGCACTGTACTTTAAAGTGCTTTGCTGTGACTTTGTCACTTTCTGGTTAGCTGTGATTTTGTCACTTTCTGGGTAGCTGTGTATGCTGTGCACAACCGGATTTCATTGAGCAGCATTGTATGGTTTTGTCACTTTCTGGGTAGCTGTGTGCACATCACCTCAAGCTTTGATTTTCATCACCTCGAGCTTTGATTTTCATCACCTGGAATTGAAACAAAACTGCGTCGCTTCCTTTGTCCTGCTTTCTTTATCTGATGCAACGTTGGTGATGGATGAGGACAGAGAGCTCTGTGACTAGAGGCAGGTGTTTGGTGGACGTGGACCGTGTGACTTGCCTTTGCCCTTGCTATAGTCTCCTTAAAGTCATCGGAATCCACTCTCTCAGTCTCTCTGTGCTCGCGCTGCTAGGCTATGCTGTGGATGTACTCCGCAATGCTGATTGCTCTGTGAGTACCAGTTCATGGTGTTCTTCTCTTGTCCTGTCCAGCACGCCAGAGTATCACCCGAACACCGGTCACCTGTCACAGCTGCAGTCGGGCATCCACCAACGTCATGCCACCATCCTGAATGCTTCGCCGGCCTACCTCTCTCCACTGCTGGCCAGTGATGAGATGCTGCACAGCTTACCATCGGTTGCATTGCTGGTAAGCCACTATAGCACACATGGCAGTACGGTATGAGCTATGCATTCACATACCAGTAGCTGAGGAGTGCTAATTCCGTACTTATCGTATTGACAAACTGGCCTATTGATCAGGAACTGTCCGCAAATACACCCCTGTCCAATACTCTTTCGAGAAGGAACCTTTCCGATGCCCCGGAAAACCCAAGCACTGCTATACCACACGTAGGTGTGTGAATTGTGACTAGATGCAATAGTCATGTACATGTAACTAAGTTAGGCAACCTTACAACATGTGCAATGTTGGAAGTGTGTTTCACCAAAAAGGAGACCT